GAGTTGTGGATGCGTCCGTCTACCCTCGCATCCCCGGTACCTTCACCGCCGTGTCCACTTACATGGTCGGCGAGAAGGCCGCGGACGTCATTCTCAGCCAGAACGAGTAAAGAACGAGCACCAAGGACTTCAATGACATGGAATTTTAGCCGCATAAAGACTAGCATATTGGAGAGGAAGAGCGAAACTGTTGCGTTCGTGTAGATAGGCCTTCTTTTGTTCACTCATTTGATTAATAAAATACCCACGAGGAGTTTTGCCATCCGATTATCATTCTGTCTGTTCGTTTGTGATACTCAAACCATTCGGTGGCCGTCTGTGGCCCAGCTATTGACCGAGTCTGCTGGGTTCTCCATCGCTTAAAGATGCAAGTAACAGTGATTGTGATAATGATAGTGCAGAAGACGCAAGTCAAGCGCCACAAACGGAAGGTTGCGATGACTCTAAGCGATGTCTGTATGCGACTGCTGCGATGTCTTCGGCTACTGCAACCTAAGAACGCCACAGACTATTGGGTTGCGGGTGCTACTGTGACGGACTCTGCGGTAGCCACAACAGCTCTTTCGCCTAACCGAGACAAACAGGTCGGGAACCACGCCGGAAGAGAACTAGTTGACTGTGCCTTTTTCCAAAAGCTGGTTCGATTATGAATTAGGACATTAATCAAGTCCGTTATACAGCCGCAAAGAAAACGGCGCGGATGTATCGACTAATCAGGTTATACGCTATGACATGCAAAAGAAACAGGTAAAAAATGAGTGTGATGCACGCTTTGCTCATGTTGGTGTTATACAACCCTCGTTGAAAACTTGTTTGGTTCAAAATTCAGGACATGAAACTCTTGGGTACCACTCCCTGCGTATCATGGGCGTGGGAGTCCCCCCTCAACCTGCCTGCGTTCAGTTCCTCTTCGCTCTCGCTGACCGACTTCACGTTGGCTAGAGCGTGCGGCTCATCCTTCTTTATCCGTGACGGAAACCCAAGGCTTGATCTCCTTTTGCTCTTGCTCGTACTCGATGCCCCGCTGTTCCTCTTGTCGCACTTGAAGTTGCCACAGCACTTGCAAGGGATGATGGACATGCCGTAGGCGTCCTCCTGGGCTTCCTTGCCCTGACCGCTCTTGAGGTGCTGACTCGTATTCATGAAGGCGGAGGGCCGGCGAGCGACGTCGTCCGTCATCCGGAGCCGTGATGGGTCGGTGGTCATGCCGAGCTTGTAGCCGACGAGCTTGAGGAGAGGGCGGATGGTTGCCAGACTACCGGCGGTGATGGCCAGGCCCTGTTCAACTGAGGACCAGATGGCAGTGTCGAGTGTGGCCCCTACAAGTATCGCGAGTCAGTAATCAGCCTTACGGGTGGGGGATGTTCATGAATCATGGCAACCTACATAGGAAGTCTGGGTCCTTCAAGTTCATGAGATAGCCGAACCGGACGATGACTGCGGAGCTTGCCCTGCCAAGATTGTCAGTATCCAGATCAGGAATATCAGGGCGGAGACGCAACATACACGCAACCCATAACCAGCAACGGAATCAACGCCAACTTGGCTCGTGTCTTGAGCTGCAGACTCCAAACGAGGAAACCTGGGAGGATGGCGAATGTCATGTCGGAAATGACGCTGAAGGCGCTGTACAGGTAGGCCAGTCCAATAACCACGTTGACGTCGATGCAAGTTCCCGGAATGTCCTTGTTCCAGAAACGAGATACTGGCAGACATTGGAACATGGAGACGAAGAAGAAAACAACTCCGGCGAGAACGGTGAAGATCATGGCGCAGTAGATAATCCAGATATGGACCTTTTTCGTCGCGATACGGAGAAGGAAGTACGCGATGGACATCTTCGATGTGATCATGCTGAGGGCGTAGAAGAGGTAGCAGTACCACCAGCGCTGGAACATTTGTTAGCTCTGTCCTTCGGACCGCCCCGAATCGCAAGCAGAAGCCCTTACCTCCATCGCGTTGTGGATCTGGTCCTGCGTGAGGTCCTTGAAGTGACGGCCGGTGCCATAGTGAACACCCGCAATCGAAAACGAAGAGTAACAGATGAAGAAAACCTGTCGAATGTCAGCAATCCTAGCCACCCCCAAAGACGACGACGCTTTCCATACCAAAGCCAACACCATGAGCCAGTCATCTCGCCCAAAAGCCTTCACCAACCCTATCCTCACATAACATCGCAGCGCCGTGGCGATGATTGCCGTCGTGACGAAGAAAACGTTGACGCCTAGAAGCTCCGGTCCTCGATTCTCAATCTTCTCAGCCATGGGTGCCATGTGTGCGATTTGTTGACTGGGGTGATCCCCAAAGTAAAAGACCCTCCCATTCCACTACCAAAGAAAGCAAGGTTATGGGGAGGATGGGGTAGTGCGATCTGGGTCATGCGTTCTTATATTCATTCAAGAATGACATTTGGCAGCTGCCAAGTCTCCCTCAATCTTGACCAATTCCCGCCCACAAGGGCACTAGAACGGGCCAGCAAGGGTGTTGGACGTGCAGTGTTTCCATTTGCGGACCCCCAGCCTGACGTTCTTCTGGCCCATCAATGTGAGATCGTCCGCCTGCCTGCTCCATCACTCCTGGCAGGCTCGGCGTTTGCCGTTTCGACCATCTCTCTCCACTTGAGAGGTTGATATTCCTTACGTAGTAGTGTGTTGCAACAAGGCAGGGACTCATCATAAGGCGTCAGACTAAGTAGCTTGGTCCATTCGATGGAGCTCCTTCGCTGCAGCAACTGCCCTCACCTTGGAGAACACTAGCGTGTCGAGCGTTGGGAGAGGGGGGCAGGTTGCTGCAGAATGCCCGAATCCGGCAAACGTCTCGGGAGGAAGGGGAGGGACGGGAGAGATGCCACATCCGCACAAGCCGCACTATGCTAGGGCACCCCGACCAGTCCCGCTCCGGAAAGGACGTCCGGCGGACAGACGTTTGTGGCTGACCAATGATCTGACGACGGCGTTGGTTTTCTCGAAGGAAACGCTAGAACAAAATCGACATTCCCCCACTGGGCGCCACGTCCGGAACGTGGCCGTGCAGGGAGAGTTGGCAGGGCTCCCTTCGTGTTTAGACTGGGTGACCATGTTCTTAGACAACTGCCGTCTGTACGACAAATTGTTGCTCCTGTCGATCGCGCCCGGGGCTAGGAGGAGGGAGCCGTGGAAGCGAGACGATGAAGCCCAGCGAGTAATTCCAATAGATCAGCGACAACGGACCTGACTCTTCTGGGCAGCCTTTGGGGAGGGCCTTCAAGGGCTTTTCCCTCCTCAGGGGCAGACAGATAGATCTACGGCTTGTCCCGAGACCGGCGCGCCTCTGACAAAAGAGATCCGTTCCGGCCCCCAGTCCTGTGTGGGAGACCACGGCCCGGACGAGTCCATGACCCAATCTTTTGTTCGTGCACCCAGTGGACTGGAAGACCTGAGACAAGCTCGCCTTTTGGTGCGATCGCAAGTGTCGGCGCAAGTGCGTGTGATTTGCAATGCAGTTCGTGAGACAAGAAGACTTGAGAGGAAAAAGTCTGCCCACGCAGAGGCACAAAGTGGGCGAACCTCTGGGGTGTCAAACAGCAATTTCGTGTACGACATGCCTCGTTCAGGGGAACGGCGGCGACAAAAACTTGATACGGGTTGAGCTCCGTCGCGCTAAGAACTCCTCGCGTGTCTAGTGTCGCCACATGGTGAGATTTCACCAACAAGCGAATGCAAGCCTGAAGTGGGTGATGGCGAAGACACACGCCAAAAGGGACTTTGTGAAACCCTGCCATTCTGAGCGCGCAAGCTTCGGAAAATTGTGATGTGCTCGGAGAATAGCAGTGACAGGTCACTTTCGTACTACATTGCACATCTGTCCAGGTTCGGTGTCCTAGAAGATCATAGTCTGCATTATCCCCCGCAAATCCTTGAAGAGGTTGGGCAAACTGTCAAAAGGGAAAATCTTCATGTGTCAGATACCCACCCTTGCCCTATCTCTCTCTCTTCTTTTCGCGCCCACACAAAGAACTGCTCGGAGGTTTCCCATCTACGGGCCTTGGGGGCCATCTATGGGGCCACCCAGATGACACACGGGCAGCGGATAGTCCCTCTTGGCATCATTTGATGGGTCCGGAAATAGGCCCCCTTCATCCCGGAACCCACGAGAGACCCATCACCAGCACGGGTGAAATACGAATCAATGCGCGGCTTGCAACTTGGGGGCGAACTGCGTCTGCACGGCCCTCTCTGATCTCAGAGACCTCCTGAAGGCTTTCCTGATTTCTGCCTGCAGCAGATGGAGATGCGGTTACGCATTTCGCGGAGGGGGTGGAGTGATGTTACTCTTGGCCTGCCCCGTTCAGGACGAACTGGAGCTCTGACAATTACAGATGCAGGGAGATGCCGGGCTGTCATCACCGAAAAACGACCGAAAGCGACCAAGATCAACACTGTCTCTCTCTGTTTTGCAGGTCCAGAATGCGACTTCACGTGCCTGGTGAGTGACGAACCTGTTCCTGCCAATGCAACATCGCGCCGTTAGTGATCGACCAACCAGGGACTGACAGTGTTTCACTCAAGCCGAGACGGGCAATGAGGTGCAAGCAGCCTTGTGAAACTTCGAGATTATCTTTAGGCGGTGAACAAGAGACAGAGATAGGGCACCCAGCCTTTCTGGCCATCGTCGTTGGAGCGTCTTGGCATGTCGGTAGTTGAAAGTCAAACAGATTGACAGAAACTCTGCTTCATTTCGAGTAACGCGGATGTCTTCAATCCGCAGTCGCGCAACTGTGTGTCGGTGTCCTACAACATTGCCATCCCCGTGTAGCATTGCCCCCCTAAGCGATGGACAAAGCGTTGGTAAGCTACTTGTGCGCAACGCCCTTGTCTGAAGGATTCGTTTTCTCTAGCGATATAAACACTTTTGATACATATATCGCAGGAATTAAGTCGATTGCATAGCACTCGTGGTATGGTGACCGGGCCTGCATGCGTCTCCCCCTCTCCACCTGGGGGCTATGCAGTGAGCGAAATTTAGGTGGGTTCGGCTACCATGTCTTCCGGCCAACCCCATGCGTCCTTCAGATGCTGCAAACTAATATCGGTGCCATTCCAGTCAGATAACGTCCTTTAGAGTTCAGTGCCTTGTCGAATATCAAATCACCGAGTCCCAGCTGCGGTTAAACTTACATGAGAGCGGTGTCCCAGGCATAGGCCTCCGCCGTCGAGGAGAACACCTGGCACAGCGCTTCTTGTTCGGGGTACGATCTGAATCTGTCGCCGGCCAGGGCGATACCCATACACGCAATTCTACGACCAGGGGAGGGATCTCCGTGTTATTCAGCGGCCTTCGGCGACGCCGGAAAGGAAGATCTAAACTTACATGTGCGCCGGCGTGCTTCTCCCATGTGACTCTGCAATGCCGCACATGATTTTGATGTCGTTGATGATTTCGTTCTGGACAAGGGCACCAAAGTTTAGCATGCCGATGTCGGGGTACGTGATGAAAGAGAGAAAACCAACGTCTAGTGTCTGAGCCGCCAACTTGAGGTTTTTCCCCAGGCGGGGCACGTTCGGGTTGTGTGCTGTTAAGAGTATCCGATTGAGGTGGTAGAATTGCAGCCCGACGACAACAGAGTCGTTGATGAGAAGTATCTCGGGGAAGATACCCTCGTTGGGAGGGTTCTCGACAAATATGGGGAGGAACGTTTCAGGCGCTGCTTTCATCCACTGAGCCGCGTAGTTTGAGAGCTTCTCATACACTGCAGAGTTCGTTTCGTCGCCGAAACAGTATCCGATGATATCGATCGTGTGTAAGATCATTCTCCAAGCCCATGTTTCGTCGTCTGCAGGTTGGAGAGAGCGGTCGAGGTCAAGATGGTCTAACCGGAATTCGAGGGTTTCTTGTTGCATCACTGAGCGCCAGATCTCGAGCCGCAACCAGCCTGAGAATGCCGCTTCTGAGAGACTACCCTTCGTGGTGAAGTTGGCGCGCGACGTAAGAAACTCCCAGATTGTGCTATGATCCACCAAAAGTTTATCGAGAGAGGCCAAGTCAAGTTCTGAATACAGGGTCAGTACGTTTCAACCGCGTCATGTCAAGTAACTTGTAGTTTGCGTACCGCTTATGCTGTTGTAGAGTCGGAGAAGAACCGCCGCAGTTACGTGCAGGTCGTCTACCTCCGCGCTGGGGTCGATCAACACCGGGCTCAGCAAGTTCAAAGCCACCGTATAATAGTGCTCGGCTGGTTTGTCGAAGAATGCCAGCGTCCCTTCCTCATCTCTTGACTTCGCCGCAATCGCTAGAATGGCGTTCAGCAGCAACGGACTGATGGCAGCATGTTGCGGCAGCACGGTCGTGAACCGGTGGTGTGGATCTCCATAGTCGAAGGGGGGCGCGATAAATTCGAGAAAGTATCGTACCAAGTTCGCCTCTCGGTGGTCTTTGAGCGGAAAGTTGGATGAATGGAAGGATCGTTGAGGTTCGGGAAGACTTGGGTCCTCGCTAACACTATTGCTACCGATGGAACTGATGGATCCGATGGGCCCAGACAGCTGGCTTCGTGGCACAGGAGAGACCGTACGAGGCAGATCATCCAATGAGGCCTGGCCTGCAGAGTCTGGACTATCGTATGGAGCGTGCGGGTGAAGAGCGGGGAGCTTGGTTAGGGGATACGAAATGCCTCGCTCGATGGGGAGAGGACTACCCTCTTCGGGACCTGAAGCGTGAGCGTTTGGAGGTCCTACATCGCCGAATGGTGCCCAGGCAACTCTGTTTGAACTCTCCCTCCTCCGTCGCTGGTTCGCTTTCGGCGGACTGGGCGGTGCTGGTTCTTCTTCAGAAACGATGTCCTCGTCTGAATCGTAGTCGTCGTTGTGAATGCTGTTGATATCTGTTGTCTCGTCGATGAAGCGTATTCTCTTGCTGTTGATCTTACACCACTTTTGTGTCTCGGAAAACTCGTATTGAGGTTCGCCACGATTTCCGTCACCATCACTGATGTAGCCATACTGTTAGCAACAGAAACATCTCTCCCCCACTAAAGGTGGACATACCCAGTGACAGTTATATGTCTGAACTTGAGCTTGGTAGCTCGGACACATGACCTCCCTTTACTGACACACTGACCACACGGGTCTCCTTTGTCGCCTGCATCATCAAGCCGTTACGGTCAACCAAACAATCGGGAACTAGTCGGTGATGGGTGTGAACCCCACTACTCACATTTGATATGCCTGTGTAACAGCCGGAATAATATCAGCAAACATGTGGGAATTTGTAGGGCTGACTGTGGCGTCTAATTCATCCAAACGGAGGCTTCCCTACGCAGATTCCCACAACACCCTCAAGCGCGCGGAAAGACTTACCTTGCACGACAGCTCTCGCAGCCCCGCCTCCTCACGGCCCCTGGAGCGGGCATTGAGACAACCCCAGATTGATCAGTGATCTCATCCGGCGGGCGGGATGAAAACACGGCTTGCGGAGTGCGCGGGATACACGCGTTTGGTGGGGGGTTTGTGTTGAATGACAAGAGAAAACGGGCTGTAAATCGGTCTGCCGGTGGGAGGCGTCCACCATGCATCCCGTGGGCTTTCGCTCTTTTTTATCCAGATTCGGCGCACCAGGCAAGCTTTTGAGTGCGGGGAAAATTGGGGGAAACGGGGCGGGCAGAACGCCGAGGGTTCCCGGCCTGGCGCTGCCGCGCATAGTCGCCGGTGCAGGTTGCGACGACGGTCTCGTGGCAAGCTTACCTGATAGTTCAGATTGAGTTTTCAAACACGAGATTGACATCAGCTGTAACGAAGACGCCAAGCACCAAACCTGTGGTTTGGCTTTTGACTTCCTTCAGTCTAAAGGCTGTTGAATTGCCTGACTTTTCCGTCTGCCGCCGGGCGCCTGTCTAGACTCTGGAGAGCCCCTTCAGCCATTTCTATTTGGCTAATTCAGCAACGCCGACCGTACAACTCTCTTTAAAGTTGGCTTTAATCGGAAAAGAAGAGATCACGGCAGGTCCTTCCGACGTCGGTATCCGCCCGGAAAGCCTCATCTATATTCAGGACTACTCCGCGTTTCTAAAAATGTGTGACGTTTTGCTGTCGCGTTTTTCCTACTTCATAAGCTCCAAGGGGTAAAAAAAGCGCGGAATCTCAAGAGACCCCCACATGACTCGGCCGCCAACCGGACTCCACTTCCCCGCAGTCGGGATCGTCACGGAGACGTGTCCGGCTCTCTGTGCTCGCCATTCTAGGCAACATTTTCCGCGATTTTCGGCTTCAACGAGACAGTATTGTCCATGATTGGCCTGCAGAGTGATGTTGGTCGCAGCCATATGCAACAGCTTCAGCCTCCAACCATGGCATCTTGCGCTATGAGTTTCCGAATCCCGCACTTCCCCGGACTACTGACCTTGGGGTAAAGGGTTAAACCTCGCGCGGAGTATTGTGTAGATACAAACGAATTTGCTCCATCTTCGTGCATGCGATTCCTGACATCTTGTATATAAGACGACGATAGTTCGTCTCGTTCGACTGTCTCTCATCAAGCCGCAACCCTCAGCTTCTCGTTCTCACCGTCACACACCCTTCGACACCCCTTGAGAAGACTGCTCAAACAGCTAGGACGAACCTACCATATCACAGCTATCATAATGGTCCAAAGGCTCAAGATCGCTGCCTCTGGCCTTGGCCGCATGGGCAAGCGTCATGCCGTCAACTTCCTCCACCGTACCCCCCGCGCGGAGCTCGTAGCGGCCTTCACACCGGATCAGACTGAATTGGCTTGGGCGAGGGAGAACCTGGAGCCCTACGGCGTGACTCTCTACACCGACTACGACCAGATGATCAAGCACCAGGGGCTTCAGGCCGTCGTCATCGCGACTGTCACCAAGGTCCACGCCGAGCAGGCCCTCAAGGCTGTCGAGAAGAACCTTCACGTCCTTTGCGAGAAGCCCATCTCTCTGAGCATCGAAAAGGTCAGATACTATGGTCATGGTACACCGTCCTAAAGAATACCACCGACTAACGTATGAAAAGTCCATGGAGCTGGTGAAGGCTGCTCAACAGAAGCCTCACCTCAAGGTCATGTGCGGCTTCTCCCGCCGCTTCGATGCCTCCTACAGAGATGCCTTCGAGAAGACCCAGGCTGGGTTGATTGGAAGGCCTTCAATCATCAGGTCGCAGACCTGTGACAAGCATGACCCTAGCGGTTTCTTCGTCCAGTACGCTGCTCTCAACGGTGGCTGCTTTGTCGACATGAGTGGTAAGCAGACTAAGGTATAGGCTGAATGATGAAGCGGTGCTAACATCTGTCTCCAGTACACGACATTGACCTGGCAATGTGGTTCTTCGGCGATGATTCAGTGGTGAAGTCGGTGTCTGCCTCTGGCATCACTGCAGTCTCCCCTGAGTTGGCGGAGCATGGTGACTGTGACAACGCCGTCGGCATTGTCGAGTTCTGGGGCGGCAAGATCGCCTACTTCTATAACTCGCGCATGATGGCTCACGGCCAGGAGGATACCACTGAATTCATTGGTACTGCCGGCAAGCTCACAGTCAACGGCAACCCCCAATCAAACTTTGTCAACATTTACGGTCCCCAGGGTATCACAAGAGAGGTTCCTGCTCACTACTACGGTAGATTTGAGTATGCATTCGTTGCTGTAAGTGTCTCTCGATGCCTTATCACTCATGAGAAATAGGCTAATCATAACAACAGGAGGCGAACGAGTTCACGGCAGCTGCTCTTGACAATACCCCGCTTCCGTTGAAGCTGACTGGAGCTGTCCAGGCCGTTCAGATTGGCTCTTACCTGCAAGAGGCCCTGTTGACCGGAAAGAAGCTGTACTTTGACGAGACTGGTCGTCGCATTGAGAAGCAGGGCAAGTTGTAGAAGGGTACGGGAAATAGAATAGAACAGATTTCTTAACCAATTATTCAAAAGTTCAGGAAGACATAGACAATAACTTGTGGATCTTTATAACAGAAGTGCCTTTGTCCAATTGCATTACTCATCAGAGATTTGCATCGTAAACAGAACAGCAGGTATATGGCCCGTGATCTTGCTTCCAAGTACCTGTGAAGATGCTGAAATGCCGATCGGGTAGTGGATAAAATGACGAGCTATTGTCACGCCTTTTCCGAGAAAAGATGACCAAAAGCACTGCTGCTACCATCCTGAGACCATTGAACTGTCAACTGCTCAATGAGATCCTTCGTCAACCACCCGGTTCTTAGATGGGTCTTTCTGAGGAAATCCAGACTTTCTTGCTGCTCTTTGGGGTCAGTGAGATAGACGCCACCTAAAATGGTTAGTATATCTGCTGTATGAGACTACATGGAATACTCACAGGCCCTCAAAGTATGCGATGCTGTGAACCCTGCATTGACAACAGAAGGATTGCTCATAGCGAGCCCCAACAGCACTCGAAAGTTGTCGAGAACAGCTTTCTATTGTCCATGACCATTAGCCATCTGTATGACCTTGCGATCTAATCGATGAGCTTACCTCCGACTCCCTCCTCCTCTTGAAAGTGTCCAGACTTGGTTTACTCAAGTAAGGATTGAAGATGTGCAGGACCATTCGCGCCAAGCTGTAGTGTTGATACCCAACCACTTCATACGTCAGCCGTGAAAGTCCGCAAGGGTTCAAAGTATAATAACCTACCGTGAGCGGGATGTGTCATCCAGATTGTGGGGAACGCGGAGCCGTTAGCGCGATTGGTATGCGGCGGTTCAACCCAGAGAGGATCCGCGTGCCATGGATTAGAGATCAACCAGTTCCCTAGCTCCTGATTGAGCTTATTCCACCTATCGAGGTCCCTAATCGCCGCTGGTTGAAAGGCGTAGGCGATGGCTTGTGCGCAGAGAAAGACAGCACGGTTGGCCAAGCATTCCGGCTCTGTTCGGACAAACGAGCTTGAGCCTTTGTAGCTGTCCAAGTTGATGCTCATGGGCTGTGACTTGACAAGGGCAACCCAGTAATCTTGTCGAAGGACGATCCAACTTGCTGCCTCTCCCAAGCCTCCTTTGCTTGCCAAGCTGAACATGGAATTCAACAGTTTGGAGCTGCCGGAAAGATGGACGCCAAAATCAGAGTCTACATCATCTTAGACGAGTGCAGATTGTGACGGATATCAGACACTCACCTGTCATCTCCTCATATTGCCTGAGTATAACAATCGCGGCTAGCACTTCTTCGTTCAATGCTTCAAATGAGCTATCCAAAATTGGGATGAGATACTGGAGGGCATGGCTGTAATACGTCGATGGTTTTGAATCGTCTGTTCCTGCTATGGAGCAAAGACTTCGAGATGCGAGGGCAATTATCGAGTAGGCTAACAAGGGAGAATGACAAGCTCTCTTGGGGACTTCTGTACCAAAATGTCTTTTGACGTCGCAGACGTCGACCTACACGATGATAAGCGAAAAACCTCTTGTGAATGAGAGAGAAAGTAGTCTTACCCACATAGAAAGGTCGTTTATGTAGTGCATAAACAGCCTAGACTTTTCTTTATCCTTGAAAGGCCGCCCGATTCCATGCTGATTGAGAGCGATCGGGACGGACGCCGAATGATCTGATGCGCGACGGCTGCGATGAGGAGTGTTAGCTGAAAAGGCAAGCAACAACGTCTCAACACTTTGAATCAATCATACTCATCCTCGGCTTCGTGAGCAACCCGCCCCCCAGATGTAGACTTGTAGACGTCAAAAAGTGATGGTAATGAGCTGGTCCACGTTAGATTTGCTGCCTCATGCTCAGGCATCCCCACGATGAGGCGATTAATCCGAAGAAGAATGTCTCAGGTTATTCTACACTGAATGTCACCAGCTTGGTGATGTTCGCCCGCCGGACGCAGTATCTTCGGATCGAGTGACTGTTGGAAATTTGGGGACGGTGAGATGTGAAGGAAACTTTGCGGGTTTCGTTACCTCATCTGGACGGAATGGGGCATTGGTCGCGAGATTGACCCCGCATTTACCCCGCACCCTCTAAAGCTCAGTCTCTTCTCGTCAGCTGTTTGTGTATTAGGTTGTCTGCGGTGATCAGCTAACCCGCCAATTGTCGCCTAGTACTTGAGGATGTGTTTCCTCTTTATGTTGTTGGTGTCGCGCTCTTCTGGAATCTCGGTTTCCCATGTTACGAATTTAAAATTGAACAATAGTTCTACTGACAGGGTCCCAAGCATAGCGCAACGGGTAGGATGTGCCCCACACATCCTAGCTGGTTGTTAAGCTGGAGAATCAAGCTTCGTGGCGTAGGCAACTCAATTCTGAACGTTGTTAAGAGTTAAAATGATGATGTATGTTTAAGCTTATCCTCGGATGAAGCTTCGTTCATCCCAATCGAGCGAGAATCCATCCGGCAAACGAAATGCTTCCCACCCATGGAGTGATCCGACAGGTTTCGTACTAGACTTGCCGGGTTTCACCGTCCTGCTTCTTCCCTAAAGTTTGCTCTCCAATGGCGGCATCCTTGGCTGTTGTCTCGGGACCGAGGCTGACCAGCTGGCTACCCTTCTCAACATGGTTGGCGCCACCGAAAAGAACGTCGATCTCTTCCAGGGGGACCTTCTTGGTTTCAGGGATGAAGAACCAGACGTATGCGACCAGCAAGAAGTTAACCGCCATGAAAAAGAAGAGACATTTGAGTCCGGTGTTCTTCAGGAATGTGGGGAAGAATTGTTGGAAAATTGTGTTGGCGACGTTTTGGGACTGAGAGCACATTCCGACGGCTTGAGCTCTGATGTTCATGGAGAAGACCTCGGCCGTGTAGATCCAAACAGTTGCACCCCAACTAAGAAACATTAGCATTGGGTCAAAGGGATTTGACAGGGAAGTGTAGTGGATGCACAGCTTACCTGGGCTTGTAGAAGAATGCAAACAAGAAGAGGAGGAATACAATTGCAATGCCGACTGATTGCGACTTCACACCTCCCTCTAATTCCGGGGTAGCCAAGCTGACAACCGGGACCAACAGCATGCACAGACCCATACCGACGGCACCAACCATGAACAGCCATCGGCGGCCGTACCGATCTGCAGTCCACATCGCATTAAGCGTGAATAGGATACCGAAAGTTCCATTGAGCGCGTTGATGAGGTTGATTGTTCTGGTATCGGGCCAAACCTTGCGGTAGATCGCGGTAGAATAGTTGTTGAGGGTGCCTGGGAAGATTCATGTCAGGAATAGGGCAGTAGATGAGAGGGTGGGGAGGGTACCTTGGCCGGTGAGTTGCTGTCCAACGTTGAGGATCATAGTCAAGAACAGGCGTTTTCGGACGGAAGGATCCTTGAAGAGGGCGGTGTAGTTCGTGCTGATAGCCTCCTTCTCGTATTCAATAGCCTCTCTGATGGTGAGGAGCTCCTGCTCGGCTTCTTCTTGGCTGTTTCGGAGAGAGCATATGGCCTTGTGGGCTTTCTCGGGCTTGTTCTTCTGGATGTACCATCTGGGGGACTCAGGGATTGTCCACAGAAGGGTGCAAACAATGGTCGGAACAAGGATCTGGAAGAGGACGACCATTCGCCAATCCCAGTCTCCAAGTTCTTCTCTGCGGAGGGAGCACGCGTAATTGATCCAGTATGCGATGAACGATCTGCGAATAATTAGCCTTCCTGTTTGGTGCTTCTTGTTGATGGGGTCCTCTTACCCAACGCTGAAGTTCAGCTGCCAAAATGTCATGACAACACCTCTGATCTCAGCCGGAGTAATCTCGTTGATGTACACGGGACCAGCCGCTACTCGCGATTAGCAAGACTTCTTGAACAGCAAAGTCGAGTCATGACGACTCACTCAAGGCCATTCCCTGCCCAAGACCAATGATGACACGCCCGGCGATGAAGACTCCAAGGTTATGTCGTGGCGCGAAAGCTTGCATGAACGCGGCAATGACGGTGACGAGGCAGCCGGCACCCATTCCAACTCGGCGTCCAGCGAAGTCGGCCTGTCAAAGTTGTCAGACGTGCTTTGAGAATTAACTTCAAGTATCATGTGTTCTTACCAGAGGCCCGCCAATAAAGAAACCAGCCACAATAGCCCCAATAGTGTAGGCCGTATTGATGAGGCCAATGAGCTGCGTGTCTTCATCCTAAGCCATGTCTCAGCGTCTTGCCATCATGCATATCATTGTGATCCTGGAATGTGTACCTTGTCGAGATCGAAGTAAGCCAGCCAATTGTCCGAAGCTTGAACGGAGTTGAATACGGAGGCGTCAAAGCCGTAGAGCACCATACACATTGCCGCCAAAAGGGCGGAGTACCTGTGGCACATATATCAGCCCACGCTATCGGATCGCAGCTGCGACATTGAACCTACCAACTATAAACTCTCCCTGACATCGCCATCTTGCCGGCTTCAATCGTGGACAGTAAGCCAAATGAAAGAGTCGGTGGAAAGTTAGCTTGTGAGATGGGGACACCAACCCCGTCCGTGACCGGCGAGGCGTCTGGGGATATTATACCAACCCCGGATCCTTCCCCGTGGAGTGTTTACTCCCCACCCTATCGCGGCACAGTCTGGGGTTCTGGGGTAGTGCAAGGCCCAGAGGTGATGAATCACGTTGGCTCTTGGGCATCTGCGGGCGCATGGATGCGTGCCTACTCAACGCCGCATTTGGGAGCAAGTAGGGCGCGTCTGGGATGTTGGCGCCCCAATGGACTTTTTCGTTCGATCCATCGCACGATAAAAGGTGGCAGACAGCTGCACTTCGCCCGAGTTCGGGGGAGAAATTCCTCCAACCAGAAAAACGCCAGATACCAAGACGAGGGGGCCGGGCACACGCGTCAGCAGCCTGATCGCTACAGGCTCCCAGTAGCTGGAAAGCAATCATTCATTTTGCTTTTCAAAATGGAGATATTTCTGCCACTTCTCTCTGGTTTGGTAGTGATGCTGGAGAAGAGCCCCTAATCCTTCGGCCGCCAATTTGACCGTCTTGGCTGCTTTCACCTGCCCCCTCCAACTTCAAAGCGATGATCTATCTGCCTCTCCCGGCTACGACGTCGAGCTTTTCACATTTTACATGCGACAGCAATTATTTTTCAAGAGAATCGTGTGCTTCTGATTGATCGCCAGTCGATTTGTGTTGAAACTTAGACAACACAACATGACCAAGAAGCTTACATGGCTTAGACATCTGTGAGTGCGCACAGCGACCATCATCACTGTAGCTGAAAACCATGGAAGGTCGATGCGGAGAGTAGAGAAAGCGCAAAAGGAAGTCGTGCTCTGCGTGCGATTGCCAAACAAGCTTCCCCGAGCTGGCCAAGAGGCTGGGCGGTCATTTCGCTCTGGCTCAGCACATGCAGCCATTTTCTTGGCATACAGGCTGATCCGGCTTGGTCTCAGCCACCAACGAACATTGCACCGAGATGGATGGCGAGATGGAAGCCGAGTTCCGAGAGAGCCTTGTCCCTGTACAATGAAGGAGGTGGGAAACATGTAGGCGGATGAATGCAAGTTGCAGCTTATTCAAGTCATCTACGCGACCCTCAAGATTCTATCTCTTATGTAGCTGGCTTCAAACGCAATCAATGTCCAAAAGTGAGTTATCCATGTTGGTGCACGTCCACTTCGGGTCTTTGCCGCTCGGGGGTGAGACGTTTATGTTGTGAGCCTGGATGTTTTTGCAAACCTTCACGTAGTCAGATTTGTTCTGCTTCCCATTCCAGAAAGGCACTTACTGAAGGGTCACTGCAGATGAGCGAGCCAACTCGGGGGTCGTTCTTTTTCGACGTGGTCCCTGTGAAGTCTTTGAACAAGATGTCTTCAATGACAAGAGTGGCCTGAAACCATCGTTAGCACATACATCCCGCCGTCTGGGTAGTTTCGTTCGCTTACTGGGTATTGCTGGCATGCTTCATCGCTTGCGGCAAAGTAACACTGGGTCAGTTGAATGGCCCCTGTTGAAATCGTTAAGTTGGATTTTTTCTTGTACCATTCGAATGTACTCACAGTCGTTATTGACATTATGATATTTCTCGTACGTCACGTTCCTCACATGGCCAAGCCCACCTCCCGCTTCGGACCCTGTGGTGTTGGGCGGAACGCCGGGCCAGATCTTGATGCGGGCACCATCAGACGCGTTTGACATGGAGATGTTGTAGATGTATAGATCCTCAATTATGTCGACTTGACCTTGGTATTGGCCGAGGCTGCCGACGGAGATGCCATGCGATCCATTACAAACTAGACCCTGCACAAGGACCTCGGTGGAATTGGGTTTAAAGGACACACAGTCTGCAAAGCGTTAGGTGAGAAATTCGATTGGATTCACAAGGCCTTACCGTCGGTATTATCAATTACGGAGTTCTGGATAACAATGTTGTCACTGCGATAGGTATCCCAACCGTCGGTATTCTGGAGATGGCGTTAGCGGATGAAGCCCTCTTCCGTCAGTGGAAAGGGGGCTGACCTTTGCGGGGGATGTACTGTTTGTTACAACAACCGAGAGGTCCATGTCGGAGATCAAGATGTCGGAAGAATTGGCAATGATGTTGAACCAGTTGGGAGAGTTGATCATTTTAAGGCCGGTGATCGACCCGCCCTTCAGGCCGTCGGTGCCAAGGAGCAGAGGTCTGATGACGGTTGAGTTGCCAGCAAGAGCATTCCACCACGTTTGTCCGAGACCTGATACGTCTTAGCTCTTGGAAACATCTATGCCTGAAAGCTACTCCTTACCGTCGATGGTTCCCTGCCCAAGCCCATAGATGTTGACGTCTTCACCGCCGAATCGCCACATGAGGTTGACGTTCTGGTAACGGTATGCAAACGTGTTCGTTTGCCAGTACTTCACGTCATCATTGAAGACAATGGTTCCAAGGATCGCAAAGTCGATGTGCTTCAAGAACGTCAAGTCGACACGGCTGGATATGGTGTACGTCGCATTGGGCATGAAGACGACGGTGCCGCCATCGTTGCAATCGTGCGCAGCTTTCAGAATTGCAGCAGCCGAGTCGCCTCCGGCCTTGGGGCAGACGATGCAGACTTTGGAGGGGTCTCTTGCTGGGCTGACTGGCAACGCTCGGCCGGGAGCCTTCGGAAACGGGGCGATACTCGGGCGAGGTGGTACATCATACCCTGATACCGATGCGACGGCAGCCACACAGATGAGGGCGAGGTTTGAGAAGTGCATCTTGACTGAAAGAAGCAGATGAAGTCGTAACAAACATTAGCACATGGTAATAAGCGAAAGGCATTGGTCTCTTCGATTACTTATAAGCATAAAGTGAGTTACCACTAGCATCCACTTTCAATAACACTCGAAGGAGACGTCTCTCCTGACCTTTACTGCTGCACTTGCAGGAGTGACATTCCAAAGGCTCCCCACTTGCCTATGAGTTTAATACCACGCCCTGAAGCACTTGCGCCTTTCTGAATACTACCATAGTACCTCCACCTATGTAGGCCAACCCCGCAGGATTTAACCGGGCGATCAAGGCCCGGGGAATGATCTTTCCTCAAAGTTGGGGTCTTCTGGAGATGAACGCGGGGCACCGTGGGGTTAACCAATGCTGATTCGCTACCTGTCACGGCCTGCCTACCTCGCGATGCGGATGGCAGATGCATTGGCGGAAATGCTGCTGTGCCCCTCGCTTTGAAATACCGCGAGCCAGTCAACCCGAATAAGTGGGTATGTTACTGCGAAGAGTAAGTACATCGCACTCTCATTAAAAGAAATTGGGTAGTTTTGGAGAAGACGATATTTCAAGAGGATTTTCTGATCTTCTCTTCTAAACGTGGTCAACGATTGTTTACGCCCATGGATATTGGACACGACACCATCTTAATAGAGGTACCGAAACCACGACATGCGCCTGATTAAGCCATCTCAACCAAACAAAGGAAGGAAGGACCTGCGGAAAAACACCCGGAAACAAAGCCTCGACATTCCTTCCTATAGCCACTTTGTGTTATCACTCTTCGAATGACTCCTCTTCACGGTAGCTCAGATCTATCAGGCTTCTCCCGAATCTCGGGCATCTCGTACACCGCTCTTGCGTCATGCGAAAGCTCCGCGTGTGATCCATGTCCATAGGTACCCTGAGACGGGTGGCCTCCTTGCTGATAGTATTGCGAGGGATGAGGTCGTGGGGATCCCACGGGCGTCGGGGAGACGGTGCTCATGCTCATGTCCGACACAGGCCGCTGGATGCCCGTGCCGTCTGAGAAGGTCGAGGGCGAGTTGGGATACACGATGTTTTGCTTGTCGTAGCCCTGATACGGTGCTGGAGACGACGGCATTCCCGGTGAGTAATATTGAGGAGCGGGAGAGGACTGGGGATCTTGCGCTGGTGCCGGTGCCGGTGTAGGTGCTGATGTTTGGGCCTGGGCCTTTCCACGACGTCGCCGCCACATGAAGAAGACGGCTGCGAGAATAGCAATACCGCCCAGAGCTGCCCCGACTGCAATACCTGCAATGGCGCCTGTGCTCAATCCACCATCATCGGAGTCTCTGATAGGAACTCTAGTTGCTTGAGGCTTGGAGCCTATATCGGTTGCTTCGTCGGGTACAAATCCTTTGCTGGGAATCGGAATAGGGGCAAAGATCGCAGTGACTTGTTTGCCCAGGTCTGTGCAGCGGTTGGGCAGATCCGGCAGGTTAATCATTGTAAAAGGCCAAATGGGCATCGTAGCATCCTCGTTGCCCGGCTCAAGGGGACACCTATCGCCGCAGGTGTCCGGGTGGTTGCAGACCCAAGGTTGGTCTTCGCTTTCTCTGTCTTTGTTGTCGCACCGGACAAGGCCAATCCACGGGGACTTGCCTAGAGTCCATCGTCAATTAATCATCAAGCCCAATGGAGTGTGACTGCGCGCAGCTTACCTCGATCTAGATCACCCTTGTGCGGGCAGCTTGAATGAGAATAAGTTTCGTCATTGCAGCCATACTGGTATGTGTTGGTTGTCTTTGGGTCCCAGCAGCTGTTATGGTCCAAACACTCATGGCCCGCAAAGCAGCACCAGGCGTAGTCATTCGGACCCACGTCCGTCTCATTCTGGCATGGCAGAAGCTCAGGAGGAGCGACGGCGCCTTTGTCGTAATAACACTGGTTCCAGTTTTCATGCCCTGAGACCAACGAGGTGGACGCGACAAGAACAATACCGAGAATCGTCTTCAGCATCGTGTCCGTGGTGCGAATTGTCAAAAGCTTCCAAGGGACGGTTCGACGTGTTGACCAGGCTCTAACGACGATTCCACGCGTGAGCTTGTTTGGTGGGGAGGAAGACAGTGGAAGTGAAAGAGATAGAGAACGAAGACGACGAGGAATCCCAGGCAAAAGTGGAACAATAGGCTACTAGGTCTGCTTCCTAACTTTTCTCTCCGATGTGCTCGCCAACCAACAGGAGTCCATCGCTGTGCAGCTGAGTCTTGAGCCAAGCCGTTCTGCTGACAGCCCCCAACAGCCAAGCCTCAGCCTGCTTCCAGCCTGCCTCCCGTCCGCTCCTGACTGTGATATTGACTGCACCAACACACCAGTTAAGCTGTAGGATCTGCAGAGATTTGTCAATGATCACGCTCATCTTTGACGTTCGTGTCTTACAGACCAGTTGTGACACCCAGCTAGGAGTTCCGAACCCCATGCCCCGCATTCTGCCATTCCACTCTAGAGGCAGGCTGCCGACATGAAGCCAAAAGGAGCTACATCCCATGTACCGCTAAAGGGTAATAGTTCATAAGTGTACTGGGTACAGCTAGGCAGGATCAACTCCAAGAGATCAGCGGTTTATTGCAGACTGGATGTCAAGCTCGATGAGAAGGATATGGGAACGCAGTGAGCACCAAACGTACCGACGTGATCTAGCAGGTGAGAGGATCATGGTGAGAAAGGATTCTTCGTAGCCAGTGGCGTGTCACAATCGCCCACCTTAGTGTTGCCAGTTTGAGGTCCCAGGTCAGCTCAAGCGCCACAACGCAACACTAGCAGCAGGCGGACAAGGTTGTGTACCCCACAAGAGTGTGGTCAGCATGAAGGTTGTGTGCAATCTGGGGAACCCGTATCGTGCACGTAGACTGTTTGCTGGTAATCTGAGACTGTCTGTGTTGGTAGCCGTAAATGAGCCGGATCGAAGATGGCAACACTTTACCGCCCTCGCAACTCTCCTAGATACCACACGTCAGATACCATGGAAGAGTTTATCCAATGACAGCAAAAAGGACGACTCCATTAAACGACAGATCCCTTGGCGGCTTTACGAATTCTGTTTCCGCCCACTAAGCCCTGAGGACTTGCTCGGGCCGGGCCGTTGGAGGCAGCGTTTCCACGCTGTGGGCCGTCAGGTGGGACCGGCGAGATGCCAGCATCACAGTCCTCACAATGTTTCGATGAAAAGGAGAATGTCTCCCACCTCCCATCGAATCCTGAAACACCAGCTCACTTTCTTCGGCATTTGGGCACTTGAGCCACCTCAGTCTCGGTCGGGGATCACGTCGCGTTTAATCAACATAACGTCTCGCATGCATCCATGAATCAAGGCGCAATCAACATCACTAGGACGTCACTCAGACTCACGATTGAAAGCTCAACGAGCGTTGTTGACAACAAGACATATCAACCATTTCTTGGGAGCTGCGAATGCTTGCCGCATCATAGAGTGGCAGTTCATTGCATTGCTGACATCGAAGGTGGCCATCTTGAACTACGTTTCAAAGAACCCTCCACAACAACCCTGGGCCTTCCAGAACATACCCATGTAATGTTTTCTATATCAATATACTATCACATCTAACTTCAGACGAAGCGGGTCAATTGCCGGCAACTCGTCCTCGCTTCGTCTTGGCGGCAGTCATCACAACACCTTATCTCCACGGTGTATAAGTCCGAAAAATGCAACCGGCTGACACGGGTTCCGCGGTGTCCACGCTGAACTGAGGGACCAATACCACATTTCTAGGATATTTCCAGGCCATACAATGTCGCCTGCCTTCTCGAGAGTTTACTGGAGACTGGGAAACATGTAATAGCGAAAGTCAAAGCTTTTACAACGTCATGATGGAAACCCCGAGAGATGTACCCGGCTGACATTGACCGAGACCAACGCCGAGATGAAGAGCAATGCAGCCCCGGACCCATACAACAAGCTGTCGCCTGCCTTTTTAAGACCTAGTTATGAGCGATCAAAATAGCAGTCAAAGACTGGAAATGGCGATTGCGAACTATAAAACACGTTGGGTTCTTGGTCATAACTAGATGGATAGAACGCTCTACACACCCAAGAAAACTCCACCATGAAGGCGAACTCGATCGCTCAACTCGCCCTCGCCGTTCTCGCCTCCCCCAGCGAGGTCGCCGCTGCATCATGCCAACAAAGCGTAACCTCTTCCTCAGCCCTGGACCTCAAATCTTGCAAGACTGACCACTTCCGCCCCCATCGCAGTGTGCCGAGCTCTCCTCCACCTTCGGCCCCGCGCTCTTCTACCCCCAAAACGACACCACGCAGTTCTGGGACCAGAAGCAGCAACTCGCCGGCCAAATCTGCCGCGTCGAGCCGTCCACCCCGGGAGACGTGGCCAAGGCGCTCAACATCGTGATCACGAACGCGTGCCCATTCGCGACCAAGGGCGGCGGCCACTCGCGCGAGGTCAACGACTCCAACGCCCCGGGCGGCGTGACCATCGACACTGTGCGTATGCGCAAGGTCGTGCCGGATGAGGAGGACAAGATGATCGTGACGCTCGGCGCGGGGCATAACCTCGGGAGCACCCTGACCGCGCTTTCCGGCCTGAAATTGTCCTTCCCCGTTGGGAGGGTTAGTTCCATTGGGCTCGGCGGCTTTCTCCTCGGCGGTGGCCAGGGCGATCTCGGCGGCAAGCTCGGCTTCGCGATGGACAACGTGCTCGAGTACGAGGTAACGTAGCCTCGAAAACCCTCCAAAGGCTCTGCCATCTAACATACCGCCAGATTGTCCTCGCTAACGGCACCATCACCACCGCCTGTCCCGCCACCAATCCCGACCTCTACTGGGCCCTCCGCGGCGGCGGCGGCAACAACTTCGGCATCGTCACCGCCTTCACGCTCCGCGCGGTCCCCGAGACGCCCATCTGGGCCGCCACGACGCGGTTCCCCGACAACCAGACGGCCGCGGTGACCGAGGAGCTCGACAAGCTTGTCACTGCGTCCGGCGCTGATCCGAACGCGAATTTCTACACCGACTACCGCATCGCGCCTGCGACGGGCGAGTTCGTGTACACCGTGCAGCAGCGGTACCTCAACGCGACGGTGGCCCCGGCGGCGTATGATGGGCTGAACGCGGTGCCGTATTTGTCGAGGACGGGGAATTTGACGTCGCCTAATTTTGCGAGTGATGTTGCTTATGGTGTCCGGTATGCTTCTCCTCATCAGATAATTTGACCCAGAGTCTGACTTCACCCACTTCAACATAGACACATCTTCGTCTCCCTCAGCTGGCACTCCTCCCCAGCAATGCTCCAACGCGCCGCCTCAATCTTCAAAACCGAAGCCCTCAAAGTACAGAACGTCACTGGTCTCACCGCAGGCATGGACTCGCAACCCATCACGCTCTCCGCGCTGCGCATCGCCCAAGAGCGTGGTGGCAATGCCTTCGGGCTATCAAGCGACAAGGCCATCCTCGGTACGCCACCTTCCTCCCTCACTGTATCCATATCTAACATCGCCACGCAGAGAATCTCATCACCATCGCCTGGGCCAACGCCGCCGACGACGCGGCCATGTACGCCTTCGCGGACGCCTGGCTCGCGCAGACAGAGGCCGCCTCCCGCGAGCTGGGCGTCTTCGTCCCGTACCGCTACACGAACCACGCGTTCCGCAGCAGGCAGGATGTGCTGGGGTCGTATGGCGAGGAGAACCTGGCCCGTCTGCGGAGCGTGCAGCGCGCGGTTGATCCCAAGGGTGTGTTTACGTCGAAGGGGCTGTGTACGGGGTATTGGAAGCTTTTGTAGATAGAATTCGTGACGAGTCAGCACATCTTGTTGTCTTGGGCTGTGAGAAGAAGTTGTATGTCGTGGAACGGAGAAAAGCGGGCTCCGCAGGAAATCACCGGCTAGTATTGGCTCTTTAATCTAATCCGGCATTGTGTGATTCATCCTTCCATAGGAACACCAAAAACTTCACATCACAACTCCAACTCATCCATCATCCACCAACAGACTCCCCAAAATGACCACTCTCAACCCCGCGCGCCTCCCCTTACAAGCCCAACTAACCCACCTCCGCACAATCCTCTCCACAAACACGACCCTCATCACCGTCCTCACCCGCGCCGCAGCCCTCAACCTGCCAAACTGGTACCTCGCCGCCGGCGCCGTCTCCCAAACCATCTGGAACCACATGAGCGGCCTGCCGCCCGCCACCGGCATCCATGATTACGACCTCGTCTACTTCGACGACACAGACCTCTCCTGGGAAGCCGAGGACGCGGCCATCCAGCGCGGGCGGGCGCTCTTTGCCGACATCGCTGCTGAAGTTGAGATCCGCAACCAGGCGCGGGTGCATCTGTGGTACGAGGCCAAGTTCGGCGCGCCGTGTCCGCGGCATAAGAGCGTGGAGGCCGGGATCGATAGCTGGATTGCGACGAGCGCGATGATTGGCGTGCGGGTGGAGGCGGATGGGGAGTGGAGGGTGTATGCGCCGCGGGGGCTGTCTGATTTCTTTAACATCGTCGTGAGGCCGAATCCGCAGATTGGGGTGCGGGAGAAGTATGAGGAGAAGACGAGGCGGTGGTTGGGTATTTGGACGGGGTTGACGGTTATGCCGTGGGTTGACAAGGAAGAGCCCCTGAAACTGGTCTCGTGAAAATGATGTACATCTTCTTGATCAAGTCTACATCCCACACTCAGTCCCTCTTATCAAGCTTCATCTCCCCAAGCATCCTCTCCACCGCCTCCCGCCCCTTAACCGCATACCCCTCCAAATCATCCCCATACTTCTCCCCAAACCTCCCATCAAACACCTCCACCGACAACCACCCTCTAAACCCCGTCCTCATCACCGCCTCCAGAAACGGCACAATCGGGAGATACCCTCCGTCATACGGCAACGGCCTATAATCATGGCTCCACCTTCCCCTCGGCCTCAGCCCCTCCTCGCCCACCACCCGCGCCTCCAGCGGCGGGTTCACCTTATACGCATCGCTAATCTGCAAAAAGAAGATCTTATCCTTCGGCACCGCGGCGCTCAACTCCGCCAGACTCTTCTCCCACGCCGCCTCCGCGCCGGCAGCCTCAACCCGCCCCGACGCCGTCGTCGGATCCCCCCACTCCCCGCCCGCAGACTGGAACGTGTCCAGACACAGCCCGACGTTCGCCCTATCCACACGCTGCACGACATCCCACACGTCGCGCCACCCCGGGGAGCGGGTCGCCCAGCACCAGTTCTCGTACGCGAATTTGAACCCCCTGGTCCCCAACAGATCCGCCAACTCGCGCAGATCAGCGACCACGTCCTCCTCCTTTGCCTCCTTGATGCCCGGAGAATCCGACGATCCCACCTGTAGCATGTCCGTCCCCACGGCACTCATGATCTCCATCCAGCCCCTGGCGCGTTTGAACGCCTCCTCACGTTCTTTGCTGCCGCGCGGCCAGCCTTCGAAGTTGGCGAACGGCTGGAGGACCATGATTTGCAGGTTGAGCTGCGCGCAGAGCGCGCGGACGGCGGCGCCGGCTTCGCAGAGGGCGGGGTAGTCGTCATCGGCGACGTCTTTGTCCAGGTGCGTTTGGGCGAAGGATTGGAGGTCCGGGAAGGACAGCTCAATGCCTGAGAAGCCGGCGGCGGCGATGGCGTGGAGCTTTTGGGAGAGGGTGTGGTTGGAGGTGCCGATGGAGCAGGAGGCGAAGGAGAGGGGGTTGGGGTAGCGGGATGTGGTTTGGTTTGACATTTTCGAATTCGCTTTTGATGATAACGTTTCTAGATGGGTTATTCGCGAACAGTGAGAATGAGGGTTGATGGGCGATGGCTGAAGTCGTGGTTGAAGTAACATGAGATATGCGCCTCTGCGGTTCGATGATGTCAGCGCTGTGATGTCAAAGACATGTCACTCCGCGCCGCCAAAATGCAAAGCACCCCACATCGGACGTCCATGATGTTTTGTGTGGTGAATATGAAATGTACAGTCTATTGATGCCCCGAATTTTAATCTAAACCGTTTTGACCCAAGTAAAAAGAAGAAACTCGCCTGCTATTAATACAATCTAACCACTTTGCCTAAATGCAACACGAACCCTGCGTGGTTTAATCCACCTTGGGCTGCTTGTTGTTGACTTCCGCCCGCTTCACTGCCTGGATGAGCCCGATGCCAGCAACCGCACTCGCGCCGTCGTCGGCCTGGGTGCTCCAGAAGGATTCGTGGCCCATGACGCGGATCGACTTGCGGCGCTCGCGCTCGGCGACGGAGAGCATCAGCCCGGACTGCCTGTTGGCCTCGAGCTCCTCGAGGTGCTTGACGCGCGTGGCGTAGCGTTGCTGCCGCTGCTTGCGGATCTGCTCGGAGCCGATGCGCTGCAGCACGAATTTGACGACGGCGCGCAGGCCGAGGAAGATGTGCTCGCTGATGAAGATGGTGATGGGCAGCGCCCACCACGCGCCGCGGCCGATGGTGTTGGCGCCGAAGAGGTGCACGATGGCGCCGGTGGAGATGGAGCCGGCCCATGTGAGGACATCGAGAGAGTTGATCCACGGCCCGATTCCGTCGGTGCGGACGGGCGCGGGGCGCTGGAACTCGTTGCAGATCTTGAGGAAGTCGGTGCGCAGCTCGATGACGTTGTTGACGAGGAAGCCGATGGGGATGAGAGGCCAGACGGGGGAGAAGAGGGAGAGGTAGCCGAACTGGAGGACGATCTCGGCGATGTCATCCTGGACGTTGTACTTGTCGAGGGTGGCCTGGTTGCGGGCGGTGCGGAGGAAGCGGGCCTCTTCCGGGTCGTCCTTGACGATGGAGAGGAGCATGGCGTCCTTGGAGTGGGCGCGCTTGTAGTCGCGGTAGAGGCCCTGGGCCTTGTGCTTGAGGACAGGCATGACGTTCTCGTCGAAGAAGCCCGAGATCTGACCAGTGACGACGAGGGCGATGACCTCGTCGCGGAGACGGTCCGAGTCGACGTGGAAGGTGAGGTCGTCGTCCATGTACTTCTGGCCGATGGCGCCGAGGAAGGACTTCGTCATGCCCTCGAGCCACGGGACGACGTCATCGCCAAAGGGGACGTAGATGAAGGCGGTGATGAGAATGGGGAGGTAGTTGGTGATGATGTTGAGGACAAAGATCTTTTGCGTCAAGGACATCTCGTGGTAGTCGGCGGTGCGGTGGTTCTCGTACTTTGTGAGGATGGTGGCGACTTCCTCGAGACCGCTGCTGATGTACGGCAGTGCGATGGCCAGCAGGCAGGTGGGGACGTATTCCTAGTGATGTGTTAGCCCAGGTGTGTGATTGATTGACGATAGCAGCTTACCATCAGGTTCTTGTACGGCCCGTCATATCCTTCTGATATGAGGACCTCGATGGCGAAGACGAGGATGATGATGGTGCCGAGGGCAACGGCAGAGAACAGAATGAAAGGAATCTGGAGGAGCTGGCGAGTCACCTGCTTCCATTTGGGGAAGTAGTGCTTCTGTTGGCCGGTCTCGTCGATGATGATCTTCTCGTACTTGAATTGAGGACGGTTAACCTTGACCTTGCCGATGCCCTGGACGTTCCAGCGTATGCCGAGGTCGACCTCCTGGATCTTCCAGTACTCGAGGAAGACTGTGCACCAGACACACGTCGCGATGGCGTAGGTCAGAGAGTACTTGTCGAGATACATCCACGCAATGACACCGGTGATGGCGGGGAATGAAAGGAAAACGAGATAGGTCTGAATAAAAGCAAAGTAGAAGGCGACCTGGAGAGGGTTAGCTGATAACCAGAACGGCACCGAATAGGGCATACCTTTGATCCCCAGAGGTCGCGAATGGAGTCGAGGTCGTCCATGGTCAGGAACAGACGCTTGCTGAGATGCTTCAGCAAGGACTCGTTCGTCTCCTCGTTGTGAAGCGGAAAGATGGACTTGACATTCTTCCATTGTCCCGTCTCAGGGGTGATGCCAGCACCGCCAAGAGACTTGGGCCAGTTGACGAGATGGTAGACCGAGAGGATGTCCTCGGCCTCATACGCGCCGTCGACGACGGTGGTGTTGTTGCCGCCGGGGTGGTCGGGGACGATGCCGTAGAGCCAGTCCTTCACTCTGCAAACAAGGGTCAGCTGGCCGGGCGGGGTCCTCTGGCAGAACGTGGAAGGCGGTCTGACCTCGACTTGTAGACCGTGTTCCCGAGAAGCTCACGCGGGGCCTTGACGAAGATGAGAAGCGTCTGCTCATAGCCGGCTCTCACCTCGGTCTGCAGACCGGCATGCTCTAGGTCGTTGAGGAGGGTGGTGAGCTCCTTGACAGCCGTCTCGGAGTCTGCGGTTGGGTCAGTCGATTTCGCTTCACCACAGATATCTAGCACAAAGAGACTCACCGATCTCGCTGAAGTCGTAGGCTACAACGTACTTGTCGTTGTAGCTCTGCGGCTTGCGGGGCATGCGGTGAATGGGGTCCGTCATCACCCTGGCTAGCTTATCCATGATGCCCATCTTCCCTCCACGTGAACCGCGACAGCGGCGCGGGAGAAGGCGTGATTATGTAGTGCGCGGGGCAGGCGGCAATGGGAAGAGTCGGCACGGCCGATGTGATGTGCGTGTGGTGACCAGACCCACGGATTGGGGCCGCCCTGAAAATGGCAATTAAAACAGGTCGACGTCGACGTCGGAAGAATGAACCGGAGGGGGAAAGGAAGAATGGAGCTCTGCGGCGGCGGCGGCGGCGGGACCCCAGTTGAGGTGTGACCCAGCACGATGGCACCGTCCGAAGATCTGGAAGGGTGGTATGGTGTCACTGTCACAGTCCAGCGTGTGTGTGTGTGGTGGTGGAAGTATGTGTTTGGTTACAAAGGCCGAGGCTCTGACTCCTACTCCTGGGTGACGGTCAGCCAGAACAGACCAGCGGCAGCAAGGCGGAAAGAACAGATTGTTGGCGAGATTGAAACCTCAGCCGCCTGGGGGAAACAGTGCGGAAGCAGGCTGGAAAGGGAGAAGGCGGAAAAAACTACAGAATTGTGGCCCTGGCTCTCCCCTGAGCTGGAACATCGGCAGCCAATGCGCGCCGCCGCGATGGTCTTTTGCCGGGGTCAGGTCGCTTGTGTGTCGCTCACCAAGAGCTGAACGCGTCAGCGGACTCCACACGCCCAGAGTTTCCGCTGCCGCAGAGCCGCGCACAAGGCTTAGCTCGCCAGAAGAAGCGTAGCCTTTCTTGGGGTCGAAATTGGGAGCTGTGGCTATCCCGATGAGGCTTGCCTGCTGACCCTGATATTGAATTGAAATGATTGAGAACAGTCGAAAGAAACCTGGGGTAAGGCGACAAGACGCGAACAAGACGCGCTGAGCCGAGACACTGTCCAGCCGGGAACCCGGCAAGCGAAACTGTTGTCGACTCGATAACTACCCCGACTCTGGCATCGTCACGACAAACAGCGTTAGGGCTGAGTGATCGCAATCAAGGATAGGCCACGAGATTGGGGCTGGTGCCGTGTTAGCCATGATGGGACGATTGTGATGGGACGGCCGGCACCCGAAGACACCGCTTGGCGACAATCGCTCGCGCCTATTTTTAGCGTGAGAGTGCTGACTCAGCTGGGGAGTGCGGGGCAGTGCATGTGACATCACCCTGGCCTCAGCTCGCAGACACCGTCACCTACACCGAGGCTAGCATGCTTCACCGAGGCTACTCACCGAGACGTGGCAGTGGCCATTTACATCTTCCTGCCACTGGCTCCAGCTCAGAGGCGATTTCGTCTACTTCACTCCGAACTTTTACTAGCTACCAATAATGATGGAGATGGGACTGCATGTTATATGAAACCGCGTTACTGCCCGAAGCTTGACGTCTACCTCTGCTAATTTCAACAGCCCAAGTCCCTTGCTCGACGTCCCGTGCTCAAAATCCATACCCACCAACAACCAACACAACCCCCACGGATCTCAGATGTTGCAATCCTCAGTCTGTTCCCGAGCTTTCCTGGCAGAAAGCACTCTCGACCTCGATTCCAGGCACTCCGCGAAGCAATTCCATGTCCAAACCGTCCCTCACCAACCATCGCCCATGGACATGCATGGCTTCTCCCCATTGCCAAACATACTCAGTGTGCTCTTCCAATTTCAGGCCATAATATATCTCGTCGATAGCTTCTCCTAGAGTTGACGGCGCCTCGAGACAGTCGCAATCCGGCAGCTTCACGTCCTTATGTTCCTTGAAGGCTGGCTTCAGAAGCGGTCTCAAGGACTTGCACTTGGCAGGCTCGCGGGGGTGACGATCCAAGGAGAAATCGTACAAGGCCTTCTGCCGCAAAGCTGGGACGAACAGGTAGATATCCGTGAGTAAGGGGAACAGTCGACACATATTCCCGAGAAGCAGGCGCCAGCGGGCAACGTGTTCCAGATGGGTGAGGAAACGTTGCTGGCCTGGGTGGAACGCCGACCACGGGATTGCAAGTCTTCGAATCTGGCGGAGGACTTCTTTGTTCCCGACTTTGCTCCAATTGTCATCAATACCGTAGCGGTGTGTTTTGAAGCGAGACAAAATAACGATGTCGTGGCGGAAGTCAAACCATACTGGACCAGAAGTCATGTTGTGGGGATTGAGTGGAAGGCATGTGAATTTTGAACGTCGCAGAGCTACCTGACGAGAGGTGTGGCACACAGAAAGCATGGCTGGGGGAATAGCTTCCTGTTGTGCTCCCGGAAAGACGAGAAGGCGATTGTAGAGTGTCCCTCTGTACCATGAGTGCTGATTGAATAGTGGCCCTGTTTTATCGTAATTCTCGAGCTGTCCATCGATGACCTGCCGCTTCGGCTTTGATGGCTGATCAAAGACCGCCTCCCAGATGAGCAACTGCAGCTCGTATGGGAACTTCGAAAATTGGGGGAAGGACACCTCCATGGTGTTGTTGACGATGAGGTGACGATAAACGTTGTGACGCGTCTATTCTAGATCAGTGAATGCGCAGGGAAGAGCTGAAAGAAATTTCTCACCCGATGGGCTGTTATGCAGGTGGCCGAATCTGTTCAAATTGTCCGAGTTCGCAGGTGCAGAGGTGAGCCTATGAGGTGGCGAGAATGTGAGACACCGTTGACAAGGGAAAAGCGGATGGCTCTTGTGGTATTGCGGATTCGACACTCATAAAAAAGTGAAAGGTTGATGGGAAGACTGAGGTTTTCTCACAAAAGAAAAGTGAGAGGTGGAAAGGAAGACTGGGTTTTGCTGAGGTGCAGCTCAAAGAAATGGGCAAGAGCAGACTTTTCTAGTTGGGTGAAGTAAGGTGAGGTAGGTAAATACTGATCTCCTGCCTTCTGAGGCAGTCGCGCCGGCCTCAACCTCCTTCCTTGATTCCACCTGCCTCGCCAGAACATCATCATTATTAGCGCCGACTATTCTGATACTTCGGCCCGTCCAGGAAGAGCGTCCCATATCAAATCATCTTGCGAACCTCTGGTAATATCTATCCTCCCCACATATGGTTACTTCTTCCGTTCTAAATGCAACTACTTCCTCAGAGCTGCAATCCAGATCGATAGACTTCACCATCAATGACAACTTTGGCTGGTCCCAAGAGACTCCAACTACCTTTGTAGGCGTCTGCGGAGTCGAATTACACGTCCGTCTTGAACGAGTAGTTGAGTCGGCTTCAGGACTCAGTGAATGCAGTTAGGGATGAATGATTGGATATGCAAGTCGGAACTACACATTGCCATGCCTACACAATGACTGTTTTCAGCTGAAGTTGATTAGCTATGGATCCACGAAAATAAATTCTTTGTTGCCGACAATGTTCAGTCATCGTCTTTTCATACGAGATGGCAGTTGTTCAGCACTGCATCCCTTGAAAACCATTGACCTATGGGAAATGAGCTATAAATACTTGTATTTATGTATGTGCATGTGAAGACTGTCAAGTTGAGAGAAGATTTTGGAAATGATACATGCTGTGCTGTGCGGGGGACACTTGCGCAGCGGCACACGTCTATATCTGAACGATACGAACAGTTCGCATATCGAAAGTGCGTTACTAACCAATAACCCAGGTTATCATCCTCACTGCAAATATAGACTCCAAACGGCAACCTTCAACAGCAGTTGTCGGCGCTGCGATTAGACCCGAGCAAGTGAGCGGCTCATGGCTCCCGCGCACCTCCTCCGCGGTAGTTACACCGTTAGACATCACCGTCAACGATTTCGACCCCGTTCAACACATCTCACTAGCGACGAGATCTAAGCGCTCAGAAAATTCAGTGGATTATCCGCCGTTTAGATAAGCTTTCGGACATAACGCCGGTTGTGCTCCGCGTCAACTGTGCGGCGGAATGTGCCGATGTCCGTAGCTCTTACATGGCGGCGCCTAACTTACTCATCAGGCTAGTGATGCAGATCCAAAACTGAAGTCGACATTGTATTACTTGCTAAGTCGACGGCTTTCATCGGCGCCGAGAGGGCCGAGCGGTTGTCATATCGTCATGGTAGGATGCCGCCGCATCTCGCGCGCTCGGCACCATGGACCTCCGTGAGGTGCTATCAATCAAGACTATTCTAATAAATCTGACAAGACCACCTTTCTTTTAAGGTTGGTAATCGGCATCAAATCCAATGTTTTCTCACCTCACATCGTCAACAACAATTACCAAACTGGATGAAATCCGAAATTCTGCATTTATCACGAACAGACATCATCATCCAAATACCAAGAAGTCGGGGCGCGAACTCTCACACCCACCAGAATGCCAAAAAGCACAAGAAACATCTCAAAAGAGACCATCACCGCCCTCTCCGACGCGCCCACACCTCCCCCGGGCAAGATCCTCCAAATCTGCTCCGGAAAAGTCAAAACCCTCGTCGCCGAACCGTCCGGCATCTTCAAACAAGTCCAACAAGGCAGCGTTTTCGTCAACGAGCACGGCATAGGCAACGACGAGCACGCCTACCCCATCCACTGGAGCCCCGACCGCGCCCTGCACCAGTATGCCTCGGAACACTACGCCTCCTGGCGGTGCGAGGACGCCTGCCCCAAGCCGGAGCTATTCGACTACGGCGCCTTCGGGGAGAACATTGTTGGCACCAACATGAACGAGGAGAACGTCTGCGTCGGCGACGTCTACCGCATCGGCAAGGATGTTGTGGTGGAAGTGAGCGAGCCGCGCAGCCCATGCTATAAGCTGAACCTGCGCTTCGAATGGGGTAGGGCGCTGAAGCGCGTGAGTCGCACGGCGCGAACGGGGTGGAATATGAGAGTCATGACGGCAGGGTACATATGCGCGGGCGATGAGATCCAACTTGTGAAGCGGCCTCATCCGCGGTGGTCGATTCTCAACATCAAGTGCGTGATCCAGGGGAAGAGTGTGGCGCTGCCTTTGGTGGCGGAGCTGTGCAACTTGGACGTGGTGACGAGCATGGTCCGGGACTTTGCGCAGAACCGCTTGCAGTCGACGCCGAAGAGGTACGAAGTCGTGGACATCAAGCCCGTCACGTCGCGCGTCAAGCAGTTCACCTTTCAGCTCCGGGAGCCTTTCATAATCAACGAGCCCGCGTTTAGAGAGTTTGCGTTTGCGCAGATTGAGTTTGGCATGGGCGAGGAGAGGTATTCGCGTTCATACTCGATTGTGTCGGGCGACTTGAACCGGTTTTCGCTTGGTGTGGCTCACGACGATCATTCCAGGGGCGGATCGAGGTATCTTCACACGAAGCTCAAGGTCGGGGATATGACTACCATGGCCCCTGGCGGGGTTCCGAAAGCCGTGGAGGACGAGCAGAAATGCATCAAGGATGGGTTGGTTGAAAAACGACTCGTTATTATTGGGGGAATTGGCGTCACGGCCTTTCTCCCCAAGATTGTCGAGTGGGAGAAGAAGAACATTGACTACAACGTACATTACGCAACACGAAGCCGCGACGAGGCTGCTTTTCTGGACCGCTTTCCCGACGAAAAGATCACACTCTATGCCAAAACCGAAGGCAAGCGCCTGGACTTGAACAACCTGATCCAGGGTCCTGACAAAGACGGGAAGCACACCACGAGAATCTACTGCTGCGGACCAGAGGGACTGATGAACGCCGCGCAGAGACGAGCCGAAGGCCTGGGATACCCAGAACACATGCTTCACTTTGAGAGCTTCGGAGCGGACTCCGCGGGGACGAAGGGCGAGCCGTTCACCGTCGAAGTGAACGAGCTCGAGTCACGACGGAAGGAGACGTTGGACGTGCCCTCCGACAAGACGCTTTTGACGGTGTTACGGGAGGCAGGGTTTGACATGACCTTTTTCTGCGAAATGGGCGGCTGCGGTGCTTGCAAGGTGACTGTGTGCGATGGCAAGGTCGACCACAGAGGCACGGCGCTCTATCCCAAAGAGAAGAAAGACAACATGCTCAGCTGTGTTAGTCGTGGAAGTGGGCACATCAAGATAGAGTTAGATTGAGCTGAAATATACGCTTTCCTGAATTCATGTCTTCTCCGTTGCTGTCAGCGTCAATTGAAATGATGCTTAGATCAGAAGCGGCCTAGTCTGTGAAGAGTCACGTATTGAGTGGGACAAACCCCAGCTCTCATTCTTGGTGCTATTATCGCGATGAGTCAATCCTCATGCATTGAGCCGCTGCAAGGCGAGCTAGGGAGATCAGCGGCCCGTCTCACCAGCATGATCTCCAAAACCGCTATAAAAAGCGAATGAGAACGCCTGGCAACCGAGGATCAATCAACTCCAATTCAACACCACAATTAATTGCCCCTCTTCTACTTGAAGCTTATCAACCCATCCAACCACTATGAGAACCGTTGAAGAGTTCAAGATTGATCAATGGAGTACGTTAATACCACATATCTCATGAGCATCTGACAGCTAACCGAACACAGACCGTAAACATGCGGTAGGTGCAGTTTTTCCATCCCCTGCATGCACAGTATCTGACCCTTTCTAGTCCGGCAGCTTGTACGGCTTACATGGTAAGAGCCTTTCCCCTTCATTCTACCTCGACCCATACTTACGACCAAGGCTCGTTCACTGCGGCCCCTTCCATCAACGAGCTGAAGAAGCTTTCCACCAATCCCGACCTCGAGATTCTAAACCCAGACCTGAAGCTTAGCTATGGAAACCACGACGGCAAAGACAAGCTGCGCGACAGCATCGCCGCTCTCCACTCCTCAGGGGACAAGAAGCTGACCCGCGACAATGTTGTCATCACGCCCGGCTCCATCATGGCCAACTACATGCTTCTGGAAACCATCTGCGGCCCAGGCGACCACGTTGTCTGCCAGTACCCGACTTACGGACAACTCTACCTGATTCCTAAGCTGAACGGCGTGGAAGTCAGTCTCTGGAAGATGGATGACAGCAACGCATGGCTCCCGCGCATCGAGGAGCTGGAGCAGTTGATCCGGCCCAACACGAAAGCTATCATCTTGAAGTGCGATCCCTCGGCTCTGGGAGCATTCCTCACCTTTGCATACATCTCGATCTAACTTGATCATCAGTAATCCAAACAACCCGACCGGCGCCGTCCTCGACAAAGAAACCCTCCTCCGCGTCATCGACATCGCAAAGAAGGCCGACATCACCGTCTTCAGCGACGAAGTCTTCTCCCCACTGTTCTTCACTGATGCGAAGCCCCCCTCGATCGTATCCCTCGGCTACGCCAACACCGTCGCCACCGGCTCTCTCTCCAAGGCCTTCGCCCTCCCCGGCATCCGCCTCGGCTGGATCATCACGGAGAACGCCGAGCTCGTCAAGGCCATCAACATGAAGCGCGCCTACACCACCATCGCCGTGTCGCAGATCGACGGCGGCATTGCGTCCTTTGCCCTTGACCCAGCTGTCACGCCTGCACTCATGGAGCGAAATATCCAGCTGTGCCGCGAGGGGCTGGACCTGATTGAAGGGCTGGTGAAGCGAAACCCGGAGCGCGTGAAGTGGGTTAAGCCCCAGGGCGCAGGCACAGCGTTCATTCAGGTGCTCGATGGGAAGGGCGCGCCGGTTGACGATGTCGACTTTTGCGCGAAGCTGGCGGAGACCGAGAGTGTTTGTCTTATTCCCGGGGGATTCTGCTTTGGCGAGGGCGCCGAGGGTGACTTCAAGGGTTACATGAGGATCATTCTTGGAGACCCCGAGCTGCTGCGACAGGGACTCCCGGCGCTGGAGCGCTTCATCCGCAGCTACCCGTAGACTGGACCTCGCTGTTCATCCATAGCCCCATCCGTAGATGTCGAGAACTTGACATATGAGTCACAATCGAATAATCCATGAATCGACAGAAAACACCGAGCATGTAAGCGACGCCCTTCTCGATGTCATTGACAGATTCTGCCGCGGGTGACCGCCTCGACGCGGTCTCACGCCACGCCGCCCTCGTCGATGCGGGGATGGCTTGGCGATCAGAGTCTCATCTCACACTCACCTCATCAAACCACTCCAATCAACTGACTCAGCATTCATGTCGGAATGGGTGCCAAAACACATGAAGACCAGACGCCTGGGGGAAATGGTACGCCAACCCGTCCAAACATCACCACCATGACTGCTAACTCAGAACAGACGGCCCGCTCTCGTCCAGCCCCTCTTCAACCGGCGGCGAGCCCCGCGGCGCGCACCTCTCGCGCGATGGCGACGGCAGCCTCGGGGATGGCGGCGATGATGACGACGACGACGATGAGGCGACCGCCGTAATCGGCTCCACCGACAACGGCAAGAAGAAGCGAAAGCGAAAGCCTAAGAAGAAGAACAAGAAGAAGGCCGCTGCGACCGTCCAGTCGTCGCCGCCTCGCGTCCCGCTAAGCGAGCTGTTCACCGCGGGAGAGTATCCGGCTGGCGAGTTCCTCAACTACGAGCAGGACTTCACCACGTCTCGCACGACGGCCGAGGAGCTGCGGTACCTTAACCGGTACCATCTCGACGATCCGACGCTGCTGAGCGATTACCGCAAAGCCGCGGAAGTTCATCGGCAAGTGCGGTACTGGGTCCAGGATACCGTGAAGCCCGGACAAACGCTCACTGAGATTGCGAACGGGATTGAGGATGGCGTCAGGGCTCTTCTCGGGAACCAGGCCATCGAACCGGGAGATGGGCTGAAGGCTGGAATGGGATTCCCGACCGGCCTTTCTGTCAACTCGTGCGTGGCGCATTATACGCCTAATCCGGGCCAGCAGGACATCGTCCTCAAGCATGAGGATGTGATGAAAGTCGATTACGGCGTCCATGTCAGTGGTTGGATCGTCGACAGCGCATTCACGATGTCCTTCGACCCCGTATACGACGATCTCCTAGCCGCCGTCAAAGACGCGACGAACACGGGTATCAGAGTAAGCGACACCTGCCACCCAAGACTGCGCCGGGCGCCCCACTAACAGCAACAGACCGCCGGCATCGATGTCCGCATCTGCGACGTCTCCGCCGCGATCCAAGAGACCATGGAATCCTACGAAGTCACCATCGCCGGCAAGACCTACCCCATCAAGCCCGTGCGCAACATCTGCGCCCACGACATCAAGCACTACCGCATCCACGGCTCCAAACCGATCCCCTTCATCAAGAATGACGACGAGACCAAGATGGAGGAGGGCGAGATCTTCGCCATCGAGACCTTCGGCTCGACCGGCCGCGGCAAGACGTCCGACGACGTCGGCGTGTACGGGTATGGGCTCCGCGACGACGCGCCGAAGCACGTCAACCTGCCCTTTGCGAGCGCGAACAAGCTGTACAAGGTCATTCGCGAGCAGTTCGGCACACTGGTGTTCTGTCGGCGGTACCTGGAGAGGCTTGGCGTGGAGAGGTACTTGGCTGGGCTGAACTGCCTTGTCAAGGAGGGGATCTTGGAGTCTTATCCGCCGTTGGTGGATATCAAGGGGTCGTACTCTGCGCAGTTTGAGCACACGATCCTGCTGAGGGAGGAGAGGAAGGAGGTCATCAGTCGTGGAACTGATTACTGATCGAGCGTTGTCGTGCGACGACCAGGGGAACGGAGATTGCGCGATGTGGTTTTACACACGACTTTAACCCTACCCATGCGGCTAGATTCAACATCACCGTCCTGAATTTTCTTCTTACATCTTCAACAGTCGCTGCAGAGGCTCAACCCACCTGCTTTTACCTTCGTCGGCCCCACCAGTCTAGATTTTCTGCTGCAATACAGTCATTACCGAGCCTTCATTCATATTCAGAGAGAACATCATGCCTTCAGGTTACACATCGCCCTCGCATGTTGAGAAAACATCCAAACGGTTTTGACTCCGATATGCCGTTCATCGGAACTTGGCAAACCCGATCTACCCACTACACTCTGTGGCAGACCCATGCAAAACCAACAGCCGAATGTCCAAACACAGGACAGCACATCAATCTGACATGCGTGCGGTTTTGCGTAGCTGTTCGTCCAACTGGCATTGGCTGGCGGGGCCGCAAGAAATCGCGCTAAGTCGGCTGAGAGTCGCGTTCACTAATCACAAATCCCGTTGCCCAGGACCGCAGGACACCAACATCACCTTCGCTATTACAGCAAATCCATTTGAAAAGGATAAGTGAGATCGTTTTTCATCAAAAACTAACAGAGTACCATATCTTCGTTGCATACCTTTCCTTTGAGCGTTCATCTGTAAGCAAAGCAGTCCGTCCCAACACCAGGCCGTCCTGCCAACGTCCACACCACCCATGGATCACTATTCAGACCTCTCGCACAGATCACTAATCATACCTTTCCAACGCTGCACGCTCATAGGCCGAGGGTGGCTTTCTGGATCAGGCTCAGATGTGATTACCAACTGAATCCATCTCAAAGTCCAAGGGAGAACCATTCTCATTTTTAAGCTTCTCCGATGGCAGGTAGCCTGGGATGTGCTCCATCGCGCAATCCGGCCAGATGTAAGCTCATGCCATCTGAAGTCCGAAAAGTCTAATCAATAGTACGGATTTCGCCCAAGTCAACCGCCGATATCAACCCACGGCGCTGGGTTTTACGTGGTTAAATCAACGTGTGTTCCCCGAAAGCTGGTGGCAGAGGAGCAGCAAGCAATACCCTCGAATTCCCTCTACTCATTTTAATTCGTACCTAATCGTTGTTATTCTTCCCTGGCCATGGCTATAGCCAGCAATCCACCAACACAACCTTCTCCGGGACTTGAGCCCCCGTCAGAGGACATCGAGAAGCAATCCGGAAACGACACAACCTCCCTCGAAGATGGCACCCAAGCCCAGCAGCCACTCGCCTGGGACGACCCCCGAGAGAAGCGAAACCCCCAGAACTGGAGCCATCTCGTCAAAGTCCTCCACACCATGATCCCATGCTTCCTAGCATTCGAGATGTACGTTGCCCTCCCTCCACCCCCCTTCACCAAGCAGACCATCAACTTAAACCACCCCAAACAGCACCTTCTCAACCTCAATAACAGTCCCCGCCACCGCCCAAATAATGACCGAATTCTCCGTCTCCCGAACCCGTTCCCTCCTCCCCCTAACCCTGTACACCCTCGGCATCGCCGTCGGCCCCGTCTTCATCGCCCCCTTCTCCGAGGTCTTCGGCCGCAAGTGGATCTACTTCAGCACCTGCACCTTCCTCCTCGCCTTCCTCGGCGGCGCCTCCGCCGTGCGCTCCTTCTCCGGCCTGCTCGCCTGCCGTTTCCTTGCCGGCACCCTCGGCTCGGCCGGCATCGCCGTCGGCGCCGGCACAATCGCGGACATCTGGGGTCTCGGCGGCGGCGCGGGGGCCTCGCTTCTGTTTATTCTGGGTCCGTTCCTGGGGCCCACGTTGGGCCCGCTGGCGGGCGCGTATGTGCTGCAGGACCGCGGGGGCGATTGGCGGTGGACGCAGTATGTCCTGCTCATGGTGGGCGCGCCGATTTGGGTGGCCTCGTTGCTGATGCGGGAGACGTCCAAGGCGTGGATTCTGAGGAGGGAGATGGGGGAGCATCAGGATATTACGCTGGCTCGGTTGGGGACACTTGCGAAGGGGGCGGTGATGCGTCCGACGAAGATGCTGTTCACTGAGATCATCGTGTCCTCGCTTGCGATCTACTCGGCGTTTGCGTACGCAATGATCTTCAGCTACTTCGCTAGCTGTTCCTACATCCTCCAAAAACTTTACGGCTTCGACCTGCAAGAGGTTGGCCTGAGTTTCATCAGCATCATTATCGGGTACATACTTGCGACTGTCATGTACGGAGTGTTTGATGCGAGGTTCAGGGGACCGGCGCTCAAGGCGGGAACAGCGACGCCGGAGCAGAGGCTGTACGCGGCGCTTGTGGGAAGTGTTCTGCTGCCTGTCGGATTATTCTGGTAAGCCACCCTATAGTGAGCCACGATTTGAGAATGCTGACGCAGGTTTTAGGTATGCTTGGGAAGCACACGCTGGTGGGAATTGGGCTGCGTTGGTAGCAGCCGGGATCCCGTTTGGCATGGGAGCATTCTCGCTCTTCGTACGTACCCATCAAGTTTCATCAGACCTCGTTCCTAACATGATCCAGCTTTCTGTCATCACCTACATGGTCGACTTTTACGGTGCTAAGGCGGCTGCGTCAGGTAAGCATCCCAAATTACGCTTCTTGATTCACACTCGCTAATCCCCAAACAGCATTGGCCGCCAACGGCATCCTTCGCTACATTCTCGGCGCAGTATTTCCCTTATTCACTATTCAAATGTATGAGAAGCTAGGCGTCCACTGGGCCGGCAGCGTCTTCGCCTTCCTGTCTCTGCCACTACTCCCCATCCCTTGGTTGTTGCTCAAGTACGGACCGAGCTTGAGGCAGCGAAGCAAATTTGTCTCGAGCAACCCTTGAGTAGGAAGAAGCATGGGTATGATTTTAAAGGTCACCACTTTCATCCCTGCATTTAATGGACACAACGCGATATCAGGTAGCTTCAAATCTAGACATCTGAGACGTGTAATTTCCGTCATTCAAAACATTGCTGTTTTGTTTCTTCCATCCCACATAAGGGGCACGAGCCCAGTCTGCGCATCTAAACGTGATTCACAGAGTAAAGCCCGTTGATTTCAAGTTGCGGATCCGGACAAGGTAGATGGCGAAGCTGATTGAAGGCGTTGACGGCCGAAGGCGGATGGATGCGGAGGAAAACGGCTCATCTGGTCAGTCTGATTTGTCCTGTTATGCCATAATTACAACATTGCTAATATGTATGGAAAGTACAACCTGTTCTTCTGGAAACCCATCAATCCTCCGGGTCTCGTTAGTTCAACATTTGCTCATTAAAAGGACTGCCCGCATCACCAAGCAAAGGCTAGTCACATTCCAATACTCTGGCGATAGAGCATGACCTGATAGAGAAGGCTGGTCCTCAATTTCTCAGAAACCCACCAGTGACCACTCTTCCAATCCCTGACAATGTCCAGCAGTTCCAGCACACTCTGTCCTTTGCAATTCCGAATGCTCGGCTTGGCCCCTGCCATGATGAGAGTTGTCAACATGTCGGGGGCCCAACTGTCGAGAAAAGGATATTCGACGCGGCTTTTCATGGCGTTAATGATGAGCAAGAGAAGATATGCCAGCGGCGTGTTTCCGTTCTTGTCAATTGCATTGACATTGTCACTGCCACGATTAATGTCCTGGTCTGACCACCAATCATGTCCCCTCGCGTGGATAAAGCACTCGCGAATGAAGGCGTGAAGGAGCAGAGGGCCACCGCTGCTTGTCTTGGGACAGATGGCCAGGATTGCTCGAGCTTCGTCCCACGGTCCACCAGTGTTGATCGCCCTTTCTACAATTAGACGATATTGAACCGCTGTATCCGGATCCAACTTTCTCTTCCCTGCCATGAGAAGCTCAAGAATGGATTTCGAGTGCTGCTCCGCGGCGGACGGCGCGGGCGTACGTGTGAACCTTTTCGACTTCTGCCTGCATCCGGCTCTGATGGCGATGCTCAATGGCGTTTCCCCGTCGCTTGCGGGGACATGAATTGCAGCCTTCATGGCGACCAGGCGTCGACAAATCTGGAGGTGACCGTGATGCGCAGCAAAGTGAATTAAGCTCCAGCCATCGTAGCTGACTTTGTTGTTCATGTTCTTGACGTGGTAGAGGTCGCTTTTCATGTTCACCCAGTCCTTGTTGAGCTGAGCATTTGGTTCCATTTGCTCCACGACTGTACGCGCACCCAACGATATGGCGGTCGCGAGAAAGTATGGCTCTTTGAGAATGCGGCAAGTCGAGTCAATACCCACGAGCAACCGATACATTTTGTCGTTGAGCTCGTCATCGGCATGCCAGCTTTCGAATGCCATACTCCACAACTTGGCTAAATCGTCACGCTTGTTCGCCACATCCACCACAACATGGGCACCGCGTTCAAGCAGACCGCGTGCAAATCGGTGGCACCCCATTCCCATTGCTTTCATGATGAGCGTTTCGCTTTTGATGCAATGGTTGACATCCACCAAGCCCTCTGAAATTAAAAGGAGGACCCCGTCCGTAATCGACGGTAAGATTGTTTCATCGCCTCGGAAAAGCACACAAGGCTCTAGTAACGTTTCGGCTGCATCCACGCCGCCTTCCAAATGTCGCCCTATTTTCTTTGTGTGGTTCAAAATGATCGAGATTGTCGGTACCAAACTTGCCGACCATGCCTCCAGTTCCCCTTGAGGGCTCGGTGTTCCGGAAATCCGGCTTGCCGCGTGAGTCAACGCGCTCAAACTGTCGGCATCAGGATCGTGAAGATCGCCGCCCGACTTGAGAAGGAAATCGAGAATATCCACCCGATGTAATGAAGAAGAGAAGAGAACAGCGGTGTTCTTAGTGACATTGTCGACACCAAAATCGATAACATGACTGACAACCGCTAGGGCTGCATCGGAAGACGGAAGGCTGGCGGGAACTTTCTCCACCCAGAACGGCTGTACCCTGCAACATAGGTCGAGCACGCTGTTTGCATTAAGGGAGTGATCACTGCGCCCTCTCATGGCTTCTTCCAGGTTCGTATTGGGCCCAGGTTCATGGAGGAAGATGTCGGCACGGGCTCCGGCTTCGATTAGGGCGAGGGCTTCTCGGTAATGGCAATGATAGCAGGCTTCGACGAGTAGAGTGTGTCCTTCTCCCAAATCGTGCTCCAGGTCAGCCCCATGACGCAGCAATATCTCCAGAGCGAGTTCGAAGTTTTCCAACTCCCAGAAGGCTCTCCACACAAGGGTTCCGTCGAAGACATCTGGGTGAGTCTTCTCAATGTCGTCAAGCTCACGCTCGAGACAGAGCTCCGCAAACTCTGGGTAGGAGTGTCGCATGGCTGTGATGAACTTAGGAATTGGTCGAGTGATTCCGTCTCCTTCGAATAAGAGTCGCTCGCTGATATGGGGGCATATTTCGAGAATAAAGTAAGCTACCCCTTGGTGTCCGTGGCATAAGGCAATGTGGTAAGGTGTCCAAGCCGGATACATCACAGTCGGGTCGAAATCGTCTGTCCAGTCGGGGAAGTGGAGACAATTTTGATTCTTCGGATCCGACGCATGAACACAAAAGCCTTTTGAAGAGATGTTGAGAAGAGCTCCAGACTCAACAAGAAGAACGAGGGCTTCAAAGTTTCCTTGTCGCGCGGCGATGTGAACCGGAAACCAATAGACGGCCTTTGGCTCTTTCAAGATGTCGAGATAGTCGAGGTCGTCATCTAGCCATCTGACAACTCCGAATACTTCGGCGTCAAATCTCTTCCACAAAGCCCAATCAACACCGTCTTCATCATCATCGTCGTCGTCGTCATCCTCCTCCTCCTGCTGCTCGTCATCAATGTAATCTGCGATTAAGTCTTGGTACTCGCCGAAATCACCCTTGTTGAGCCAATCAGACCGAAGCTGAAATATCTCACCATCTCTTCGGTATTGCTGATCAAAACGTTGCTTGGCGGGCTCGGTGTCTTGATTCCATTCCTTGTATCCATCCTGAGGGCGGTAGCGAATAACGCCGGCGTTGGCGTGAAAGTTGGAAACGGATAGAATCTTGCTCATGACATTAAGATAACCAACGTCCGTGGCCCAGCAAAGAAGGTAGGGATGTCGCAAAACCCCGAGGTTGTAGAGCTTCGGTTCCGCAACAAAGTTGAAGAAGCGATCGGCAAGTGAGAGGGCCGCGAGTGCACTGATGACGGTGTCCCGGTGTTTGAAATCTTGACTTGGCGAACCCTGGTCGAAGAGGACATCGACAATGGCGATCTTCAACTCCGGGGGGAGTCGACCGAGGTTTGCCATCTTGGCGTCGTCAGTGGATTCTCGGTTGGTGTCGATGGGCTGTCGGTGGTGTTGTGGGAAAGGTTGTGGATTTCTCGTGGCTGGCTTTGGTAAAGGTGGGGCAGGCAGTCGCAAAGTTGAGTGATGCTGCCTTCCTTTCTGGAAAGAGCGACCTCCCGCACAAAGGCTTTGAGGAAAGCGCGACCCCTTCCACGGCTTCCATGAACGCAATTGCGAGCACCTTCCACAAGACCCCACAACACCAACCGCATCTGAGGTAGATGTTCTAAAGCTTTCTCCAAACACTGAATGTACTTGTATCTACCCTATTCCTTTGTTGCTGTCGACCACGGTCGTGCCTGATCTTCTTCCATCTGCTTTGGCCATGCAGTCTTCAATTGGGTCTGCCTCATTGTCTTTTTGGTACAATTTGCAATCCCTTTCTCGCCCTCGAACAGTCTTTTATACGACTCGCAAGTTTGGATGGGGTATCTTGTGTCTTTGCTTCACGATGATGAAGCGCGGCGAAATCAAGATGGAAAGCCCGTCCGATGAAGCCCCTTTCCTTGCTAGGTTTACGTAAGACACGGCATGACGTCGATGGCAGCAGTCAGCCACACCCAGCATCAAGTCTTTCCGACTTCAGCCACTCACTGCCTGTCCCTTCGCTGGCATCAGTACGAGAAACCACCCATGTCAGTATTCTGACGCGTAAGTTACCTTCCCTTCTCCTTGAGTCCATATTATTTGAGCGTCTTGTCAGTAACCATCACCTCCACGGCGTCATGCAACAGCAGCCTGTTCTGTGCCACCACGGATCTTCACCAAGACGCCGGTCGCCGAAAGTGTTTGCCACGCAACGCCCGCCAGTATCACCAAACTTCGCGTCGCCGAACCAAAATCATGAGTCGTCAGCATCAAAGCCGTATCGGAGGTGTTACCGTCCGCGCGGCGGAGATATCGGTGCCGAAACCAGCCTCCAACCCCGCCCCAACCGGGATCCAACCGCCCCAACTCCGCGCCGTTATTCCTCGCAGATCGTCCCCGCATCGCCGCCACGCTATTGATGCACCCCAGATTGAAGCAGGCAAGGTTGCTTCTGCAGGAAGGCCCCCCCATCGGCCGCCACCAACAACACCATTCAGCCTCTCGCCTCGCCATTCCCGCATCTCATGGCAAGGACCTGTCATCTAATCGACTCAGCGCCGTCAATGCGAACCAGAGAATCTGTCATCGTATTCTCCTCCTCGCATTCGCTCTCCCGCTCGAACACACCCTCAGGACGCACACAGTCTGATGTCACCGGAGCCCAACGGCACCCCGAAATCCGCAAACCAACCACTCCTTGGAGGAACACAAACACAAACCCCTTCATGTCGCGTCCCGTTATCGTTAGGGGATACGCGCGAAAACAATGAAACAACCCCGTCCCACCGTCCCAAATGCCAGCTACGCTCAGGCCCTTCGCGGCCTTGGAGCAGCACACCCGCCTGTCCCCAACAGAGCTTCGCCCAATACCCAATACGGCGCAAAAGACGGGAGAGACTGCCGCCCCCCGTCATCATGGGGCCAACAAAGAGTAACGTCAGCGCCCAGAGATCGGACGGGAGCACCCGCGCCATCGATTGGCTGCGCCCTGCACCGTTGATCCCGGCGCGGCATCGGCTCCGGTGAAGAAGAGTGGCGCCTGCTGCCTCGGCGGGCATGCACCCGGAAACAAGTTGTGCGCCTGCATAACTGGGGCATATATCATGGGCAGTACCCTCTCGCCAAGATGGTGTACTGGTCTTCGAATATCGTTCAGACGCCATCGGGCATCTAGAAGAAATCCACAAGTATTCCGACAGATACAGTGAACATGATTATCCCAAGCGACATCTCGAGCCTCAACAACGTCCGCCTGGCAGTGGCTCTGCCACTTGCCCTGGTAGCTCTTGTAAGCCTGCCCAAGCATTCAACCTTGCTCCACAAGAAGCAATACTGACAACACCACCAGGGCTTTCTCCGCGTGATATACAGAGCCGTCTACAACATCTACTTCCACCCTCTCTCCTGCTTCCCAGGCCCCAAGCTCAATGCAGTAACACGTCTGCCCTTCACTCGCATGCTCACCGCCGGCCATGCACACAAGACTCTTTTCGACCTGCACCGGAAATACGGCCCCATCGTGCGCCTCGCCCCCGACACTATCGACTTCGCCGACCCGCGTGCCTTCAAAGATCTCATGGGTCATTCCAAGGGCGGCGGCTCCGGTGGTGAGAATTACAAGGACCCTGTCAACGCCCGCTACAAGCCCCACAGCATCATCAACTCCAACCGCGAGGACCACGCCCGCATCCGCCGCGTCCTTGCGCACGGCTTCTCCGCGCAGAGCATGGTCGCGCAAGAGCCCCTGATCCAGAAGCAGGTCGACCTACTGATCCAGCGCCTGCACGAGAACTGCGAGGGCGGCGACAAGGCGCTGAACATGGTTTCGTGGTACAACTGGACGACGTTCGACATCATTGGCGACCTGGCTTTTGGCGAGCCGTTTGGATGCCTTGAGAGCTCCGAGTACCACCCCTGGGTGTCTGTCATTTTCGATAACATCCATGCTGGACTGTACAGGAATCAGTTTCAGCGGTACGCGCTGACGAGGCCGTTTGCGAAGTGGCTGATGCCCAAGGACTTGAAGGAGAAGCAGCGCATGCACAATAAGCTGAGCCAGGAAAAGGTCGAGAGGCGGATGGCGTTGGGCGAATCGAGACCTGATTTCGTACAGTCCATGATGATGAAGGAAGGCCCTCTGGTAGGTTTGCGTGCCCTTGAAACCAGAAGGTAGCTGACTGACGCGCGCTTGCAGGCCATGTCCAAGCCCGAGATTGAGCAGACCGCCGACACCCTCATCATCGCCGGCTCCGAGACAACAGCATCAGTGCTCTCCGGCGTCACCTACTTTTTGACGATGTATCCCGAAGCCATGGCCAAGCTCGTCGAGGAAGTGCGAACATCATTCAACTCCGAGAAGGAAATCGACATTCTGAGCGTCCAGCGCCTCAAGTACATGCTCGCCGTCCTCGACGAGAGCATGCGCGTCTACCCCGTCGTGCCGTTCGGTCTTACCCGAGTCATCAAGCCCGGCGGCGACTACATTTGCGAGACCTACGTACCCGGAGGCGTAAGTTTGAAAAGACCATTTCCACCGTGACAGAAGCTGATGAGTCCTGCAGACGAGAGTTATGGTCTCCCAGTGGTCCATCTACCGCGACGAGAAGTACTTCGCCCAACCGACGACGTTCATCCCCGAACGCTGGCTTGGCGACCCCCGCTTCGAGAACGACGACCGAAGCGCTCTTCAGCCCTTCTCATTTGGACCTCGGAACTGCATTGGAAGAAAGTGAGTTCTCTCTAACTCCGCTCATTGCAACATATCACTGACCATCGACTCCCAGCCTGGCCTACTCCGAGATGCGCGTCATCCTCGCCAGGGTCATCTGGAACTTCGACCTGAAGTTGGCAGAGGACAGCACCAATTGGACGGAGCAGAAGCTCTACGGGCTGTGGAAGAAGGGACCTTTGAACGTCCATCTGACACCAAGGAAGGTTGAGTGAAAGGCTGGTCATTGGATAAAAGCATGCTTGCTGCGTCGCCTTCGGCGCAAGGATGCAGGACAGAATGGGACAGGTGCATCATACGGAATTCATAATCATTATTATTCTAAAGCATTTCATGCATTGCTCATCAATCAGATCGCATTGTTCTGCTGAAGGAAGGAAGGTGTTTTGGAGGCTTTATTTGATGTTGTGCTGCTCGTCACATGCCTTATCCCAGATCTGAGGTAATAGCTGGCATTCTCTATACCTGCCTACGCCCCCCAGACCGTGGAGAGGGCATAGGAACTCGCATGAGACTACAATGTGATTTCCAGAATGGGGCTTTACATAATGGAGAGGATTTAGAGGTATTATTTTACTGAAGCCCTAGATCAGGAGCTTGATAGAACCTGACCTCACCTCAACCCCTGCCCAGCAAAGCATCCCCCATACCTGACGCCAACCCCAATTCCACCATACAAGCTTCTTTCATCTGCACTCTTCTAGCACCAGACTTCCCACCATTCCTTTCATCTCAAAAAAGCCCATATTCTCCTTCAAGTGTCTGTCCAATGTCTCAAAGACTTTCAGCAAAGCTCCATGATCCGTGTGTTGGGGAACTTCCCCAACTCACCCAGGAGAAGAAAGAAACACTCCAAACCCGCAACAAAATCATCCAAGCCTATTCCCCTTCCAGTGCCAAGGACCTGTCCTGCTGGGTGTAAGTTCTACCAGACTTCACAACCGAGAGAGCTAGTAGCGAAAGTGTTCTCGCCCAGCCGGTTCAAGTTGATGTTCATCTGTGCCCAGTACCGCCACAATCTGAATGCACGCGCTTGGGCTGCGGCATCAATGAAATTCGGAGAGCCCTTCGAGTCCTTGTCGAACATGACGAGCACGGGACCCAGAACCAGAGGCACAGCAATGTGCCCCATTGAAGCAAGGTGCCACCCGCACCAAGATGATGCTAGGATATTCTCCTTCCAGTGTTGTCCTTGCTGATGGCTCGGCGCACCAGACTTGACAATCGAATGAGCCCCTCTCTTTTTATAGCTGGAGAGGTTGCCTCATCACGAGCCATGCGCAGCGACGCCGCGGACGAAGAGAAGGGAGCCCATGAAACAAGCAATCATCTGGCTGGCCCACCGGGCTAGGGCAGAAGTCGATGGAGCTGGTGAACGAAGAGGACGGACAAAGCCCACTGCGATGGCCACCAGGTTCCCACCCCGAATGGCGTGTTGCTGATGGTGGGGACATGGCGGCACATCTCGGTGCCGATACCTGGAGTAGAGTTAGCAAGTCAAGCGTATGAAGATGGGAAGTAGATGAGAACATACCGGTGAAGCCGCTTCCGTTGGTCGGGATTGGCTAGTGAATGCCACCAATAATGATGGCGTTGCGAAGGTGTTGTCCGTAGCCCTTTCAACCCAAGATTGCAGCAGAGTAAGCAGGCAACTCTTTTACTCCATTGAAATCTCTGAGTGACCCTTGAAGTCATAGGGCTAGGAAATACAGCCCGATAGACTGTTGATGGATGGAACTGGTCTCGCCAATCAAGCCAAAGCCAGATCGTTGTGTCAAAAGACACTGCAAATCGACTTGTAGTAGGTCGCGAAGATACTGTTCGCACCGGGGAATCTTGTCTTCTTGCTGATCTCGAAAACATTATCCTCCGCGTCGTCAGCGGTTGCAACGGGCAACCGGAGGATCAAATGTCTGACAAGGGTAGTGATTGCCCATATCAGGGCCGTCGTTCGATGGGGTAGGTGGCAGATGCGGCCGCCACCGAGAATCGATCGTACGGGGTGCCGATGTCTTGGGTGTTCGAAAGTCTCTGTCTAATGTCAGCATTTGTTTGGCGGTATCTGGTGGGTGCGTGTTCTACCGTGAGGAAATTGAGGAGGCACCCGGTTGAGCACTTGGAGACTCGGGAACACGCGAACTGCGTGCTCAGGAAGGTCGGAGCTCCTGGCGCCGGAGCCCACCCAGAGGAACGTTGTGGCTGATATCCGACGCCTCGGAGAAAGTGAAGGCGTGGGTGTTGGAAAGTCTCTGTTCAACGTCAGCACTGCGAAGACTTCTATGGGGTGCGAGACCTACCATTGAGAAATAGGAAAAGTGAGAAGGTACTCAGTCGAGAAGGCCCAGACGAAGTTGAAGGCCTCGAGGGCCATCGGAGGGCGTAGGTGTTCGAAAGTCTCTGGTGGAAGTCAGCACCTGTGCGAAGGCTTCTGCGGAGGTGTGGATCTCACCGTTGTTCATAGCCTGCCACTTAGCCGTTGACCACCAGCATAAACTCCAGACACCATCTTATCGTTGTGACAGCGCTCGTGGCATGAAACCCCACCGTGGTTCTTGGAGCAAAAACCTGTTGAAGATGGACACGGCACTTGGCGCATGGTCTTGTAGCTGTAGCTCCACGTGTTGCACCACTGGAAGTCTATGAACAAAGCCCAGAAGTGGGTGCGGACGACCGGGTTTCGGAATGAGACCGAATGAGACGATGGATTCGAAATTCGTGTTTCTGCCGCCAACCACCCAGCCGTGTCAACTTCGCCGTTGTCGTCGACGTCGCGTGAAATCTGCTGCTCTGCGGTGAGAGTTAAGTGTCGAAGTTGCTCCAGTGGCGAGAATCTGGAGATGAGCTCCTGGTCAATAAATGGGCAGATTGAAAGGGCCGGCGTCCTCGCTAGTGATGGTGACGCCAACTGCCCTCGCAAACACTGTGACGAGGGTGGCACGTGGGTTGTCAGAACGGCTTCGGAGAAGAGACACCATCTTCTCCAGAATGCAGGGCATTCCAAGCTGGCCGTAGCCCTCATCGGCAATGTGGGCGGCCTGTGAGAGCGATCCGCCCAAACTGTTCCATGCTCAAAAGGGTTTTGACAGCTTCATGAACGACGAGAAGGGTTGCGCGAAAAGGAAGCCTGCGCAAGAGCGACTCAGAAAACCATTGCCTGTCCCTCACTACCATCCCTTTCCCCCCCATTACCTGGAATCTTTGAAAACAAAACGGCAAGAGGGGGGAACCGGAAAGGGGATGATGAGGGTGTTGAGCACCACCACAGATTTCGACACTAAAAGGGTAGCCACAGCGAGTAGGAGAAACTCGGTACCCTCTTAGTCTCAAAATCTGTGGTGGTTGATAGCTTTCTAGGCTGGAAGGCATGTCGGCAAAGAAGGTGTCAGCGGGTAATGACACATCGAAATGCAGCATGACTTCTTGCGCGAAGCGCCCCATGGATTGGCGGCGAGGAATCCGCGGACCTCGGGTGTTTGGCGTGGCATGCCGAACAAGAAACCTGTAGTAGCTCATCTTGTCGTTTGTCCAGAGCAGCTGCACTGTCTGTTGAAGTTGAAGACTTGGGTAAGCTGTGATCGTGATGTGGTAAAAGTTCTCGCCGTAGATCGGCTTTCATTGGCGAAGCTCTCTGTTAGCCAGGCGAGCGTTAACGACTGTTGAAGTTGAGGCCTGCTGAGGGCGAGTGCGCAGTTTGGCCGTAAGTCGGGTCCCATCGGCGAAGCTCTCTGTTGATCAGGCGTGCGTTGCTCAGTGTGGATGTTGGACATTTTGCAGGCAACTACTTTCTGAGGTTAGAACCAGGGAAGAGCCAATGCCATGCCATAGGTGGTTGAGGGTGGAGCGAAGTGCTTACCTGAGTGCCATTCGATTGAGGGAAAGGAAACCACCAGACCCAGACATGTCGTTGCCGTTAGAAGGATGATGACTGATGTCTGGGCAGATGGCAACCACGCCTAAGGGCGGAGGGAAGGCGAAAGGCACCCCGTGGGGAGTGAAGATGGACATGTGCCCTGCCTGTGAAATGCCCCTGGTTAGCGACGGTCTCAACGAATGGGCCATCTTTGTTGTGACATACGGGCGGGTTCTGGGTGTAGGCATCAGTTGGAGTAGCCTGGATGCGCTGGTGAACGAAGAAGACTCAATGGCCCGTTCTGCCCTTTGTCCGCAATCTTTTCCCGGAAATTTCAGTTGCTTTATGTGCTGTGAAGTGGAAGGAGGGGTTAGGTTCTCGGTTGGGCTGTGAGAGCAATCGAGCGGGCCGGTATGACCCAAAATTGGAAGCAGGGACAGGACCTGTTGTGCGCATTAGACAGCGAGTAAGAACGAGGAGAAAAAACATCAAACTTCGATTCAAACCCAGAAGCTAATAGGAAGTAAGGTGTATGAGTTTGGAATGCTTGCCTGGTGATGTTGGTACTTACCCAGGTTGATGACTGGTATTGTTGTTTGGAAATTGGAAGGTGGGTAAATTGAAACTTCGGTTCGAGCGCCGAAGACGACGGTAAATAAATACCATCTTACGGTCTTCCCGTCCGTTGGAGCTGATGTTGTTGATGAAGCAAAAAGTTCGCTGAGATCCTGTCTTCAGAGGAAGTTGTGTTGTGAAAGTTCTTGATGGGTGCTTGATTGACGATGGGTTGTTTTGGGAGGGGATTTTTGGGGATGGTGGAAGTTGTGGGGTTTTTGTGGGACTTGGCCTTAGACGTCGGCAGCCCAGGAGTCTTCTCCAAGGTAGGTAGAGAGAGAAGGCTGGTGGTGCGAGGGTCGGGGTGGCCAACCTCCAAGCAGCCCTCTAAGGCGGCGTCTGTCTCAGTCGGACTTCCATGGCATATCTTGTTTGTGTGGTTGTCAGTGCTAAGCGAGGGTAGGGTTCCTATCTGTGAAGGTTGTCACCAGACGAAAATTCTTCAATCGCTCTTTCTTAAGGCGGTGTGAAATTTCTGGATCGTTGTTGCTGATCAGGGACAAAGCTGCCGACTGCAATCGGTCTTTGTTTTTTCTTTGCTCAGGTTGTGACCCTTTCCTTTTTGTGGGGACTTATGTTCTTATCACCAACTGCAACCTGACATCACCTGATTCCATGAATCAAATGCAGTCACTGAATTAGGTGGTGTTTAAAACTTGGCTTGATTTTGTTAGAATTATATAAACTTAGGCTGCCCATAGCCCTGGATCACAATGGGCACACCATCAAAAAAACCAGGGCAGACACACTCCCCATTCGACATGCGCCTGGTTTACATGCCCCGAGGGGTTGAAATCATGCCCCTGCTACAAAGAATGGCCACGAGCGTATGAGAGTCGAAAATTCTCAACCGCGACTTGGTAATTCCCATTCTTCCCTCGACGTCATGACCCCCGAGATGCTCGTGGCCACCTACGAATACTTTAGGCCAACTGCAGTTCGTCTGCAGGCCCAAGATGTGACGGGCAGGCACTCAAAACGATTGCTAACGCTCAACTTGTGATGACCTGGTTCAATTAATCTAGAGATGAAGGAAAAAGTCAGAAGTGTGGGCGTGGGCGCGCGAGGGCTCTATGGCGTGACACAAGAGCGCCGACGGCAAGCTCTGGGGGACGGCGATGAGCATTAGGCTCAGCTCCTCCAGAACTTCAGGGGACGATAGCATGATGGGCTTCAGTAGGTCTTGAGTACCACTGGTGTCCTTGATGTCCTTCTGCGCGTGAAGGTCTTCTGCCTTTCGCGCCAGCGCAGCTACTAGCACGTTCTCGCAGTCCGGACGGTACTGAACAGCGAAATTGTACTTAGACAGAAGACCTGGACAGCGGGCTTGTCGGGCGTTCAGAAGCCGTTTCGTCATCAAGAACAAGAGGGCCTGGTGATCCGTGATCACGTCAAAGCGCTGCGACACAGATGTTAGTCCATCGCCCTCGCAAAGGGCCCGGGAAGGAGTCGTGTTAAGAAGTAAACAAACAAAATTTGGTGGATGCATTGGTGCTTCCTATTTTGTAAGGCCATGCGGTCTCTGGTAATGGCGGAGGTGATGATCGAAAGACCTGGTAAGCCCAGTTGGTGCCACTTCAACCGGTACCAGGACCCGCGATGCCGATGTTCTCTCTACTCTGTTTTTGTTTTCCCAAGGCCGTAGTATTGCCCTTTAAACCTGAGCAGTTGCGGCGCGGGCGACTGCCCAAGGAGCACCTTGCAGTGCCTTCGGAGCAAATCTGGAGGGAGGACAGATATTGTACCGATGTAAACCCATTGTGGAAAATGCCCAACGGCGTCGGAATGACTATCAAGTCTGAGCTTTTTCGCTTCGCGGCTGTTCTTCTGACGCTGAAGCGTTTCACGAAAGCAGGTGCACTCCGTTGAAAATTTGCCATTTGGCCAGTTCATCAAAACTTTCCATCCTCAGCAATTTGGCACTTGTGGCGATTCTTCTGGTAAAGCTCCATCCGCCGCAAGTCATTTGACAATCAGAGCTGTACTCGGTGTTTACACGTCTCTGGCCAGCGATTAAGTAGCTGCCGGCATAGAGTGAGATTGTCTCCAAGGTCAAATAATGTGACAACAGATGAATGCGGTCCCTGCCTCCGTTGCAGATATTGCTAGGTGAGGTATCTTGCGAACGTCCAAGTCCATGGCAGTGCCAGTTTGCCATAGGATATATCTGCAGAATAATCGTCGACCTGGGCCTGGTCGGCTTGCTAGTCCGACTGGCTCTGCTGGCTCCGCTACTGGAGACCTGCTGGGCCTTCCGGCCGTTCTGAGAGTCCTTTACGAACTAACCGTTGAAGGGGCCCGACTTCTGGGCTGCTGACTCTCCTTCGCGAAAGCTGTTCGGGCTTTCGAGAATTCTCTCAATGCCGTCCATGGAACGCCAATTGTTTGCCCTCAGCCTGCTCCGCAATGACACTATTGTATCCCTCCTCACGACGGACAGCCTGGCGAAGCCGGCCATCACTGTCATTAACTTCAAGAATAATAGTGTTCGCTCTATGGGCACCTGCTAACGTGATGTCCAAAGTGAGAAGCGAAAGCAGCCAGGCAATCGTTGGCTTCTTCTCACAGGTCTGCGTGAGACGAATATATTTAACAACACGTACTTAGCTACGAGCTTCAAGGTGCGTTTCGCCGATGTAATAACAGAACCTTGGCGACGGTCTCATCTATCCTTCCCAGATGCTTCCAAGTAGAGTTGTAAAGCATGCCTGCACCAAGCTCCGAGCTAGTAAGCAGTTGAGGTAAACTTACTTTCGTCGGCCCGGGTCAAGTCCCATCTCCTCGCCGTCAGTATGTTCCTCCGAAGCAAGACCCCTAGTAGTAAGGCCTGAGGCGTGAATGCTCCTAAGCCATGGAAATGGGCTTGATTCGTCGCTTCAAGTGACAACTGAGGAAAATAGAGCCTTCAAAAGCTTTTGGTTCTTGACAGCCAGTTGAGATCTATTCCGAATCCCAATGCCAGCTTTGGTATGCTTGAATGACAGCGCTAAGGAAATCATTCCCGACTAAAGTAGCTCTTATCAGATAAAGAGGTTCTTCGAGGATGGTTCCAGTCTTCGGGATGCGTAAGTGATATACAAACATGGCTCTCTTCACCGTTTCAAATTCTCCGTCATAGGCATATGGCGCTCTGGAGGATTCATAGGGCCCGAGGTATAAGTAGTGATATATTAATTTTTAACGATAATGAGTAGGCAGTATATAGTTGGTAAATGGTAATGAATTGCCGCAAAGATAAACCTGCTAATATTTCATAGCTTAGATTTGTATAGCGTCTTCTGCTGTTTCTCTGCCTTTTCGGTCTCTTTCTTCCACCAGTCGACTCGAGCATTGATGACGTCGGCGAATGCCTCCAGCCACTTCGGGTCGAATTTGGGCAGTATTCGTCCCGTCGAGCCAGGCGCAGGCTCGCCAGCAATGGCGCGCAACGCTTCAAAATACTCCTCAAAATCTGGGGAAAGAGTAAAGAACGGAACGCCATCACCTCGCTTAACTAGACGATCTGCTTCCCATCTCTCCATCTCCGTTGTGGATGGAAGTTGCCCGCGTCCCGCAAACACACGAGCGGCAGCTACAGCTTGCCACTCAAACACACGGAAGGTGAAACCACCAGTCACCTAGGTCGGTTAGCTCAGATTTTATGCTTGAAGCGAAGGAAGCTTACCATGCCCACAAATGCCAGAGACGGGTCATCGGTGTGGAAAACGTGTTGGTAAAGTCTCGGGATACGCCGATTTTCAACCTTCAACTTTGGCAAGAAGGGGAAGCTGAAGTCATAGCCTGTAGCGAACAACACGACGTCCACGTCGTCCACAGTTGACTTGTCGCTGAATGTGATGCGGCCGGTCTTGTGGCAAAAATGCGTGATTTGCGGCTTGATGGTGATGTCGGGATGGGTGAAGGGGGCCCATCCGAATGCGGGTAGTGGTTCACGAAGAGACGCTATCACGGGAGTTTGTGATACTAGGCGAATGTCGTGTAGTGCGTCAAATGCCGAGACTGAACCACCGACGACTACAACCTTCTGATGCACGTGTTAGCTCGACGGAAAAGTCTCCCCGCAGATTACTAACCTTGCCCCTGAACTCCTCGGGACTTCGAAAGTGTTTGGTGTGCTTTACGCGCCCCGGGAACTTCTCATCATACTTGACGAGGCCTGGGATATCGGGAATGTAAGGCAAGTAGAAATGACCAGACCCGACAACTATCGCATCGAAAGTTTCTTGCCACCAGTAGTCTTTCGACTTGCCTGGGACCACCTTCCTGAGCGTCAAGACCCACTCGTCGCCCTTCTTCTCCGCCAGCTCGACCGTGGTGCTGAACTCGACCAGCTTGTCATGGCCTCCACGTGTGAAGATTGCCTCGACCCATTCTCGAATGAGCTCGCGGTGTCTGAAAGGGGCGCCGGGTCCATACTGGGCAATCGTGCGCTCCGAGAGAATCTTCGGGATAGGTTCTTGCGTGAAGGCCATGATCTCGGGCGTGATGTTGCTGTGGAGGGTTTCGTGTACTCCGGTATCCGCATAGCGCAGCTGATGCGAGTTGATCTTCTCAGTCTTCGGGGTCCATGTGGGAAAGGTCTTGGGGAGGTCGACGGGAGGATTAGCTCGTTGCTCGACGAGGTCGCGGAGAGAAGGGATCCGTGACGGAAGCTCAGGAGTATACACCCTAAGGTGGGCTGTTAGCAATTGAATTTGGTTGGATCACTGCAATCATTATTTGGACTTACCAAGTTCCTCCAGCGAGATCCCGTCGCTCAAACACGCGGACAACGTCGAAGGCCTGCTCCTTCACCAGCGCATCCGTAGCAATCGCGCCCGCCGGACCGGCGCCAATAACAGCCACTCTACGTATTTCCTTGGCCATAATGATGTTCTAAAATGTGTTGAAAATTACGAAGATGAACCCAGATGTTTTGATGTCCAGGCGCGCATCGCAATTCATGAACACTCGCCTCAATTGGTGACGTCCGGTGCTGATGAGTGTCTTTTCGGTGGCTTCCGCGTGGACAAGGCATTGAGACGATATCGGAATATAGTCGGACGCGTCGGGGACCCTCCGACATGTCGTGATCCGAACATGTGCTGATTGTTGGTTGTCGCAACGGGCGCAGTCCCAAGGTGGAGCTCGTTGACGATTGCATCACGACCCCTGAGAAAGACGCAAGTGGGCCGGCATGCTTCCATGCCACCCAAGACTGCAAGTCCAGACACATTTTAGATAAATTCCGGGAATAAGGAAATGGGACAGATAACGTTTGACAGCATGCGAAGATCACATTACGACTTAATTGTGCTTTTGAAGTGTGCTTCAAATATTCAAGGACTAAAACGATCACCTCGTTGACCGAATGGTACTGTAGCTGTCATGCTGACTGGAGTGTTGAGCTATAGGACGTATCTGAAGTGAAGGTTCTCCTTGTCTGTGAGGTCTTTGAATGCAAGTCTGTCCCGTTCACTCTCGTTCAGGTCGAGAGTGTCCCGCCTTTTGTTCTCCTTCCACAGCAGGACGTACAGCGCCGATGCTGAGACGATGGTGATGCAGTAGCTACGAATGTCTGTTAGTCACCCAGCAATTGGCGATGAATCGGAAACAACGTACCAAATGATTAAACCGGTCCAAAGTTCTGGATAGTGCTGTGCTTTCGTTTCGCTTCGGACAAGCTGCGGGCCCACGATGTTTCCCACGCAATAGGCCACAAACACAGCGGAAGCCATGAAGCTTTTCTTTGTCTCACCCGCAACGTTACCTGCGCCCAAAGTGACGGTCAAACTAACAACGGGCCCGAAAAACCCGATGAGTGAGTAGCCAACAACTGGCGCGACCGGCCGCACGCCCCATTCTGACTTCCAGATTGTGACAAACCCGGCAATCACGGGAAGAGTACACGTAATAAGCGTGATGATTCGGATGTTGCGGTATTTGGAGCAAAGCCAGCCAGTGAGCGGAATGCCGATGGCACAAATCGCTCCAAGCGGAAACTGGAAGAGGATGCTGTCCAAGGCGGAGTATCCGAATGTCGAGACGATGAGGGGACCAAACCCAGAGACAGCACCGTTGACAGTGTATCTGTTCCCAGAATCAGCTTCATTTTCAACATATCATCACGGGAAAACTCACCCAGAAGCCATGGTCAAAGCCACAAGCCAAACCTTCGGATCCAGCATCGCCTCCTTTATCTGGCCTCCCTTGATAGTCTGATTCTTCACGCCAGTTTGCCCCCGCCGCAAACGCTCCACAGCAACCGCCCTCTCCTCAGGCTTCAGAAACCAAGCCGTGAGTGGCGAGTTTGGCAGAAAAAAGCACCAAATACCAAACAGAAACGTCAGTCCGCCAGCAAGCACGTAGATGTACTGCCACGGGGCGAGCGCGCCGCCCTTGATCTGCGCAAAGCCGTAGTTCAGGGCGCTTCCTATGATTGTGAACCATCCAGTGCCGGAAAACCACCAACTTTGTCTGAGGGCTTGCTCTTTTTGGGTGTAGTATCCGCTGACGGTTGTCATGAAGGCTGTTGGGATGATTGACTCCGTGAAGCCTACATAACGTATGCTAAGTATGTGGTTCGTGTCTCATGTACTGATCAGCGACTCACCTAAGAAAAAACGTTGAACAAGAAGTCCTTGCCATGAGGTGACGCCAGCAGTTGCAGCACAGATGATTGCCCAGATCATAACGACGGGGCCAAGTGTCCATCTGGTGTTGAATCTCTGCAGTAGATATGTCATCGGATATGACCCGATGAGCTGGCCGAAGTAGAAGATGGATGTTGCCCAGCTCAGACGGGTTGTATCTGTCTTGGGTGGTGTCACTGAACTATCAATAACTGAAAGATGTAGATCTCCTGTCATTCCGAATAGTGCTGCGCTTCCGAGAATCGCCTATTGCATGAGTTAGACGCTGGCAGCGACCGGGGAAACCTTTGCTCACCTTGTCATAGTATACCAGTCCATAGCCTAATTGTCTTTGTCAGTGTCCTGTTGATTATGAGAAGATCCGGTGCAGTCTTACCAATGACCATCGCTGGCATCAGGAAGAGGTCAATCTTCCTCACGACGCGGGCCTCGATCTCAGGATCAATCACTTGAGCGTGGTCTCCGACCGCTTCCAGAACTGAGGATTGATAACGATCATGTTTCTCCGACTCTGCCTGTCTTGAATGACTCTCGTGTCCATCTTGGACGTCTGTCTGTGCCGCCATCGAGCCTTAGACCGTGGGTCGAAATGACACTAAACGAGGTTGATATCTCATATCCAAGATGGTTGTATCACGCATGTGACTTTAGTTATATGTTCTCGGAAATAGGTCCATGAACACAGACCCTTGTCAGATCTAGAGCCTGGGCAAGGTCTGATACCACCCATTCCCACCACTTCTGGGCAAGACCGGATTGCCTCATCGGTCTCCATCTTGATGACAGCTTCGGCCCCACACCATGAATCCTCTCCTGCGCAACATCAAAGAGACTGTCGGTCCAACGTGAAGACGTTCCTTCCTCATGACCAATAACATGATGCCTTTGAGCGATAAGATAATTCCCGATGTCGGTCCTGCAGTGGTTCCAGCCCTCTGGTAGAGGATTAATAATACCTGTAGACAGCTAATTGTCGGCTCATTGTCGGTGTTCTAAACTCGTAGGATCGGTGGGCAGGCGTTTGAGAAGGGGGTGCGGGGAAGTTGTCGAATATTGGCGAGAGCCCAAGTATATCACAGCTGTGGGTGTCACTCGACCACGCTGCTTCGCAGTTCGAGTTGGCTTCTATGTCTTCGAAGCCTGGACCCTCAATTGACAATAATCGATCAAAATGGCTACTGTCACCGAGACTGTCACTCTTCCATACATCCAGGCACCGGAGACGTCAGCGTCCTTGGACTGGGCCGACCTTGTCGCCCTTGACCTTTCCAAATTCGACCGACCCGGTGGCAAACACGAGTTGGCAGCAGAGCTATCGACTGCCATTGAGAAGATTGGTAAGCCCAACCCCAGATATCCCAAAGCTTTCCATAAAGGTGGTTGACTAATGGAATGCGTAACTCCAGGCTTCTTCTACGTCGTGAACCACGGCCTGAGCAGAGAAGATATCGACACGCAGTTCGCCCTCGCCTCATCCGTCCTCGGGCTCTCAGATGCAGAAAAGACACCCTATCGAGCGGCACTCGAAGCCGGCGACTACAACGGCTGGAAGCCCGCTGGGACACGCGAGCTGATCCCAGGCGTGCGTGACAACTTTGAGATTTACAATATCCCCAAGTTTATTCCGGAGCACGCCGGGCGGTCGCACCCCGAAGTTGTGAAGGAGCACTGGGCAACTATCGAAAGGTTCTCGAGGCATGTGCATGACCACATTGTCAAGAAGCTGTTGGTCGTCTTTGCGCTTGCGCTGGGGCTGGAAGATGAGGACTGGTTCGTGAATAAGCATCGGTATGAGAAGAGCAGCGGGGACCATCTCAGGTACATGAAGTACTATGCAAGGAGCGAAGAGGAGAATAGGAAGCTTGACGGGGTATGGTTGAAAGGGTACGCCTCAATGTTCGCGATCGCTAAGGCACCCCCGAAGCTGACAGCTTTTGCGATATCAGACACTCAGACATGGGCAGCTTGACCCTCCTCTTCCGCCAGCCCGTCGCAGCCCTCCAGGTCTTGACAAACGAGGGCACCTGGAAGTGGGTGCGGCCCCAAACCGACGCCTTGACAGTCAACATCGCCGACGCATTACAATTCCTCACAAGTAACCATCCCCCGCGCCTCACGCACACGCAAGCCGTCGCTTACTGACCCCTCCCCAGACGGCTACCTCAAGTCGAGCATCCACCGCGTCGTCGCCCCGCCGCGGGACCAAGCACACATCAACCGCCTGGGCGTGATCTACATGGTGCGCATCGAGGACGACACGGAGCTCGTCCCGATCAGGGAGTCCCCTGTCCTGCAGCGGCGCGGCCTCGCGGACGGGGCCGTGCTGGGGGCCGACGGGAAGCCTGTCAAGGCCGGGGAATGGGTCCGGGAGCGGATCATCAAGAACCTGGGCAGCACGAGCTCGGCGGCCGGCGACAACGCGGTCAACGACCTCGAGGTCATCGAGGGCGTCAAGATGAAGTACTTTGACTGAAGATCCAAGGTTCTGGTGTTGCGACCGAGGCGTCGCGGGGGCTGGCATATGCTCAAAGAGGATGACGCTAGCAGGGACACGTGGAGGGGCCTGTTGGGCCACAAGGCGGGAGCTACGCTGCCTTAACCTGCATGTACCAGTGGCAGTTGAAAGGAATGGTAATCGCAAACCGCCGAATGGTCCGACGCGCTCTGCTGAGAGAAAAACATCTTTGGACGGTTCCGGCCTTTGGGGAAGCTCTCCCTTGGAGAAATGCGACCAATCCCGCGCTCCTTATTCTTGATTACGACCCGCTCGAGACGACGGACCAATCGAGTGCCGCGTTCCTGATGATCTTGGCGGGCTGGAACTGGTGTGTAGCGTAGATCCTCCCTGAAATCCCAAGGAAGCGAGACCTTTGATCTCAGCCACGCGTTTGAGGGTCAGCTGGTCGTGGCCTGTTTACGACGTGTCCAACGGTATGAATGCTGGGGTATTTAAAGATGAAGGCCCCCCAGTCCGTTTTCGTCGAGCATCACAGAGGTCGACAGACATCTTGACACCTGAACGAAGACACTCCCAAGAATACACTGCATCCAGCGAATATATTCCCAACCAAAATCCAGTCGTCGAGACTTCCTCAACCATCATCTCCAGCCTCAAATTCTCCAGCCCCATACCAGCCACAAACATGTCCGGAATGCCGTTTACCGCCGGTAGCGAAGCGTACGGTGGCTGGCCGCACCGCCGCTCGATCATCGAGTTCAGCTCGGACTTCAAGGACGCTCTCCGAGCAGACATCCACGAGGCGGAGTCCTCAGAACGCTGCGACGAGGCGGCCCAGACGCCATCTTCTCCACCGAGTTCATTCAAGTCCAGCTTCTTGGACTGGTTCTTCACATCAGACCCGCTCAAGCCGAGGAAATAAGGGATATTCGGGGGCAGAATGAGGATGTTCCTCTGGGAGTGTGCAGCTTTTTGACAGCTCGGGGCTGATGCACTGGGGATCCGGAGGATGGGGCCGTGGTGCGGGGGTTCGGGAAGTTTATCTGCTGCTTGGCGTTGACCTTGTAATATTTTTGGGACACGATGAGATGGGATGGCTGTTGCCGGCGACGGCTCATGATTACGGATGGCGCTCTCTCGACTCTATCTACGTTTGACGATTATTCGCACGATGGGAATAAAATGATACCCTTTCATTCAAGATTCAAGTTCTCTTCCACTGCGACTGACAGTGTGTCGTGGCACTAGTCATGCGACTTTGTGTCTGCCCACGTCACCCAAGTCATCCCTTAAACCAGCGTCAGCATTGTCTTCACCGAAGGGGAGAAACAAAGTATTCCAAAGACTCACGAAGCCACGTCCTGGAATCCTTCTGACGCATCACATGAATCGCTCTCTATTATTTGCTGTGCATGAGCCACAGACGTGACTCTGTTGGCTGCTGATCAGTAAGCCTACGCCATGCCAAACATCGAAGCGCCAGCCCAGCGAAAAGAAGCACAGGAGGAAGGGCTGGGCATTCTTGTGTCTTCTTGTCGAATTCAAGGGAGGACCCTGAGTGACGCACGTACCGGGCGGGTGGGCTCACTGGCGCAGGCTGTGCCGAGCTGCGCCCAACTTGTATGGCAGCGGACCTAGCCGGCCTACGTCATTGGCCGATCCCGACCGGCGATCGGGGGCCCCCAGCCCCGGCTAGGCCGCCCGCACCTGTCGCAGGCCACTGAGATTCGCGGGACCCACAAGCACGGAACTGCCCCCCGGGATCCACCCTCCCGTCAGCTGCACCTTCAGCTCCCCCGTTTTGAGTTAATGTCAAACAGAATCGGGGTGGCAGTGGTGCAAGGCTGAATTTCTCAGTGTAGGCTGAAGCTTTATCTCTCGAATGGTTGGTCGATAGGGCAATTTGTGCCATCATGCTGCGTCTTCCATGATCCTTCCTCGCGCTAGAAGGCTTCTAGAAGGCAGAATTGCCCGGGCGATCCTGCGTCTTGGTGAAGCTTGTCTCTAGCCTGCAAGGCAGTCACGTCAGAGCTACGACTGCCGAGCATATTTGGAAAGTTTTGTATTTAACCAAAGCTCTTGCACTCGACAGCTTGTCATTATTTCTTGCCATCTCAGAACAAAAAGCAATTTCATGGTCACAACTTCGAACCATCTCACGAACATCTCAATACTACACCCACAGAAAAACAATCCTCATTTACAAACCTTAAAAACAGCACACATCCACTTCTAAGACAGACAACTATCAGGATGTGTCTCCCATTCTCCTCGAAGAAGCACACGTACGAAAAGTCCGAGTACGCGCCCAGGCCAGCACCGGCGTGGAGCAGCAACTACGGCACCTCAGGCCGAAACACCCTTCATCGCAATGGCGGTCACAGACATCACTACACCAGTCCTGGCTTTGCATATGTTGGAGCGACAGGGGGCGACGGCGGCGGAGGACATCATGGATTCAGCGGTGGTGACGGCGGAGGTGGAGGATGCGGAGGTGGTGGTGGTGGTGATGGAGGCGGCGGCGGTGGCGGCGGCGGCGGTGGCTGCTAAAGGGTCCGAATGAGGACCTACGCGGCATGACTGATGGAGTTTTTGGGGACGCTGTATTGATACCTGTTTTATGACCCATGATACCTGAGCCAGAAAACTGGCAATAGACTTTGATGATATTCTGCGTCCCTCGACTGGCCAATCACACGATTGGGCGTGCATAATCGTGATTTTGTTGCGATAGGCCACTTCAATCTCACCTCTGCCTGATTCGCAACCCCTCATTTCTATCTTCTAAGGACCGTGTGGCTGCGCATTCGATCTTGACCTACACAAGACGCCCACCATGCCACTCTGCAAAACATGTGAGGCCTTTGACCTAGCCAGTCTCCTGGATCAGGACCGCGAAGTCCATGACCTCGTCTTCCACAAGTCTATCTCGAAGCTGAAAAATAGTAGCTCGGCATGCGACTTCTGTCGGCTGCTCTGGACGACCCTAACAAAAGACCAAGCCGAAGACAGCGACTTCTTCTCCGTACTCGAGAAAGATGATGACTACCAGTCCCCGGTCGTTCTTCGCGGTATTCAGTACGTCAATGATGACTACGAACCAGGCGGTGTATTTCGCTGCAAGGTCCGATGCGACCGGCTTCGACTGGCAGGATATTTGAGCTTCTATTCGGCAGAAGGTGACGGTAGTTGTATAACGCATCTGGACAACATTATCTTTAGCAGAACGATCAAGCCAGCTGAGCAACAACTGGACCTGCTACGAGAATGGGCTGATGACTGCGATCAGAATCACTCAGGCTGTCGTCGCGATGTTGGAAAACTGCCGACAAGAGTTATCGATGTTGGGGAAGATGAGAAATGGGAGCCTCGATTGGTGGTGACGGATGGGAAAGTAGGCCGGTATGTGACATTGAGCCACTGCTGGGGCCTTCATCCTGTCATTCAGACGACTAGCCTGACAATTGGCGACCACCTCAAAGAGCTGCCACTGTCGAAGCTTCCCACCACCTTCAGGGACGCGGTCATCGTGACCAGGGCTATGGGCATCCAGTACTTGTGGATCGACTCCTTGTGCATTGTCCAAGACTCTAAACAGGATTGGGAATGGGAAAGCGCCAACATGGGCTCTATTTACTTCTCCTCTTACCTCACGATCGCGGCATCAGGATCAACAGACTCAAGAGGTGGTTGCTTCATTCATCGGGAAACCTCCAGCCATGTAGAGCTCAGATGCTCGCAGCCAGACGGGAATGACTCGATCCGAGTTATGGTCCGGCCTCAACCTGGAGACTTCGTACATCTCTCCAAAAGAACGTTACATACGCGGGCCTGGGTCCTGCAGGAAAAGATACTTTCGTCCCGAATGATCAACTTCGATACCGACCAGCTGCTCTGGCAATGTAAAGAGACCCTCGTCGCAGAAGACGGGATTCCTCCAGGATGGGAATTTCCCGCAGGGCGCTTCTTCACAGAGCCGGATGACCTCAATTTGTCCTTTCCGTATACCACGGACTCGAGCGAGGGTTCGAGCTTTGAGGCTGACTGGAATGGCATGGTGGCACACTACGCCAGCCGAGGTATCACCAAGTCCTTCGACAAACTCCCAGCCCTCTCTGGTCTAGCCAAGGCCATGGAAGATCGTACGGGAATTGGGTATGCAGCGGGGCTCTGGAAGGCCAATCTCGCCCACAGTCTGCTCTGGGGCCGGGTTGGGCATTGGCTGAGGACACCTACGGAAGGGTATCGCGCTCCAAGCTGGTCCTGGGCTGCCTTAGAGGGAGGAATTTCCATGACGATTGGAAACACACATGGATTGGATGTTTTTGAGCCCATGGTGGAGGATATTGAGACAACGATTGAGCCAAGTGGCCTTGATCCGAGGGGGACGATAAAGTCTGGCCATCTTATGCTATCTGGAAGAGTCAGGGCGTTTGACAGACGGCAGAACCCTCAGGATCCGGGATATTTCCACGTTGTAGAGGTGAATTCTCGCGCAGAAGGCGCGGTGTCCGATTACCTGCTGGACAAAGGTGAAGTTGCTGGACAAATAATCTTCGACGAGCCTTTCAAGTCCAACGATCAGCCTTTGTACTGCTTGCAGGTTGTGCGTCGGAAGGAGAACAACACTAGCTGGCACGGGCTCATCTTGGAGTCTACTGGGAGTGAGAAGGAGTTTAGACGCCTTGGCCGTTGCTTTACCGAATACGTGCACAATCCAATGTGGTTCGACGATGTACCCGTGGAACGAATAAAGATCATTTGAATATGAGGGTATGCCCTATTACCGGTTCAGCTGTTGGTGGGAATGAGTACAGAATGAGCCACAATGCGAACTGGGTCAGCCCATACTAAAGCTAAGCCCATGTTTCTTCATCACCATACTCAGCCCGCGCGGCCCATACGCACGAGGATCTGGATCCGCCCACAGCATCTCCATCGCCTTGGCCGCCACCTTCACCCCACCCGGCGCCCGCGTGTTGCAGTTCAGCCCCATCCTGAAGCCGTCAGCAAGCTGCGGTCGCCTGCAAAACGAAGCCAGAATACACGCCGGCCAGAGCATCATCCTGCGAAACGGCGCGGCGCTTGAGTACACTGCCCACATCAGTGGCAAAACCTTGTCTATGTGCAAATCGATTTCAGCGCAGAGGTCCTCGCGCTCATGCAAGTCTTCATGAAATGCAGAGTGAAGATATACGATCAGGGCGGTACGATAGATGGCGACGGCTGGACCTTGTTGGTATCGCGGACTTGAACCCTCGCCGGTGAGAACATCAGAGAACGCATCCCAGCCTTCTAAGCGTTCCACGAGGTCCTGATAGGCAGCATACGACGCTTCAGCTTTGGCGTTGTTGAGCTCCTCCAAGCGCCGTTTCTCGACCAGACTGGCTATCTCGGGTATCATCTCAAACAGCCCGTGTCCGAAGCCGAGCATAAAACCGCAGGACTTGTACTCGCCGAGGAAGCTCAAAGATTCTAGGAAGGGATCCAGCATAATGGGATGGTCTTCCATTGCGCCTCGTGGCGTAATTGCCAGTTTCAATGCCATGAATGAGTAGATCTCCAGCAGGAAGCCTCTGATGTGACCCAGCCTGTCAGAACTTGGATTTGGCCCGTTCTTTGTGAGGCTGAGAACGTAATGGCGGCTGGCTTTGATGTGATGGAACACTGAGCCGTTTATATCTCCTTGTGTATGCTAGCACACTTTAGCAAACATGCCTTGATAAAGATCTCGGCCGTATAGCTTACCTCATAGACACAAAGCAGAAGAAGTATCAGCAACACATACTGGGCCTTCTCTTCCTTGCCGCTCCCAAAGTAAGGCGTGACTTCATTGGCGAGAACCTTCTGCAGCCCGGACAAGACACGTGCGTAGTGGCCGCGGGTGGCCACCTCCACATGTCGGGCACTAGGATCAAGGGCAACCATGTGGGCCCCGCCGATGCCGAGGATGCAGTCCATAATGAGCCCGTCCGACAGTGCCAAGGGAAGTACGTAGTTGATGAACGGGTTCCCATCGGCACTTGGGCCTCGTGCTAAGATATCCGCCGTGTTGGAAAGGTACTGTTCATATAGTTGGCGGGAGGTGTCACTCAGATTTGACAGGATCCCAGGGGTAAGAGAAGCGCGTAGAAAGAGCGCATTGGCTGATCGGCCTTCTGCGACGACTGATTGAGCGAGGATCACTGCTTCAGAGTGGTCCATGCCAGTAAGCTCCTTTGGCTGAGGGCTTGAATCATCCGATGAACTTGACAAGTGCTCTTTCAAGTCGCTTCTAGTCCGGGATGTGTTCTCGTTGTCGTTATTCTCGTTGACAGGCCATGAGCACTCCCGCCCACTGCGGCTGCAAGACGTGCAGCTCGGCTTGACCTCGTCGCACTTTCTCCGCCGCGCGCGACATGACAAACAGCCGTTTTTAGAGCGAGGCGTGTTGCGGCGATACTTTGTCGGGAACTTGGCGGTTCGGATTGGGAGGCTTTCCGCACCTCCCACGTCTGGGGAACGGTTCGTGCTAGGTGGGATCGACGCGACTGACATGATTCTGACAGGGTGCACTGGCTGGAATTGTCGAAACACAGTGGAGATGCAAACCATTGAGGCTGCCGACAACGTTGAAGTGTCCGCCTCTTGTGATCAGCCTGGAGCTCTGGTGAGTCGTCGAGACATGTCAAGAAATATTGATCTTTTGAAGTGGCCTGCGAGATCTACATGCTGCGCAGCGTAGGGCGAAGGATCGACTCAGCCATGCTTGGCGTCTGACCAAAGTCCCCTGTATTCGAGTCGCATCCTGTGTACTGCGCCAGAAAGCCATATTTCGATGGACGATGCTTGAAGCCATCAGCATAAATTGCGTCGTAGAATTTCGCGTTTATGATCTAGTCAATTCAGAGAAAGCTTTCCAAGGGTCATCTTTTCTCGAAACCCTCACACAGAAACGGCGCACTTCCGAACATTGAAGACTCAATTTTCCTCAGTGAAAGTGACAGTACGCTAGCGATATGGACACTAACGACAACAGCAGTCTCTTATCTAAACGCTTATCTATCCATCATCTCAACCAGGAGGACAATCGGGCCCCGTATGGCTTGCAGTGAGCCGACGTCAGCGCGGCCGGGCCGGTCGTACGGCCCTCAAGATGGCGGAAAAAAGCATGCGGGTAAGCTGCATGTTGGCAAACTCAAGCTTCTCCAGAATGCCTAGCAAATGGCGTTTTGATAAGAGCAAATATAACAGCGTATATCACATAACTACGCCGCATCACTGCTGCAGGCAGAACCATAGCTGGCCAGCTGAGTATTAGCTGGCTCTGATATGTTGAGTTTTTACCATAAATGGAATCTCAAATTGACGGTCATTTACGAATTCTAAAGCCAGTGCTGTCGTCACTTTCTATTTCTTGTCTCATGAATCGCGCGCGTGCTGAGGCGAGAATAAGGTAGTTCAGCCTTAGCCCTGCCCCACGTCAGGTGGGCTAGCGTTGGGCCCCGAGACTTTAAACTGGTGATGCCTCGAATTCTATAAGAGTTAAATAACGGGAAGCCTGGAAACGATTCCTCTGTCGTTTGGTTCCATATTACGAGACATGCAACCTTCTCGCCATCAAACCTTACCATGAGATGAGCACTAATAAGCGGGGTCTTGAGCCTCATCAGTCTTTCACTAGGCGCTACGATCCCCAGTCATGAATCTCAAAACGCTTTAGCTTCTGTGTACAAGGTATACCGCAACTTGGTTTTCTGAATAGGCTAATGTACCGCCCGGTTAGCCAGAAACTACCGTCCGGATAGCAAAACTTACAAATAATGCGTCTATTCTTTGGAGAACCCTTTTAAGTCTTTTCGCACGAATGTCTTCGGCAGACATTCCATCCAGAGTCGTCCGAAAAATGAATGGCTCCGATTCGAGGAGCCAAACCATGAACCGGTACATGTAGAAGCTTGTTGCGGGCTTCTTATGAGTAGCCCACAATGTATACTGGGCATTCCATAGATCTTCGGCCTTTTGCTTTTCAAAATCGTCCGAACCATAATCTGGCACAAGTGGCGGCATTCCTCTGATGAATTCAAAATAGTCAACATCTGGCCGACTCAGCAGAGCTGTCAAACGATCATCTGGAGATCCCACCGAGTCCAAGCTCGCTGCCAGCAGGATCCGTGAAGCTGTTGAGAGATCCCGCGCCATTGCAAGGGCGACACCACAGGTGTAAAGGCTACTTGAAATGCTCATGCAATCCACGAAAGTGTCCCCCGCGGTTCCTTCTGCGTCCGAGTGTGCCCATTCAATCAAAAATTCGAGGAATTTTGACCTTGAACGAGTAAAGTCCTGGAACATTACAATTTCGTAGTGGTGATGAATCGAAATCAATGAATGATCGGGGAAGACTTTTTCCATCCAAGGCCTAAACAGCCACCAGGTAACGGATGACCACCGATCCCGCTTTGCGGTCGTCATCTTAGACGCGATCATTTGCCGAAGCAACCTATTGGAAATGCTGCAACTGGTAGCGTGCTGATCAAGTAGGCCAGGAAATACGCTCAAAATGTACTCAAGCAAAGGACTAGACTCCAACCTGTGAACAAACGACTCCCACGATTCGTTCAAGCCCCCACAATCTGGCATATCAAGCGTCAAACTAAAATAATTGACACACGCCGAGCATATGATATCGAGACTGCGGTCATTGCTTATTTGTACGAAAGATGTTCCGTTCCTGCCCAGAAGGAAGTTTCGTGCAGTTGAATGAACTAGCTGGACCAAGTCTTTTGGGTCAGTGTCGTACTCAGTCATCGGGCCCCTTGAAGATGAACTCTGATGCGGGATAATCTCGATGAATCCACCGCAAAGATCATTCAGAAGTATTGTCATTCGCTCCCACTTGCCCCTAGGAAGAATTATACGATGCTTTTCAAGAAAACGCTCCTGGTGATGTGGCGAATCATCCCAGTCAAACATTGCCAATGCATCGCGCATTTCACATAGTTTGAGAGCTTTTCCACAGAAGAGAAGCCACGAGAAAATGTAGTTAGCTTTAGGAAAGTCACTCGAAGGGTTTGCACCCAAACGAGCGAGGATATCCTCATAAAGCCCTTCGACGCTGGTAGGAATCTTGTGGAGGGCTTTTCTCAGGCTTGCAACGGTGCTTGCAGGTGAAGATGCATGTTCTTCAAGTTGACGCAGGACCATGATTACCCACAACACAACGCCATCAGCGTTTTCAAGAAGATGTTCTCTGATGAAACCAAGCTGATAACTTGAGGTGTGAAGGGTGCCAGGAGCAATGCTGTTATCATTATCTGACATCAGATATCTCCAAAGCCGGCTCAGGCGAGTTTCGACGATAATATTTATATCGCAGTTTCGCTCGTTCTTCATATCTATTATGTGTGTCGGTCTTATTGCGTTCTTGATCGAAATCTCCGGTCGACTCAGGGTAATGATCTTGAAAATTTTCGGTTTATCAAACTTGCATAACGTGGCAAAAAGTCCAAAAACCCTCTCCCTGGTCTGTTTCGAAAGTAAATTGTCAGATGATTCATCGAGGCCGTCAAGGATTAAGAAGATAGTCCGATTCCCGCCTCTTCCGTGGCATTCTAGATCAGGAATGCTTAGAAGCACTTTTTCTAGTTGTTCAAACTCCCAGTTGAAGTTATCCTGTCTATGCGATTCTCGAAACCCATCGCGATATGCGGCATATAGAGTTGCATCTTGGCTGAGGATCTGGTGCAGTATGGACCTCAGCATCGACACATGGTCTGCCTCTAAACGGTCGCCGCGGGAGCTGTAGAAATAGTCGGCTATGAGATTTTTGTCGGCGCTCTTTCTCAGATGGCGGCTTAGAGATGTCCCTATGGTAGATTTCCCGCTGCCAGGTTTTCCGTGAATCCATAGAAGAGTCGACTTGTTGGCAAGCCACGCGTTGTAGACTTCGTGCCCACGGATCCAATCTGTAGTGCCCACTTCCGGTTCATCAACAGCGTTCTGCCGCGGGCCCGAACACAGTGATAAGAGACATTCTGCTTCGTTGTTAGCTTCAATCAGCTCTGTGGTTTCTGCGTTGTCGGATATTTGTATTTAATTACCTCTTCTCTCAGCATCCTCATCGATGCGTAAAGACTGAGCGGGTCGAAACTGAACAGGTGGACCACTCTTTTGTGCCCGAGGCCTTGGGTTTGAAACTACCAACACCTTGTGCGGCGCGGTTTCGTCAGCTTCCAGCCGATCTTTGGAGGACGATCGGTACAGGAGCTGGTGTAAACAAAGCAAAGCTTCATCTAATGGCTGACTCAATTCTGCGTCGAAGCCGACCAATGATACTAGCACTGGCCGACCTAGAGCCTCCATTGCGCATGCAAGAAGAGTCCACATGTGTTCTGATGGCGGATTCTCAGAGCAGTACAACAATTTCCATGAATCCGTGAGACCCTCATTTGGGGCTAGAGACTGGATGATGCCCTCCATTGCACCTATACATTTCCGAGAAAGGGAAAATAACTGTGAAATGAGCAAACGGGGTAGCAATGATTTCCATGACTCGCTCTGCCGTTTCTGCTTGTCATCTGGGGCGAAGCCCCAGATCACCTCGGCATCTTTTACCTTGAGATTCATGGAAATATTTTGAGAGGTTGAGACATGCCACTCCGACGACGCTTGGTACTCTACATATAAAGTAGAGAAATTCTCAGAGGATCTCCATTCTCGTGCTTGAGGCATGGCGCAGACCCATTTGTGGACGGTCATATCTGGCGCAGTGGAGGATAATACTTTTACTCTTACCGGGAAGGCAAGTTGGATGTATTTATCAGTCCAGACTTTTAGATCTGAAAGACTGCATGTCAGCGCCGCTCATGTAATCGCATTACGCCTGACTTGGCTCCAGCCTTTCTCATGGTGAAAATAGGTTGAACTGTATTACGTACTTGAAAAATCTACAGCTATGCCCTGTGTACACGATGTGACTATTTCCTCGAGGGCGTTGCGGACTGCTCGATACTTCTGGCTCGCCTCAGCGTCAAATTTACACATTTCTCGGTGGTTTGCGTCTTGAATCGGAACAGCCTTCTCGTTGGTCGTGTGCAGAGTAGCTGAATCTTTATCAACGATCTGTATGTCTCAATGTTAGAGTCTGATCTGTTTCACTGCATCGCATTTGTACATACGATTCTGTTCCCCATCTTCTTTGTCTCGTAAAAGGTTCGGATCACTTTGATCTCAGACCCAGGCTCAACAAAGGCGCGTGAGATACTCGAAAACTCTGGCGAATTACGCTTTAGCCCCTGGACAAACCTGCTATTACCCCACGTTCCAAGACTAAGAGCGCTCAGCAATCTTGATGCAAACTCCCCCCAATAGGCATCATCTGCTCCGCGGTGAGGGACGCCGAAGAACATCAACCCCAATGTGCTTTTCTGTACATCCCTCCAATGATTGGTACGTTCTCTTGCCAGGTTCAGGACCTAATCGTAAGTTAGCACCGCACAGTACCAACTTTTGGTTTTTGACTGACTCTCTTCACAATGACTCCGCCTAGGCTATGCGCGACGAAAATTATCGGTTTACCGGTTGATGATGTTCGGGAGCGTTCTCCGTCTAAGGAATCGAGCAGAGATATCGCAACATCGTTGATGTCCGCAACCGTCTGGCTCAGAATACTCGAATCATACCCGAATGACCATACTCTGGCGCTCGGTAATTGCGAGGGAACGAAATCTCGAAGCCATAATCTCCCGTTGCTCGTCCAAGTGCCCTCCCAGTCTCCACCAAGACCGTGAACAGCTACGATGCTGTGAAATCCAATTTTAGCAACCGGCAGGAACGTAAAGCTGAACCATGGGTGTATGGATTCTTACTCAAATTCAAAATTTGTTGATGTCGCTGTGGGTGAGAGACGAAACAGACCGTATTTCTCTCGTTCCTTTTGCGCAGGTCATTAAATATTCTTCTCATCCTGCCATCCGCTAGACGGACTTAGAAAGGCAATCACTCACTTGGCTTGCACATTCTGAAGGAGGAGGCGTATTCTCGGGGTTTGATTCGACCGCCTGTTTACCGGCATCCTTTTGGCCCCAACGCCTGAGAATGGGAACCTTGTCTCGAAGCTTTCTCATCGCAACTTTTGTTGCACTCATCCACTTTGTCAGCGGCGGCCCAAGGAAGAACGCAAGAGCATACGAAATGACATGCAACGATGTGAGAACAGCGAGAGAACGGTTAGCGGGAGCACGAGGGTGGGAGAGGGGCTGTTCTAATTGCCATAGCCTGATGCATTGTTTCCTGAGGCAAAAGGTATCATGTATCCAATGGGAGGCATTCATCGATGTCTTGGTGATTTGCTTACAGCCCTCATGCACCTGACCTGGAAAGGGACGTATACAAGCCACCTCATGCATAACGTGCGAAGTATTTCTTGGCGGCCGTTTCTATGTCACCGGTTTTACCTCATTAGGGATCGAGAAGCCAATTGATGAGAATGACGGGAATACGAATGGGTAAAGCAAACTTGATCTTTGAAATATTGGCGAGACACTAATTAGCTCAGGTCATTAAATCGACATATGAGTATTATCGAGTTTTACTTTCAAATAGCAGAGATACTTTCACAGCAATTTGTGCCCCTCTGTAGTTGGTCTTGTGTTACCACACAGTGGTCGATATACGTGCTTGAAATTAATCCGCAATCGAGCTACAGTGGTTTTGGCCGACATGTGGTTACTCTGTGAACAGGTATTTGCTATTCGGGAGAGTTGATCTTGTCACATGGCTTTTCTCTTGGGAGATAAATACTGCTCACGGAGACCAAAGTTACGATTGATGATAGCTCGTGAAAATCTATATCCCAAGGTAGGCTACCTCAACCTTTCCCGAAAAACGCTACGCCATTTGAAGCCTACAAAGTTGGCACCTCAGTAAGCAACCAATGAGTCAAACCACCGCGAGAACAAGTCAATCTGGCTCTCCTTCGCAATTGGCAAAACCTGGAATGCCTCACCCAGCTCCATGACAGTTGCATTTGCGTCACTCGCCGGTGCCCAGTCTGCAAGCCCCTCTGCGTTGGGATTTCCGTTCTTGATAAAGGTAACCCAGTACGCATTCATCGTCTCAGCAATCGCGTAGTCCTCGGTCGTCCACGGGAGATCCGTTCCGTACAGGTTGTTCATCGCGTAGTTGATCTCGCTCTCATGGTACGCCCCCTGGGTCTGTCCGGGCGGCGCATGGTCCCAGATGTAGTTGTAAACCGAGGAGGTGGCGTTCTTGGCCCAGAGCTGGGACCAAAAGTATGTGCCGACCTTGGAGCGGTCTGTGAACTGCGCGTTGTAGGCCGCCGAGGCTGTCGCGGAGTCGTTGGCGGGGTATGCTGCGAGAAAGTCCCGCTGCCAGGTGCCGTAGGTCTCGTTGAGGTCGGAAAGGTACGTCGCGAGGGTGATATTTAGGCCGTACGAGGCGCCGCTCTCGTCTCTGGTGTTGCCCGTCATGATGGGGACGTCCTGCGCGATGCCCTTCTCCAAGGTGTTGAGGTAGGTGTCGGGCATGGCGTAGTAATCGAGCGTGGCGGTGAAGTCGAACTCAGACGACAGGAACTCGGTGACCAGATCGTCCATCGGCAGTGCGCGCATGCAGGCAATATCGGAGCAGTTCAAGGACGCCATGAACCTGGCCGCAGTGTCCATGTTCACATCCAAAGTTCTGTAGTTCTCTGCGAGGCTTGTCGCCAAAGGATCTTGAGGGTCCCGAACACCACTCTGGATGATGGCGCCGTGGATGGTGATGTTGTGAAGCGGGCTGTTCAGGATGTGATACGTGGCTGCGGACCCGGCAGATTGGCCCATGACTGTGATGCGATCCGGGTCACCGCCGAATTGAGCAATATTCTCATGGATCCAGGTAAGAGCTGCGAACTGATCAAGCATTCCCCAGTTACCAGAGCTGTTGGATCCAGCACTTGCAAGCCTCTCCTCGTTGAGTTCAGGAGTAGCAAGCCACCCGAAGGAACCAGTGCGGTAGTTGTAGTTGACAAACACCACGCCCTTATCAGCCGTGCCGGCTCCGTCGAAAAGGGGGAACGCAGAGCTGGATCCGGCCGGGTAGCTCCACATCACGACCGGCAACTTGGTGTCGGACGAGTTCGCCGCGCTCCAGATGTTGAGGCTCAGACAGTCCTCGCCGATGGAGTAGTCGGTTTCGCCGGTGCCCAGTGCGGACGGGCAGGCGTTGCCGAAGTCCTTGGCGTCGAGGGTCGTGTTCCAGGGAGTTACGGGTTGAGGAGGCCTGAAGCGGTTCTCACCGGCGGTGGTCGCGGCAAAGGGGATTCCTTTCCAGACGGTGATATCGGCCCAGTTGGTGAGCGACATGTTGGCCGGAGTGCTGTTGAAAGCGGGATAGCCCTGTACGGATCCATACTTTGTTTGGACAACAGTTAAGAGAGCCGCATTGACCTCTGCGAGGAGTGTTGCGGCAGCGGCGAGCTTCCACATGATGTGAGCTGTTATGTGAAGAAGAACGAATGTGATAGTCGGTATTTCTGTGGAAGATACTTTTCCTATTCCAAAATATTTCCAGCTTTTGATCTTTATATGAGCCCCCGAGCCACTTCATGATGGAGACGGGTTAGTCCGTTCGGTTACTGAACACTGCTAACTCCAGATCGTCATTGGACCAGGGCGTGAAGAACAACTCGGCCACGCCGTACGTAAAACAAACGCAGATCGCCTGTTTTCTTCATATTGCTGAGCCTCGATGATGCGACTCAGATTACGCGGCGAGCGCTGCTCTAGAAGCCATAGTATGGTTCTCAGTGCCGGGTCATGATCATCATCCCTTCTTGAGACCGTGAAAGCGAATCCGAAGTGGAATCCGAGGTGGGGCTCTTCCGAGCAACAGGGCCGTTAAGGCGTGACGAGGCGTACGGATGTCGGCAGTTATGGTCCACCTCAGATCAGCAATACAGAGCTAGTACGGATAGTATTTATATGATCGAGGTGCCAACCTTGAGAGAAGTTTGTCGTCTGTATAAAGTAGTCATAGAGTTTCGGGAGGGTAATACCGCAAGAAACCTTTTTCGCCGCCGTGGAGATCATGCAGTGACGCTGTCTCGCTGTGGAGCACAACATTTAAGCGGGATCGACTTCGTCTCATTGCTCCTGGCCAATCATGTTTCAATTGAATCCTCTTATGTCAGTCTCAAAAATGTTTCTTTCGAAATGAATATCATATTTGTCTTTTCTGCGAAATTGTTGTCTTTGTTGCTGCACGCCTTTGGCATGCAGGCATCCGTTTCATTGAAGCCGCTCCGGTGACCCCTGTCCCCTGGAGAACATCCAGCGCTACCTTGTCTTCCAAAGCTTCCAAGCGGTAAATGAAACCACGCCAGATGCCGCAAACATGCCGCTCCATATGCCCATCAACTTGACAATGACCTCTTGGGCAGTCTTCTCAATTGCAGCCGCATCATTCGCTCTCGGCAACGGCTCGTCAGGAACAGGCACGTTCAGAAACTTGCACAGAGGCTCCCATCCTTCCTTCAGATCCATGATGAGCAGCTTGTCAGCCGGCACCATCTGCTGCACAGAATGATTCCAGTTCGGAAGTATTGCTGATCCAAAGGTCAGTATTCGCACGCACAAGCCTCTATGATGTTTTGGGGGCATGCAGAGAAAGGTCTCACAGTGATAATGGTCCCGTCCATCATTCGGACCCTTGATCTTCATCGCTGAGTTGGTGAACTCATTCACCAGCGTCGGGAACCAGCGCCAGCCGGGAACCGGCCACATCACGTACGGCAGCCACCATATAGAGGCATTGCTTCCTACCAGCTGAATACTCTTCGCAAACTTTTCGTTGTCCCGTGTGGTCAATACCACCTTAGCATCCGGGTACAGCTCTAGCAGGTCGGGTATAAAGTCAATCGGCGGCATGTCGGTGCACCCGACGTACCCCGCGAAAATATCTTCAAGCAGCCTGTGGAGTCGCGCTTTGTCGCCGGCGCGCTTGGCCTCGTACGCCTGCGCGAGCTTCTTGCAGTAGGCTGATTTCGCACCATTAATTAGCACGGTCTCTCATATCTAGACGCATCAACTACATAGTGGAATGGGCAAACTTACCATCTTCGCGGTGGAGAACTTGCGTGCCGCCATGCATCACAGGCCCGTCGAGGAGTTTCTCCAGCGCCAGCTGCAGAGAGACGGTGCCGGTCCGGGAGTACCCGGCGCCGATGACCTGGATCCTCCGGGACGGATCCGTGGGAACCGACGGCGCTCCGCCCATTTTTTCTGTCGGCGTCAGAGAAGAATATCGGCGGCGTGCTTCGGTCTAAAATCACGACATTTGCAATTCTGCCGGCGATTGCGTGATTTTTAAAGGCCGCCGATGTTCCGTTATCTGGCACCTCCATCAAACGGGTAGGGTGGAGTTGGAGCGGCGGGGGAGGGCGGCCATGTGCCCATCCTGCGGGATGGAGGAACTTCAGAATGGAGAGGATGGATGGGTGCGCAAGCGAGGCGGGTCTGTTGGGGCGCAGATGCCCGGAAATGCAGCGGAAGACAGGCCTGTCTGCATGATATTGGTTGGATGTTACCTCGCGCTGCCCCTTCAGATTGTCTCTCTAAGCGATCATGTGCTCGGTTAGATATGGTTTGCTACCTTCTATTCCCTAGTTGGGAAGATCATCGGGCGCTCGATGATGACGATGACCTTTGAACGAATAATCCGCATCTGAAAGCTTCACATTTAACGTGCTTGACTTCTCTATTAATTCGTTGCAAGATGAAAGCAGCCAGTTCCTGACTGTCCTTTAAATGCGTCCTCCAGCTCCTTCGGGACCACCCAGTGCTTGTCAAACTTCCGGCCCCCGAGGAGAAACCAACGCGGCCGATCGACGTGTTCCTCATCAAACTTCTTCCGGCCGTTGAGCTGGCTTGCCCCACGATTTGCTTCCCCAGGCGCAAAGTAAGACATTTCCAGGGGTGCTCGGGTGTTCGCCGCCATTCCGCCAAAATGCACATCCATTCGCCGCAGCGATGGCATCTTGGCAACAGCTTCGGCGAAAGAGACGGCCAGGGGTGTGAAGGTGGCTGGGTCGGGGGTCAATCGGAACCAACGCCCGGGGAATTCGCCGGCCTGCTTGGCCCACTCAAAGTCCGGCTGGAAGTCTGAGGCGTCCGAATCATCCGAGTCGAATGCCGCTAGAGAGTCGTCAGAGGTTTTCGCGTAGCCCCCGTCGTCCATCATGGCTTTTTCAGGGTTCCCGGTCAGCAAGTATCTTCCCTCTGGGGTCGTGACAGCGCAGTCCACGTAGAGATATTCTAGGGATGAGGACAGCATGTCTTCTGGATCCGTTCGCGAGCCAAAGGCGGCTGGCGACAAAATCCACAGCGTCTCTAGGTGTAACCTCCGAAGCGTGGGAAGCCGACAGAGACGCCGCACACCGAGACTTAATCTGTCCTCCGCGTCGCCGTTGTCTAGCAGATTGCCAGGTTCAAACGTCTCATCATGGGGATCCGCATCCTCCATTTTGATCTTGAACTCAACAAGACTCGGAAACGCCGTGTTCAGTAGTGCATTTCCGAGAGCGGACCGTATTTCCCGCCGCGCAGACATGAGACGGCGCGTCGGCAGCCTCAACCTCCACTCCATCCTCCTCGCCGACGTCAAGGCGCTCGAGATGGCCGAAATCACGTCGGGATGCAGATTGCGGCCGCCTGGCCCCCCGTCGAACTCAAAGTCCGAGACGCACGCGACCTGCGGCAGCCCCGAGGATCCAGTCCCGGACGGCGGCAGCACACTCTCGTCGAACCGGATGTACCGAAAGTGATCGCGCACCTGCCACATTGGAGCGACCCGGTGGTTGTGCGTGTTAATCAGCTCCCGGTCCTCTTCCATCTCCTCCACCAGCCAGTCCGTCGGCGATGCGACGACTATCTTCAGCGTGATCCCCGGGCCATACCGGCGGCGCTCCCATTTCGCCAGCCGACCAAGGACTTTCGTGACAGCTTTTGTGAAATGAGCGTCGTTTTCCGCAGCTTCTTGTGAGCTCTGTATCTTTTTCAGGCGCTTGTTGCTGATGGGTGGGAGGACGACGTGGAAGTCGATGTGCTGGACGTATGCGCGTTGCTGCGGGTCCAGAAAGGCCTGGTTGAATTGGCTGAGACCCTCGTTGGTGCTTGGCACCTGGACCCGGACCGAAGGCCCAAAGTCGTCGATTTCAAAGGCGTCGAATTCAGTTTCCATGTCCATGAGAAGCATATGAGTGAAAATCGATGGTGAGTGAGATTTGAGAGACGGGGTGAGCGGATGCCCAAAGAGCCAAGGTGTGCCTATGACCCATGGCGGTAGAGTGGGTAGTTGCGTGAGGTTTGCTTCTGGCGCCACCAACCGGAGACGTCCGGACAAATTATGAAGCGAAACATACAGACATTGGATAATTAAATGATGTCTACAATGCTTTACACGAAAAAGGATAGAAACAAGGAATACGCGCATTTCCTAGGAGTTTGCTATCCTGGCCAGATAAGTATTGGACTATAACATTGGATTATCCAGACTTGTGTGTGACTCTCACAGGAGTCTTCGCATCTTGAACCAGTATCTGTGAAAGAATGTGCAGTTCGAACAAGATCCGCACAAAGTTTCACGATGACAAGCAGCTCAAAAGCATGTCACTTATGCTCACTACTTTGCTTTACCTGCGCCTAGCCTGTGTCAGCATTAATACACCTTGGCCCGAAAACATTTCTCCGCGCAACAGCGGTGACAGACCTCGCGTGGTTCTAAGCACAGTTCGACCGTTCGCACTCATTATGTTCCCTCCGTATGGATCTGTGGATTGCTTCGCGCAAGCAAACAGACAAAAAAGGCCCGGAGTCCTTCGCTTACACGGATGAATCTCCCCGGCGAACCCTGCGCTAGCCGGGTTCATTAAGTCAGATTGAACCTTTTCCAATTTGTTCACATCGTATTGAGATTTGGCCTTGCCTTCAAGGGTTTAGTCGCGGGTCGGGGCGCTGCATTGCAGCCCAGTTGACGGGGACTATCCGAAATCCGAGCCAGCAAGTCACATCGTCGGAATACTCGATGCTTGGGGTTGGCTCCACCTTAGCACTTAGGCAACGAGCACTTGAACCAAGTTCCCAGCGACAACAAGGCTGGTCTGGAGCCAGTTTCTTGTCATAGATCCACCGGTGGGGGGTTGTGGGTTTCTTCCTAAAGCGCCCGAGTTCACAACCTCTATTCAAGAACTCAGGAAAGGTTGCGATTGGCTTTGCTCGGACTCAATTAGGGTGGCAACATTTAGAACTCAGCATGGGGCTCCATATGCTACCTAGGTAGGTTTGTGGAGTAAGAGTGAGCTCAGATGTTGTCTAGTAATGAAACTCTATGCAAAGTTCTTCTGCCAAATTTACACTGTAGCAGTGCTTAGCTTGTTATTCTAAAGCTAAGGGGTAGTGTTGAGTTTCTTTGCCAAGACTCATTCGGCTATGCGACACTTTAGTCTCCGAATTTGATCTAAGACTTAGTATAACTTAACAGTTGATGTGGCTGAAGACTGCATAGGCGGGTCAAAATGGCTCATGGCTAAAGCGTGTCGAGTCCGAGTCGACCATACGGGAGTTGTAGAGCAGTCGAAAGGCTCCATGATCGCCACCTCCGTCTTCCTACCTGCCTATTCAGACTGACTGAAGATCGAGGCCAGTCGGTCAGCCAAGCTCGACGGGCATAATGTGATGCATCAAAAATCGAGCGGTACTTTTTCAAGTCAACTGGTGCTGCCTGTCTATAAAAGAATAGGACATTAAGACATATATAAAAGGACGCTCGTCGTCTCCCTCAAGTTCTTCCTCGTCTCTCCTCTATCATTCCACCAACACATTGATCCACCAACAAGATCCCAACACTCACCTCTCACTCTTCTTCAAAATGCACTTCCCCCAGATCCTTCTCGGCCTCGTCGCCAGCGTCTCCGCCATTGACATCTACCTCCACGTCGGCGGCGGCTGCGGCGGCAACGCCGTCCTGTGCACCAACGTCAACCCCAACACCTGCTGCAGCGGCTCCGGCGTCGACATCTTCCCCACCGTCGGCTTCCGCGGCATCCCGACCAACTGGAACCTCGAGTGCAGGGGCCACTCCGGCGGCAACTGCAACAATCTGAGGGAGGTCCAGCCCGCCCGCAACACCAATTTCATCTGCCTCTACTCCGGCGGCTTCTCCGGCGGCGGCTATGGCTTCGCTGCCCGCAAGCGTGCCGAGGATGACTCCTGCTCCACCAGCGGCTGCGCCAACCAGGTGAAGCCGGACACCTTGCTCCTGGAGGACGGTGGCAAGTATGATATTGCTGCCTTGGAGGGCGCTCCTCTCACTGAACTGGTACGTTACTCCTTGACTTGGGATTTTTTGATGACGGCTAACTGACATGCTTATGTAGTAAGCACATATCCACCACAGATGAATCATAACGTTGAGTATATCCGTTGTCGCGACTCTTACTGACTGCATTTACTTCTAGCCTCACGATCGCAGCAAGCGGCGCCAACACCACTGACATTCCGGAGCAGTTTAACGCCTACAAGATCGAGTAAAGACTCAAAATGCCATAGGCTGAAGCACCTGGGTCTTGTCTTTGCTGAAAGCTGTAGCATTCATGCTCACTTAGAACAGGGAGCGAGACGCTATAACTGCGCTTCAGAAGTTGGTTTCGGTCACTCAGTTGGGTTGGTGGACAAATATGGTGCGGTGTGGGAGGAGATTGAGCGATGATTGAAATGAAAGGTCACAATTAGTTTGAAATAATTCTCTATCGACTCAAAGAAAATTTCCCGCCGTGATGTACGCTCATCGCTCCCGTTGCCAATGACTGTCTATCATCTACTCCGCCGGCTATGCCTATCTTACAGGAAAGTATCTAAAGCCGCCTTGATTCTCGAGTGAAAGGACTTTGCTTCTACAGGACCCTCAAGTTGACGTAACACTGCTTCGGCTTACGAGTCAACCCCTCAACGTCCTCGTAAGTCGACAGCTCCGTCGGACAAGGTAAGAATTCAAAGGTCCACACCAGAAGAGTGACCAAGAGCTTCAACTCCATGTATGCCAGTCTGCGTCCGAAACAACCCCGAAGACCGAGACCGAATGGGATGGTAGGCCCAGCCGCTGAGTCGAAAACCTGCTCTCCGGTCTCCTTGTTTGTCACCAACCACCGCTCTGGCCAGAACTTGTTCATGCCATCCTCATTCCAGGATCGCATCCCACGCTCCTCCATTGCATTCTTGCACGACTCACTACGGAGAGGTTCGGGAATGTCAAACGCGGGCTCCGTAAAACTGGCGCCTTGGTTGGCAACGAAGACGTTGGTACCTTTGGGGATGCGATGGCCAAGTACAATGGTGTCTTCGCTAGCCTGGCGTTCCTGAATGATTGATGTGTGGGCTAAGCGGAGCATCTCCTCGACCAAGGCATCCAAGTATGGAATGCTAGTTTGTACAATCTCGGCGTACGTGGGAGCGCGGCCGTCGGCTACAGCAGCCTCGTGCTTGCTCCGGAGGAGCTGTCGTAGTCGACTTTGGGGTTCAGGGTTGTCGGAGAGGAATTTGACGCCCCAGCACAAGGTGGTGCTTGTAGTGTCATGTCCGGCGACGATAAAGCCAAGAGTCTAGCAAGCACAACTCGTCAGATTGATCTAATTAGAAAGGACAGTCTTCTTACCTCGTCTTTCATTGTTTGGCTCCAAAACACAGGCTCTCGTCCCTCCTTTTTGGCAAATGTTCCTTCCCTCTGAACCATAAGGTCAATCGCCGATTTGACGTAGTCGTCGTTGTCGTCCGCGCCTTCATTCTTGTATCGGTCGACCGCCTTCATGACCTGCTCTTTGATGAACTTATCGAGAATTGCTCGGTTGCGCTGCACGCTGGGTCTCCAACCGACAAGCCACCAAGCAAGCTTGGGGAAGCCGCTCGCAGCAACCGGGCCTACATTCTCGACAGAGTTCAGTGTTGCTTGAAATGACGGGTCGATGGGTGCGGAAGGGAATTCGATGGCCTTGTTTCCATTGGTTTTGGTGGGTACATCAGCTGCCGCAACCTTTTCTAATTGCGGGATTAGTGCTCTCTGCTCAATCGCATCGCCAAATCCAAAGTCGAAAACAGCATCTAGCGCGGCGTAGAAGATGTCCATGTCCGCTTGGAACGCATGCCCCGCAGCAGCCAGTGCCTTGATTTTCCAAAGGTCTAGGAGACGAGCGGAACTCTTGTAGATATTAGGGGCGGCGACCCCGTGCAGGAACTTGGGCGTCATCAAATCCTGTAGGAGGCGTCGATGGGCCTTCCACTCCGGTCCAGTCTTGATGTTGATGTGGAAGTTTGGAGCCTCCCCACTGAGAAGCGCAATACTGAAATCGGAACGCTCGAATTCCTTGCGGCGCATCAGGATGTCCTGGCCTTCATGGAAGTCGGCGACGAGAACCGAGGGCTGGTGCAATGGCTCGATGAAGGCTTGGATGATAGGGCTCTTGTGGATTCGGGTTTGGTTGATCAGCCACCCGTAGACGTTTGTATTGGCCTCTTTTTGCAAACGGGGAATGTCTCCCAGCAAGTTCTTGGTGGCGTCAACATTGTACGGGATCCCAGGGATTGGCTTGGGAAGTAGATATTGGTACAGGGAGTAGAGGAAGAACGAAAGCGCCGCAACGCCAGAGGCTACGACGTAGAACATGTCCGTGGGCGATTCTTTAGGATGTTTTGACATATGTGAAAAGATTTAAACACAACTGGGTTTTCGTTCAGTGATTGATTGATGGTGGTCGAAAAGAGCTATGAAGAGGAAGCCCATGGCTTGTGTTTTATCACCATCGCTCATCCCGGTGGAGCACGGTTTCGGGTCCGCGGAAACCCGTGGCGGGTGCTGCGGCGTGTAATGCGAACACTCCGAGTGGTTCGTGAGTAGAGCGCCCCCGCGGATGATGGAATCCCCTGCAACATAATATGCGATCGAATTTCAAGATATGTCGGCGGTCGACCGCCGGACCCTCGCGGAGAATAATTGTGCGGGCGACGGCGGCGGTGGCGGGCGGCCGGTGGGTAATTCCCGCCGTCACCCCTGACTTACGGAGCTTCGTCCGGCGCTTAACATGCCGGAAACGGTAAGGGTGCCGCCGATGGTTCCAGCGGACGCGGCCTGAACAAACTTCCGACGGGCCTGGGCAGCAGCAGAAAATTTCCAGGCTGTCGACACCGCGCTCTTAACGTCAAAGCACAGTGGCGCGCCCGAACTATCAGATCAATCTGTTTCCCGCGGGGTAGTTGAGGCAAGCACTGATGGGAACAATGGGGTTAAGTTAGACTTCCAGACATCCCGAATTGTGACGTCGCGTTATGGAGGCGCGCAACTCATAAGTATATAAATCTGGAAGATTGCTACATAGGTAAGCATGCATTTCATCTCAGCATCATTCCAATAATCATCATCCACAAATCCTTCAGCGCTACTCAGAAATCATGGCCTCAACCACTTTGAAATCCTTCGGGGGAAAGGTGATTGCTATCACGGGAGCTGCTAGCGGCATCGGACGCGCAGTCGCGACTTACCTCGCCACTCGTGGAGCAACTCTTGCAATCTCCGACGTCCAGAAAGACGCCTTGTTAAGTTTGGCTACAGAGCTGTCCGCTTCTGGAGTACGTATTGAGGCCACCGTTGTAGACGTCAGCGATCCCGACCAAGTCAAAGCCTGGATTGAAGAGACAGTCAAACTATTTGGAAAGCTTGATGGCGCGGCCAACATTGCTGGGACAGGCGGATCTACCGTGGATTGCCTCGAAGCGCAGACCGACAAGGACTGGAATCTAGTGCTCGGCATCAACCTATCTGGGACGATGTACTCCATGCGGGAACAGCTGAAGCACCTGACTGACGGGGGTTCCATCGTCAATGCCTCGAGCGTTCTTGGGCTGAGAAGCGCGCCTGATGCTGGTGGCTCAGCCTACGTCGCCAGCAAACATGCGGTGTTGGGGATGACCAGGCAAGCAGCGAGGGAATACGGTCATCGCAAAATACGAGTCAACTGCGTCAATCCGTAAGTTAAGGCCGTTTCATGCTTGTCAATTATCAGGCTGACCTACTCGCCAGCGGCGCTATCGATACTCCAATGATGGCACATGCAAAAGCAGAAGACTCGGGCGTCTACAGTCCTCCTATCCCAAGGTGGGGTCAGCCTGAGGATGTGGCTGCCTTGGTGGGATTTCTGCTCGGAGACGAGTCGACGTACATCTCTGGAACATCGATTGTGATTGACGGTGGACTTACGTGTTAAGCCGGCGAGAATAGATTGCGCATGGCTGAGGGATGATTTAAAAGCTGGCTGGGTGCATCACACTGCGCCTTTACCAGCCTCATGTACAACGAGTTCGCTCCAAATAATATTCTGCTAATTTCAATCACTCTTACTATCACATATGTACACAAGCCTCAGGTACAAATTAGATTGGAGATGGACACAATTTTTGAGAACTTGAAACAATGGAGCTTTTGACATTTTTATGGATAGGAGAGTACTTAGTGATTGGGGGGGCACACGCAAGGGAAGAAACCACTGCTTATTTATTTACCTATGGATGAATGGGTCGATCACATAAATATTTCCCCTGTCATAATATAGCGCCAGGGAAAACTGCCTCGGGATGCCGCTAAACGGTATGAGACCAACCATTCGCACATAGCGAGGTGAGAAGGCTGGCGAATCGCATCCTAGAATGTAGGTTGCCATAATGCAGAGCTTACATGCACCGCCCACTTCACTGCCACCGGTCGCTAACTTCAGTAGTCCGGAAAAACGCCTTACAACAATGAGACGTAGTACTTTATACGCGGTACGGCCCAGAGGCAGATCGCAATCAATTTTCAATCTCGGCACACGTTTGCCCTCTGCGCAAGAGTCAACATACACTCCAGCCCCTTACGGCACCCTAAGGTACGTACTTGAGCGACCATACAATTTGACCAAAATCAACTCTGGGCTACATCCAGATTTCAAATGGAAGCAGTTGGTGCTGCAGCTGCCATCGCACAGCTGGCGGGGCTGTCGCTCACAGCGGGCAAGTTGGCACGTATCAACCTTTCAGTTGCCGTCCGGGTAACCTGCTGAATCAAAGAAGATAGCAGTACAGGATTCTAGTACCGCACCAAAAGCCACGCGCGAGAGGACCAAGCTCAATATGCCTTCAAAGCAGCTGAAATCTGAAAATGACCCCGGATACATGCTGATGCAGCACAGCATGCGCGCCACTCAGAGATACACCATAGCCAGTACGGGAAATAGTGGTCACCCCGCCATATCCAGCAATGCATTCTACAGCATAGGCGGAAGTCTTACGGTGGATTCAAGACTTAAGTCTCGAAAAGCCAAATTTCTGTTCAACTTAGCCTTCAGACTGCTAGGCCAGTACATTCTCCGGGTGGAGATTCAGGCTCAGCTGCTTTGCCGCTTTTGGAAACTCAACCCTTCGCTCACTGGATCACTTTGGGTTGTTAATATGCGGCCTGGTGACGCACCTATTTTTTCAGCTTGTCGCTCCTGGAATTTGGAAGAAGTGCATTACTTGCTTAACACCGGGCAAGCGAGCATAAATGATGCAGATAATGAGACAGGAGGTCTTCTTGAGGTAAGTAATCGTACTTCCATCATGCCATCACAGTTTAACAATACTCCAGCACGTAATCCTAGGCCGGTTGCCTGGCACCGATAGGGCAGCGGTGCGTGAGACAGACTTTCTTCGTGGAGGGCAGGCATTATTGGAATACCTGCTTGAGCAAGGCTGCGATCCATCAATCACTCACTTGAGGGCTGAAAAGGCATTGTAAGCATTGCGATCTGAAGTCATGTGGAAGAAGTGTGTAATCTTATTTTCAGGCCTGCGGTACTTTCCGCCTTTTCGCTAGGTTATAGAAACGCTACCTCCACCATGATATCTCATGGAGCAGACATCAACTCGTTTGGCAATATGGTGGGTGGATTATTCGAGTCTGTCGGCACAAGCACATCGCAACTTCTTTGGAAATTTCGGCTTTTACAGTCCATGGGATATTCTGATTGGCGATTAGACACACCTTCGAACCATCTGCTCTACGGTGCCTGTTGGGGAAAACAACTAGACCTTAGTTTGTTTGCATTGGAAATAGCCAGCTTGGATCCCAATCAACCTGGTGAGCTCGGGAGAACACCGCTAGGCAATGCAGCTCAAAGCAGGTGGTTGGAAGGTATTTCTATCCTCATTCAGTATGGAGCTCGCGTCAACGTCCGAGAAGGGCCTTGGGACGAGTCACCGCTAGGCCGTAGCATCGCACTCTCTCACATCTTAACCGATGCTTCACACTACCTGCTACTCAAAGGTGCCGATCCAGGGCTCCAAGACTCCACAGGACTCTCTTTGTGGGCTCACATGATGACAAAGCAGTATGATCCGGAATACGGCTGGTATCTCAAGTTCTCGTACATTGCCTTCGAGGGTTCAGTGGCTCATCTGCTTCATCATGGCTCGAACCCTTTCGAAATTTTCGATGGGGATGAAAAGAGCCCTCGGGAATACGATGTCAGTAGATGGTTCGCTTTAATTGGGCACCTGCAAGCATCTGATATTGCTCGATTCAGGAGCTATGGTATGTCACGGAGGAAGAATCTGTTTGCAGAAAGCTTCAATGGTTTCTTACCAGCAGGACTTCTGCAAAGCATCGAGGCCATGGACAGCAGACGCTGCTTCGACTGGACGTTCAGATGGGATATTGGCGGAGAGATTAGCTGGGATCACAACATCTCATCAGCAACGAAGGCGTTTGAAGAAGAGAGGCTGTCACGCGTCCCCAGGGAAGAACAAGAGAGAGGCTTCTACGCAACCGACGTGGTCGAGGAATGGGGCTCGGAATATGACAGTGATGACTACATCACTGACGAGGGAAATTTCGTCCCGATTTGGGAGCACGCGGATCCACGACACCAAGATTATACGGACGTGATGTATGGCGGGAATCCAGAGTTTTTCAGAAACGCGACCGGGTTTTATCGCCATATTGCAACTGCACATGGGCGCAGGCAGCTTTCTCGCTGGCCTACAGTTCGGGCTCTGTGCGACGCGCTTCAGCATGCCGGCTATCGGGTTGAGATGGATGACGAAGGTGACTTGTGGTATGATTGCGATGATGGTGACAGGTACTTTGACGCTTGGGAGCGGCAGTCTGCGCAGGTCCGCGATGACTGGCTCGTGAATACGTGTCCGATCTGCCAGAATCTCGAGAAGTACGGCCTAGGCCATATCCTGGAAACTAAGATGAAGGCAAAAGAAAAAATATCCGAATATCGAAGACAGGCCAGGGAAGGAAAAAGAAGGTACTTCTGAGGCCGTTGCAGGTGATGCAGATGCTGAAGCACCTTTCTTGACGTTTCAATCCTGTACTATCATTGGTTTGGCCACCGAGAGGCTTCACTCGCTGAATTTGATATCCTTTCCTATCCCAAGGCGGATTTTTCAACTTTATTTTTCAACTTTAAATGCAAATCTGCTTTTCCACTCCATTCCTCTAAGGCATCACCGGATGGGTAATGCGACTACCGTTGGAGAGCTGGAAATAGCACCGCAGCTCATACCCTTATGCGTAAGCATGTATGGGGAGGTGAAAGCTATCATTGATGAGCCTGAAATTTCTCAGAGCAATCATGGCAGCTCAGGATATTCTTCTTATTCCAGTCCTTGTCTGCAAATAATCCGGACACCGGTTATGCACGGAGATCATAGTTTACGTCGTGCCGTACCTGCCGATCTTTCAAGCAGTTGGGTGTCTCCCCTAACCATTTTTGGAAGCTGGAGGATTACATAGTCTTCAATTGGCCCATGTCTTCGTCCCGCGTTTTGAATTGATTGTCTTTGTCTTTGCATGTGAATGCTACATCTTCCCCCTTGCATGGCGCGCAATACTATCACACCCACCCGAGCCGATTGAGGGTATTCCCAATTTCTATCTCACACCATACCTGCGAAGTCATCACCTGAACAGGAAGGCCAAGAGATTCTTATCTAACAATTCAGCCTACATTTGTATGACATGTCTACTTCTCCTCCATGAGCTGATCACAATACAAGTCGGCAGGGTCCGATCTCAGCTCCACCCGAAGCTGACAAGGCCTCAAAATCCCCGCATTGAATAGTTTTCTCGCCAAGATCGTTGGGCGCCCAACAAAGGCACGCCATTACACATAACTGCCACCTCGAAGCTCTTGGGGGCGGGGATTCTTCATCAAAAGCAGAAGGTCCTATCTCGGTCTACGACCCACGTGTTCTCTCCCTACAGTCAGCCCAACCACCCACCTCTAAGCGCCCCGATTACCCCGCGATCAGCGACGAACTCCGCTACGATTGGGGACTAGGCACCGATTTGCTTGCCTTTAAACGGCCGACATCTCCGAGACGATGCTACTCCAAACCCTGGCTGGCGGCCCACGGCAACACCCACGGCGGCCACGAGACTCAATGACAGGCCAGGGCGCCCCTCTCCCGAGAAATACTGCGAACTGCCGGCCCTATCAGAACCTGCTATGACGCCATGGGCTCCGATGGGATGCCGATGATCACTTCGACTTCAGGATATACGCGCATTCAACGCATTCCACAACACAGCTGTCACCCGTGCAGTTAATCAACACCGGAGGCACACCTGAACCTTAAGGAGGGGGGCCGGTGCGGGCCGAGGTGCTGGAGTGGGCATAGTTGTGCTGCAAGAGCAATATCTTACATTGCAAAAACTTGCTTCCAATTTCCCCAGGGCAACGCAGCTTCCTGTTCGCAGACCGATGTTCCCGGTTGGGGGCGGTTTCTGAATGGTCAATGGGATGGCATAACCTAAATGTGCCATGCACAGGTCAGCATGAGGCTCGGCCGACGGTCTCAAGTTGGGATGGTTTGACCGTTGAGGGCAGCACCGCTACTTGCGGTGGAGGGTTGGTCCCTGGCCCTGCGACGCATTGCAAACTGGCAGGTCGTGATGCGACGACGACAGCCAAGGTCTTGGCCTGTGAGTCGCTGGTCAGGTCCACGCGCGGCACGCGCACACCACGAGGGAATAGAGTTGATCAGCCACGGGAGATGCGCAGCCATACTGCTTAACATATAAGACGAACATGATCCCCCCTCCAGTTGCACGTCACGGAAGATCGTCAGAGCTCCAGTCTCCCACCGCCGACAAGACCGCCCTCCTGCTCATCCTCAAGCCCCAGACCCATCTCGGTCCAGCAGCTGACTCGTCACCGTCAAGATGAAGGCCGGTCTCCTCCTCGCCGCCGCCTCCGCGGCCATGGCTGCTCCCTTCGAGAGCGTCGCTGCCCGCAGCGAGTTGGGATCCTTCCCCATGACTGAGCTTGAGGAGTACTACAAGCAGGCCTTTACCAAGCCCTCTACTGTTGCCTCGATTTCTCCCTCCATCGCCAAGCGTCAGTACAATGGTGACACCTTCAACCAGCTGACTGACGGCACTGCCTGCCGTGCTGTCACGGTTATCTGGGCCCGTGGCACCTATGGAGACGGCAACGTCGGAGAGGCGGGCTCTGAGGGTCCTTCTTTCTTCAACGCCCTTGCTGGTATCATTGGTGCCTCGAACCTCGCCGTTCAGGGTGTCAACTACAGTGCCAGCGTCTTGGGCTTCTTGTCCGGCGGTGATGCGGCTGGCAGCACCACCATGGCCAACTTGGTCTCCCAGGTAAATCTTGCTCGTCAATTTGCGCTCCATTGACTTCATAGCTGACGACAACTTCAGGCTGCGAGCAAATGCCCCAACACCAAAATCGTCCTGTCCGGCTACAGCCAGGGTGGCCAGCTCGTCCACAACGCTGCCTCCAAGCTCAGCACTACTCTGACCAACAAGGTCTCTGCCGGTATGTCAAGCTGTTTCGTAACACCGCCTTCATGACTAGAATCTAACATGCGACAGTCCTCATCTTCGGCGACCCATTCGACGGCCAGCCCGTCGGCAACATCCCCTCCTCCAAGGTCAAGATCATCTGCCACGACGGTGACAACATCTGCGACGGCGGTATCATCATCACCGCGGACCACAGCAACTACGAGCAGGACGCCCCCGCTGCTGCTGCCTTCGTTGCTGGACTCGTTCAGTAAAGCGCTGAAATAGGCGGCAACATGGTTTAGGCGACAGCACTATGGATGGAAATTACGATGGCACGGCTACATGGAGTTAATGCATCACGTAGCATAATGAGAAATGTGAATGATGAAAATCAAAAGCGACTGTGATCAAATGTGTAACTCAGTCTGATTTGCGGCACTAGAATTATGTTGGGAGTTGTAAATGTGGCTTGCCACGATTTTATGTTCGCCTCTCCTTCTTCCCTTCTAACTCTTTTCATATTTTCTTTTGGTGAAACAAGTTTCCGCCTCGGCGCACCTTTTTGGCTGCCGTATGACTCTGACGGGGAAATTGGCAAGGGCTAGAATTAGGCTAGAGAAACCTCTACTGCAAATCTATACAGGGGCAGCTCCCTCTCTTGTGTTCACCTCACTCCTATACTTCCAATGGTTTCTGTCCGTAGACAACATGGCTATGTCAGACGTTAGAAACGTGCTTTTGCAGTCATGGTTAACTTAAGACGACTTACAAGTCAAGCTGGGCATGGAACAGATGACGAGACTTAAGTTCCTTGCGAACTGCAGCAAGAAGCACCTGGGCTTCCGTCTGGGTCTGCCCCAGAATTCCGCAGAAAACTCTCATAGAAAAGCCTTCCAGCCCGTCTAGAAGCTGTGTCAGGTTCATAGCCCCAAGATCGCTATACCACCTATCCTTAGGCCAGGGACCAACGGGGACTTTGAGCCTTGAATGGGAAATATTCTGAAACCCAGCATCCTTCACCCAGTCTTTCAGCTTCGGGCCCGGACAGGGGTCACGCCCGACGGATTGCAGCGCAGAGACAAGGTCTTTACTCCATTGCTTGAATTGATGTTCCTCGGTCAGCGTTGCGTCGTCTGAGTAGTAGTTGAAATCGGAGTCTTGAAACTCAACCCAGCCCCCGGGGTTGAGGTTGCTGAATATTAATCAGTCACTAAACTCATGAATCAGATACTAGATTGATCTAGTAATACTCACTCGTAGATCGTGCGGACCAATTTCGGCCAGTCGGTAACGCACGCAGCCATACATCGACAAAAGATGTAATCGTACTTCTTGTCGCCTATCCATGGGCTTTCGACATCATCGACAATGAATTTGACATTTGGTCCAACCCTTATTCATTATGAGATAGCGCTTTTGGCAGTGATGTAAAAAACCGTATTATGACTCACCACTCTGGCTGGATAGCGCTGAGGTCAATGCCGATAACCTATTATAATAGGTCAGAGTTGAAGATTGGATTCCAAATCGTAGGTCAGGTGGCCTACTTCGGCGTTCTCAAAAACATCCCCCATCTCCATGGCCCCTGAAGGTTCGGATTTGTTTAGCTCTACAACCTATGGTGGGATTGATTGGCCTACAGATTCCGGTGCCCGTCCCAATGTCCAAGATTCGATCGATTTTGCTTTTCTCAACAGGCGCGGTGTATAGTTTATTGCCGACTGCTCTCACCAACATCGCATGCGTGAAGTCCATACGATCCATCTCGTACTGTGGAGCTGCATTAGACGGCGCACGAGAAATAGGGATCAAAGTAGCACAAACCTCGTCGTTCGGCATAATGTACGCTGGTTCGTATCAGTCTTCGTCTTTGTTCTTCGAAGTTCAATGAGAAAAACAAAACACTCACATCCCGGGCGGAAAGCGTGATAACGTCGACCGTATTCTATTGGATAGTCCACCGCGCTCGATGCTAGCGATGCCGTGTAAGAAGACCTGTGGCGGACAGTTCAGTCTCGTTGCCAAAGATTCAGGCAGTTCATGCCATACAGTTGCCCATCGTCAATTTCTGAAGAGTCATCTTCCGCCGGGTCATTAGCCCGCAGAACTTCGTCATCGTCATTCGTGGATTCGGCAGGCGCAGGCACAGATGTAGGTGAGCTGGCCGCTGCGTGGGTCAACTGGCCTTCCGGCTGGGGTGCAATGTTTGGACTGGAAAGGACCGTCCGTGGCGAAGTTGACTGGGCATTCGAGGAATGGGCCATGATATCTGTCAAAGATACGTGTGACCGACAAACTGAAAGTCGATGCGGTTCGAGTTCGATGCGTCTGGCCTCAGTCGAAGAGAAAAGAGGGGGATGTAGAAAATTGAGAAAGGTTGTGTCGGAATCGACAGAGAGAAGAGGGGCCGACTAGCTTGGCTTTTTATAAGCTCGGCGCTGTAGGTGCAAGGTTGTTGATGCAAGGCGTCGATGAAGTACCAACGGCAAGGCAGTATCTAGGTATCCATCAATGAACTAGGGTAGTCACCAACCCTGCCGCCGCCTAAAGCCACAAATCTCCATATTTTGCCGAGATAGGAAGCTGTTTACTACCGATGTTCCGCAATTTGCCTCAATGGCTTTTGAAGACTGTTATCATACCATGCTCCTGCTAGGTTAGTTACACGATCTTATTTGCATCTTGTTACGGCTCAGTTACATAATGCCTTGGCTGGCATGCCACTGTATAATAGTTGTCCACCATTTACATCATCAGGCACACGTGTCTGGAGGGGTGAGGGATCATAAAGACTTTGACGATTCTACGGAGCTAACCACAAGCACAGAATCCATGTATGGAATATTATTTTCTTCCGAGACCTACTTCATCTTTACAGTAACGTAGGTTCTATTTGTGATCGAGCGTAATATTTTCAATTCCAATCGAGACTTCGACGGGAAGCATAAGTACTTCGCCCAATCGAGATCCGATACTCGTTAGTCTTCTTTTCTCAAAGAGACTGATTGACGAGCTTGAAAATATGATTCATTGACGACTTAATCATTCCCAGGAATTCATGTGTCAAAAGTCATTCACAGAGCTTACTCAGCCTCATAGAGGCTACTGTGCGTATAATATGGCTTGGATATAGTCAGATGGATATCTGCAAAAGAAGTCACGGAAAGGCTTACAAGTCGAAGTGTAAGTGAAAAGAGTGAACCTTCTTGAGCTCATTGCGCACCGCGTCCATCATGGCTTGTGCCTCTTCCTGCGTCTGTCCAAGAACTCACCAGAACACCCTTATCGTGAACCCCTCGAGGCCATCCAGAACTTGCGTCAAGTTCATTGCTATCAGGGCCTTGTAAACAGGGTCTTTGGCCAAGGTGCTAACTACCGATGCGTCGCCCATATTGAGATCAGTCAATACTGCTACAAGAGTCGCACTTCAATGAGATTCTACAGTGGAAGACGAGGAGAGAGGGGAAAATAAAACAAGACCCAAAGACGAGGGGTAAGTCACAAGCCCAATTTTGTAAATACGCGACTCTGTACGTGCCAGGGTTTCGCATGATGTTGGTGCAAGGACAGCAGTGAACATGCAGAACAGTAGGCTCGTTTGTGAACACTCACCTATCACAGAGTCTTGTTTCCTATACAGGGGCATCGCCTATGAGAGTAATCACAAATCCAGTAACGGCTGCAAAGAAACTCAGTTTAAATCGCTATTTGTTGCTAGGGAAAGAAGTTGATGGGCTCTTCCGGCTGTTCCATGCACCTCTTGATATCTGCTGGATTTGACTATTCATTTCTGAACAAATTTGGGCTGATTTTGTCATATACCATCGTTGAAAAGTACGAAGGAGGTTTTGTGATAAGGAGAAGTGCGTGCCAACTGAATGGAAAACATCGGCATTAACATGGTCTCAAGGCACCACAATGACAGTGCAAGACTTCAACCGCTTCATAAATTTGCAAAGAGTGTGGATGTACATCGAAGATCTGTACGCTGGGTAGTTCGTTCATTGGTATGCAATTCCAGCTTCATAACAAAAACCATTCTTTTTGACAGGAGAATCTGGGGAATGGGTAAAACGGCGCGACTTCATTCGGGACTTCAGTCGACGTGAAGCTTCAGTGTACAGCGGTCAACACCAGGCAACTAAGAGTCCACATTTCCTCCGCAGCGGGTGATCTGTGGAAAGTGGCGCCTGCTTGCTCAAGACAGGCTTGCCAAGCCCTTCTTCCACTGGTTAATAACCGAGATCAAATGATGCGAAACATGTGCCGCGTTGTCTTGGTGGGATGGCGGGGTTTGAATGCAGCCTGTTCCGTTCCCTCGGGCTGCGATTGATTGTTTCTTCAGCCACCGCGCTGCACACGGCCCAAACAGACATTTTCCGAGCATGCCGTCGTACGTTGTATCCCAGTTGTGCACAGTTCGGTGGATACTCACCCGACCACTTAACCTGCCAAACAGGGTTTGGACTCTCCACGCAGCTGGCTGAACAGCGTCATTATTGGGCCGGGGAGACGGCTTTGTTCCAGACCCTTGGCGGCTCATCCCTAGCCCATCCATTCATAGATTGCATATTTAAAGCCAACAAGAGCATTATTCTGACCATACAAAGGAGGGGTCTTCCCCCGTTCAATTCTCGGTACCGCACAACCCCTCAATCATCACCTGTCACTTTGCGAGCGAAAGCAATTATGCATCAACCACCTGCAGCTGACGAAATTCCTGCTGTACGTTTCCTCCCGTCCTCGTTGCAATGCGAAGATTGTTTCTAAAAACCATCACTTGCCTAACCGTTGACTATTTAGGGACCCGTATTGGGGCAACAAGCAGATGACGACCGATCTGAGACGCAGAGGTACAAAATAAATGGCGCTGTCGTTTGAACGAGCAGAAAATATTGATGCATTTCGTACTAGTGTCTCGACATCGTCCACCGCATCGCTCACCGACAGTGTTCGCGAGTATCGGCTGCTGCATGGGAGAACCTATTCGCAAAAGACGGAGTACTGGGCACCCAACGATAACAAACAGACAGAGGCTCTCGACTTCAAGTAAGACCTTGCATGGTGGCCGGAAGCCTATGCTAACAACCTTCAGCCACTTTTGGCAGCTTGATTACTTCGGCGGAAGGTTGACTTTGGCTCCAATTGGAGACAATCCTCATGTTAGAGAAGCTCATGTCCGTCTTCACTTTCCCCCAAGGGCTGACAGGCGCTGCAGCATGTTCTCGACGTAGGCACTGGCACCGGCATCTGGGCGATGTGAGTTTGCCTTGATGATGTGATCTACGCATCGACTGGAGCTGACTGAAACGTGATTACAGTGATTTTGCCGATACGTATCCCTCGGCAGAGGTCATCGGTGTTGATATTTCCCCAATCCAACCTTCCTGGGTCCCACCGAACGTCAAGTTTCAGATTGATGATTACGAGCTCGACTGGACCTTTCGCGAAAACTTCTTTGACCTCGTCCATATCCGGAACCTTGAGGCCGCCGTCGCCGACTGGCCCAAACTGTACAGCCAGGCTTTCACGCATACCAAGCCCGGCGGATATGTCGAAGTCAAGCAAATCGATATCAAGACACGATCGCAAACTATAGAGTTAACAGATGACCACATTTTTAGCAGGTGGTACAAGAATATTAGCGAGGCCACTGAAAAAATAGGTAAGTCCGTTAAAAATGTGGACGATCACGGTCTGGCCAAAGGCGTCAAAGATGCCGGGTTCGTTGTTGAAGAAGAAAAGGTATACAGAATACCTATTGGAGGTTGGGGCAAGGACGCAACCCTCAGAGAGCTGGGCGCTCTTAACTTGGAGTTCAATGACCAGTCATTGGAAGGCTTCGGTCTCTATCTGTTGAAGGAAGTCCTCGGATGGGAGTACGTGGAGGTCATGGTGTTTGTCAGTGAAATGCGCAAAGCCCTCAGAGACCCGACGAACCAAGCGTATTACAATCTGTGAGTTGGATCGCACTCCTCCGTGCGACTTTGCTAATGTTTCAGGCACTTGGTGTATGGCCGCAAGCCAGAGGAGACTCAAGAGACCCCTGCTGCTTGAATGCCCTAGAACGAGAGGTGTTGAGTGGGGAGCTTGCTTGTTGATTGATGAAAGATGGAAACTTCAGCCACAACCACATAGTGACATGGTACTTTATCGCGAAAAGTCAGGTATTCACAATGACAAAACATCAATTGCGGGAACAAGTCTCTGAAACTACAATCAATGTCCAGCTCCGCAACAAGCCAAGCATCCTCCGTGATATACCCCATGGTGGAGACAAGCTAGATCTTCGAGATAAAGGCCGATGTCACCCCAGCTTAGGACCCGCATTCAAACCGCGCTATTTGATCTGGTTTCGAAAAGCTGACCTGGGCGGTGAGCAGAACCCGTAATCCGGCTTTGATGCTCGCACTCCCGAGCATCTTCAACCGCCAAAACCCCGAAATTTCAACATCAGCGTTGGTGAGGAACACACAACCTCGATGAGGGAATTAAGACCCAATAATCATGAAGACGAGATGATGAACAGAATCCGGGCTGGGCCGCTGTCACATCTCGAACACATGGCCAAGTCTAGGGTCTACGAATCAACCACGTGGAAGCAAGAGCTATGGCGCGATATCCCTTCAGAAAAGACCCAGGCGAACCTTTCTTCGTCCGCAAAGGGTATCCAACCCGCGGTCGCCTGAGAAAGCTTGATGCTTCATTGGTGCGGGGGCACGGACGGACAGGGCCCCTGGGCGGCTCGGTCTGCGACACGCAGAACAGGATCGGACGAAGATAGGATGCCATGCCGATACAAATGGAGGGCGTCTTCCGTCCCGACAACTCGGGCGGTTTTTCTTCCTTTCATCCATTCTTGCTGCCCACTCGTTGTGCGTGATTCCAACGGCCGCCGACACGATGTGCGACGACGAGCCTCCCAGGCCAAGGCCTTCCGACAGCAGTGACAGTGTGATTCCAGTGGTGCGGCCCCCTATCCGTCTGTGGCATTGTCAGGGGTTGAGATGGATTCGGAGGTTTACTGACTCGCGCGACTCGCGCACCTGCAGGATCCGGCCGTTGAAGCTGGCACGGACGATGATATCGCCAGGTAAAGAACGAATCTCCACATTGAATGTTGCGCATGAATTTGGAGTGCTAAGGCGGGGTTGGTTGCAGTATCTATCCGCAGTCAACGGTGTCATTGACTGAAAGTATCATGCAATATCGTGAGATACATGGGCGAACATATACCCAGAGATCAGAATATTGGGGCCCGAACGATGAAAGACAGAGTGAAGCTCTCGACTTCAAGTAAGTTGTTTTCCAATTGCAGGCATTCTTGAAAGTTGTGGCTTGATATCAGAGTCATTTGCTAATCATATTTCCCAGCCACTTCTGGACAACGGACTTTTTCGAGGGCAAATTATTCCATGCTCCCATCGATGATCATCCTCAGGTAGGAGCATTTTCTCTCTACCAAATGTTGCTTTCAAGGCGGGCTGACAAGTGCTACAGAGAATACTCGACATGGGTACCGGTACAGGCATATGGGCCATGTGAATAACCTCAACCTCTGGACCCACATTGCATGCTGATATGAATCAGAGATATGGCCGATCAATACCCCTCCGCCGAGGTCACTGGGGTCGATCTGTCACCCATCCAATCGACTTGGGTACCGCCCAACCTGAAATTCCAAATCGACGACTTCAACCAAGAATGGACATGGCCGAAAGATCATTTTGACTACATCCACGGACGCAACCTTGAAGCTTGCTTCACCGACCTGCCCACGACAATGAAGGAGGCCTACAACCACACTAAGCCGGGCGGATACATCGAGTTCCTGGAGTTCGAATCACAAGCCCGATCACAAGTCGCGGAACTGCCAGAAGAGCACATCTACAGGACTTGCTATACGGCCTTGATTACTGCTGCGAATACGCTCGGAAAACCGGGAGAGAACGTCCGGACGGGTGCGCTTCAGAGGGCGCTAGAGCAGGCTGGCTACGTTGATCTCGTGCATCACAGATGGAAAATTCCGATTGGCGGCTGGTGTGCCGATCCAAAGCTTAAACAATTGGGCTGGATCATTCTCGACTTCTTGAGCGACTCCTTGGAAGGGTTCGGGCTCTACTTGCTGAAGGAAGTTGCTGGTTTTAGTTACGAGAAGTGCCAGGTGATGTTCAGCGAATACAGGGCTGCGATGCGAGATCCGAGGTTGCAGTCATTTTATTACATGTAAGTGTCATCTCAATGAGCCGTGACTTGCTTCTGTCGTCATGCTAACCGGCACCAAGGCACGTCATCTATGCTCGCAAACCAGATGTATCGAAAGAAAAGAAGCCTGCGCCTAGCGCAGCAACGCCGACCCGCGATACGCCTCCGGGGGTATAATGGGAATTCAGCTTTTGGATGAGGTCATTGGTTTTGACTAGCGACAGCGGGTTTGTTTCACAGTCCATAGCTTCCTAATACACGATAGAAGCATGGCACCTATGACTTTCATGAATGCCTCTTGCGCCGCCTATTTCCAACAGACCCTCGTAAGTCATCACTCAAGCCATGCTCAGTGTGTCAAAGGGCCGTCAACTCGTGTCATACGTTCATGTTCCTACTGCAAGTATTGGGAGTAGAGGAACACGTTCATCCATTGCTGCTTCCCTGTAAACCCCATGAGTGTACAAAGCGGAGGCGGGCCCGTCCGCCGAAACCCACGCTTTCGCTTCGCACACTGTAGGAATTTGCAGTTGGTTGGAGACTTTCGGCTCGATTAGGCATGCATATGGCCTGACATTGGCGACCCTTGTCAATTTTTCTGAAGGAAGTCCCGCGCAGCAAACCAACAGAAGCTGCCACCGCAATAGGACTCTCGGACCCGTACGCCAAGAGAACCATTAACTTTCTGCGATTCTCAAAGGCTTTGCTGCAGAAGCACTGTTGGAAATGAGGAGACCTATGTATGCATTTGCTTGCGTTACCCCGATCTCTACCGTAAATTAAATTGGATCCATCCCCCGAGGTAGGTAGTGTTTGTGGGAAGTCTTTTCACTTCACCTGCCCCTGCAGGTCGACAGCTTGCCAAGCGTAACTGGCCACCAGGTGTATTTCATAATAGGAAGAGTCCAAACATGCAGGCCACATTTCACCAAAAGCACCCCTGTTGACCGAATACGCAGCAAAGAGGACTGCCCGGAATGGTATCGACTCCGTGTTCTGAATTTTGATTGGGTCGGGGAGACGGGTTGACGAATCGCTTCCACCCTTGGCAGCTCGGTCTGCAGCTTGTGCATATGACCGATCCATTTACCTGTTCAAGAACCAACAACACTGGATAAAGTCAGTACAAAAGAGGGGTTAACCTCCAACGAATTTTTCACTCTGTGCTCACCACTCTCGCTATGTGCCTGTAGCATCGTGCCCGTCGAGTTTATGCTCTTTGTTTCGAAGCTCGTCTGAATATGAGTGCCAACGCAGAGCCTGTTGCTGCCCCAATTACCGTCGTACGTGGGAGACATCCTTGAATGGAGACTCGAGCTCACAAATGCTGGTGGCATGTAGGATCCAATTCTGGACGTCGAGGGCGAGGAAGAGCAAAACGATGTCAACAGGTACGGAAGCGTTTTACCAGTCCCTGCTCGACAAGCACATGCTCATCCTGGATGTCCGCCAACAGTGTTTACACCTCATCAACGGCGTCTCTCACTGAGAGTATCAGGGAATACCGCGAGATTCATGGCCGCACGTACACCCAGAAGACCGAGTACTGGGGACCCAATGATGAGAAGCAGAACGATGCTCTCGACTTTAAGTGAGACTTTCTGCTTCAATCCACATAGAGAAGAAACTCGCATGTGCCACACGTCAGTTTGCTGATAGTATCAACCATCTGAAGTCATTATTGGATGACCGATTTCTTTGATGGCAAGTTGTCTCTGGCTCCCATAGGCGACAGCCCTCAGGTGAGCAGATTCCAAGTGATCAACAACAACAACAACGGCCACCGCTGACAGATGACCCAGAGAGTCCTCGATCTTGGAACTGGAACAGGAATTTGGGCCATGTAAGACTCGAAACGGTTGGCAATCGAACGAAAGGCGCACGTCCTAATTTACCACACACAGCGACTTCGCCGACAAGTACCCCTCAGCTGAGGTCGTCGGTACTGACCTCTCGCCGACCCAGCCTTCATGGGTTCCTCCCAATGTCAAGTTCCTTATCGATGATTTCGAACAGAAATGGATTGGCTGGCCGAAAGATCACTTTGACTACATCCATGCTCGGAATCTAGAGGCATGCTTCAAAGATGTGCCCGCATTCTGTAAGGAGGCGTACGATCACACAAAACCCGGAGGCTGGTTCGAGATCATTGAGTTCGACACTCGAGGCCGCTCTCAGAATCTTGACCTGGATGAGGACCACATTTTCAACAAGTGGTATTGCTGGATCTGTGAGGGTCAAGAAAAGATGGGTAAGCCTCAGGGCAATGTGTCTTCGGGACGATTCAAGAAAGCCCTTCTTGACGTCGGATACACCGAACTTGTCGAAAAGAAATGGAAGATCCCGATCGGGGCCTGGCCAGCAAAGGCTGACCTCAAGCGACTGGGGCAGTGCAACCTGGAGTTCATGGAGATGTCTATCGAGGGCTTCATGCTTTACATCTTGAAGGAAGTTCTTGGCTTCAGCTCTGCCGAAGTTCACGTCACTATCAGTGAGGTGAGAGCGGCGTTCAGGGATTCAAAGATCCAGCCATACTACTACATGTGAGTCCAGACCAGTCAAAGGGATATTTCTTTGCTTTGCTAACGTCTCTGGAGGAATGCAATGTACGCTCGCAAGCCACTGAAAGCCGAGAAGACGGAGGCGTAAGGACGACCACATGCACATAGGCGGCCGCGCATAAGTACGAGTGCGACAGTGAAACAGAATGTTTTCATCCTGCACAGAACTTAAGCATGCCTTAAATGAAGACGTAAACTGAGAATAAGACGCACCTGGGTTGTCATGTCTCGTTTCATTCCATAGCTGTCGTGGCGAAGTTTTGCAGCGGAGCCAAATCCACCCGCGCCATTATTCAATACCTGTAATTCAACTTGTTTGCAGTATCTTCCTCTTTCTCCGCCAAGACAAGTGATAAGTTCCGCTTTCAAACAAGCAGGCAAAATGAATTGTATGTCTTTGTCAACGTCATGCATAAACTCTGGCTAGCTTGCTAACTACACACACGCCACTTACCAGATACCACCACGAACGTGCGGTATGTACAGTCAATTTGAAACAACCTTTCAGTGGCTTTTAAATGGCGATTGATGACGGAATGAGTTTCTAAAAAGCGTTTGGACTTGTCGTGGCTTTTCAATCGTGCCGCGAAGTCTGGACATGCCTTACACCACCCAAGCGACTCAACACCATCACGAAGCCTCACAACAACAAAAAGAAACATTGCGAGAGCTCCAAAAGACAAAAGAAATGACCCCAACCCGATTTGAACGGATAACCTTTCGATATCAGCTCAGAAACGGTCGCAGGACAGAATCTGGAGTCGAACGCGCTACCGTTGCGCCATAGGGCCTCTTGTTGATATCCGACATTGCCCGAGACCAGCTTATGTTGTGGGCAGGCACTAGGGCTTGCCTCGCAGACCCACTTGCTGGAAAAGACCTCATGCTGCAAGCTCCACATCGTGCAGACAACATGGATGCTGCTTGTACATGTTGGGGTCTGGTCATCAAAGATGGGCAGTTGTCACGGGGCAAGACTTTGAATAGGAAACGTCCGAGGGTAAAAGGGCAGAACCAAAGTCTATTAGACGCTTGCAATCTCAGCTTAGACGAACGAAACAAATGACAAAGTCCGAGCAACAGACGACTCTATCTTTGAAGACCGAACATGACTCAATCAACAACTTGCGCAAATCCTTTAGACGTAGGTAATCTTCGAGCGCTTAACGCATTTGCACTCTATCTGGCGAATGTATGCGACGGCATTCTCGACTAGCATCTTGTCTACCTCCTCTTCAGGGAAGCAAGAGCACTCAGGGTCGCATTCAGAGCAGAATCTGCGAAAGGTGTGGTAGTGAACCTGGGTTTGATCGGGGCAGTCGGGATTGGATACGCGATAGAGGTCGCAAGGCTTTTCGTCAGATCCAGAGACGCGAGTGATGTCTTTGGCGCACTTGTTGCAAGCGATGAAAGCGTATTTGTAGATGCACATTTTGAGTCAGGGTGCTGTTGTTGTGTTTCCCTGATATGTTTTCAAGATTTATTGCGAATACGAGTGAAAAGCGTGGTGTTTGAGAGATCTACTGTCGAGGAGTTGATCTACACGAACCTTGACTGAGTTACTTATACCCCAAGAGAAGGGCCAATGGAAAGGCCATACAATCATGACCAACGAGGGATAGCAAGCGCAAAGTGAGTTACACAAGCTGTTTTCGGAACATGAGTAGCACTCGGGAATACAACACATGTCATTCATCAAGTTGAATAAAGAACTTTTGATTGAGGGTCACCCATTCGCGTCTAAAAGCTATGTGCAGCTAGAAAGGAAAAAGAGTATGTACAAAACTCATGTGGTATCATAGTAGGTCGTGCGAACTTCCTGGAACAACCCTCCCTCGCGACATTGTGCTACCTGGCACGTTTAAGAGTACCAGTTGTTGGGGGTCCACTTGACGTAGCTGGCGTCAATCTTCTTGAGGTCGGGAACACCGAGGTTGGCGGCATCGATGGCGAGCTCGTGCTTGATCATCTGGATAGCCTTGGTGACACCCTCCTCACCGAAGACGTTGGCGAACATGAAGGGACGGCCCAGGCCAACAGCCTTAACACCGAGGGCAAGGAGCTTAATGGCGTCAGCGCCGTAGCGGACACCACCGTCAGCGTAGATCTCAATCTTCTTGAAGATCTCGGGGTCCTTCTCGTAGATCTCGATGGCGACCTCGAGGGAAGAGGGGGAGCCGTCAAGCTGGCGACCACCGTGGTTGGAGAGGATGATGGCGGGGACGTTGTTCTCGATGGCGGCCTCGGCGTCCTCGACGCTCATGATTCCCTTGATGATGAAGGGGAGCTTGGTCATGTTGGCCAGGCGGTGGTACTCGGGCCAGGTGATGAGGGAGTACTCAGAGTCGGCGGAGCCGACACCGAAGCGGGCGGCGCGGTGACGGTTGCCATCGGCGGCAGAGTCGACGGTATAGACGACACCGTTGGCGCCGGAGTCCTCAATCTGCTTGAAGAGAGCCTGGGTCTCGGTGTCATTGGCAGTCAGGTAGATCTGCTGGAAGGCGACCTGGCCCTCCTTCTTGACGGCGGCGATCTCTTCGATGGTCTTGGAGGCGTACAGAGAAGGCATGTACAGAATGTTCTCGTTGCCAGCAGCCTTCATCAGGTTCAGCTCGGCGTCCTCGTGGGCGTAGCCGGCACGGGCGCAGGGGCTGATGAAGATGGGGGCAGAGAAGTTGTGGCCCAGGATGGTGGTGCTACACGAGTCAGCATGAGGTTTTTGGACATGATGAGATGCGCAACCGGGGAAACGGTTCGTCTGATGACTGCGCGAGGGAGCCTGGACTTACCTCAGGGTCTGCTCAATGTTGGTGATGTCGACCATGACACGGGGGCGGAGGCGGTAGCGGTTGTAGACCTCCAGGTTGTTGCGGTAGGACCACTCGCCGGCGGCACCGTTGCGGTAGTAGGTGTAGTTGCGGAGGGGGAGGTAGTTGCGGGCAGCAAACTCGAAGTCGGGGAGGCCAACCATGTTGGTGAGGTTGGGCAGGCTGCCGACCTGGAGGTCAGGCAGGACGCCATCAATACCGGTATCCGGCTCGTTCAGGAACGGGCGGGCGGCGATGGCGCCGGTCGCCAGGGCGGAGGTGATGAGAGCAGCGCGCATGTTGTCCAATAATGAGTGAATGGTGGTGAGTAGTGACAGTCAAGCACGGATGCGATGGGGAAGATCTTTTTTTGAACAGCAAGAATACGCGGCCCTGCGAGGCTATTTATCATTCCACCGCGATGCCACGGCGTCGAGCTGTCAACCCCCCTCTCCTTACTATAAACCTCACCTTCTTGGCATCCCTCCGAGGCTTCTGGATCAAGTCCGCATTCGGGCATCGGAGCGGGCCAGACGCTTCGCCCAAGTGACCAGCTCCATGACGTGCGCCATGGGTATGGTGTTGTTGAGCGGTGCATCCATGGGCCTGGGTGCCCCGTCCAATGTTGGGATGAAAGTGACTGCCTTCCCGTCGCATGAAGGCCCGATGGGAGAAGCTGTCTGCATCCAGGGAAGCATGTCTTGGCAAAACGGGCGCGGTCTTGATTTTTTTTCGGACATGTCGGGGTTGGGTGATACTCGGTAGTCCCAGCGAAGCTGGACGGGGCGGGTCGCTCGATAGACCTAATGCGGAAGCTTGAGTGGCTTGTCACGAGAGAGTGACGGAGGGATTAGAACGGTGGTTTGAACTCAGATAGACGATGTCGACCCGCTGCCAAGTGTGACGGTGCAAAAGCGACCTCCTGATCCGGGGAGAAGACCGTTATCAGATCTGGGACGGTGGGCCAGCAAATACCGTCCGCGATCCACGGGCGCACGACTGACGTATCAAGTTGATGGACGACGGACGGGATGGAGCCAGTTTCACGTTTTTTACAGTGTGTTCCTGGAGTCTTCTACAAGCGAGCCCCCCTGGCAATTGGGTACAGGGATGGGACGGGAAACTGACTCGCCCTGGCAGGAGACATGCTAGCGCTATAACTCGCCTGTGTAATAGCTGAATAATAAGTCAGCCAAGTAATGAGCCAAGTCGTCGCAGTGGGTGATGGCTGCGACCTGATGACAGTTCAGGGCTACGCGAGGGAGGAAATGGGGTCCGCCGTGTGGGCAAGCGCGCGGGTGGTGACAGTGTTGGTTGTGACGCTGCGCCTGGCGAGGGAGCCCGTCCCGGAAGTCTGGATGAGTTTGTTGGCCCGGTCCTTGAAGAATCCCACGTCACGGACAAACTGCTGCTCCCGATTAAAGATGATCTTGGCCTCGGAGGCTCGGTCGAGTTCCGACGTGGTGAAGAAGAGTCCAGGCAAGTGAATCCCAACTTTCCATCATCTACTGTGCGGTGAAGCAAGCAACCCACGTGTCTGTCACTGCGTGGGCAATGTCCCGATTCCCCAGTGCATAGGCTTGGTCGTGTGCTAGTCTAGTTCATCCCTTTTCCTATTCCCCTAATGGTTTGTTTTTCTGTTTGTTGTTAAGTGAAAATCATGCTTGAATCGTCCGGTGTCTGAGAAACACTTCTACATTTTCTTCTTCCTCAAAAACAGGGATAAACCTCCCTCGGTTCGCGCAAGAGGTAGGTCACATTTCCGAGTGTTCATTACAATGCTACCTACCAAATCCGTGATGACGTATTTTGAAAGCGAGATTTGGCTCGACAACTCCATCCAGTTTTTTCCTTCAATTGGGGCATTTCCGAAATCAAAAAGAGTAACTGTGCAAGAAAAAAATTCACTCGCATTCCATTCAACAACATCCCGCTTTTTCTATCGCGAAAACTCCCGACGCTGAACATGGGGTTGCCCAGAAGGTATTGCCAGTCGGAACTATCGCGGACAGGGCCGCGGTCCCCGCGATGTCTTTCAAAGCCACCCGGATCTAATGTGCTCCCGGTGGGTGGTGGTGGCGACCGGGACGCGACAGAACATCGTGGCGGAGCCTCAATGTCAAGACAAGCATTTTTCACAAGAGAAAATTGACGCAAGATTCGCAATCCACGGGAGGCGGTGTCAGTTGCCAAGTAGTCTTGTCTTCCGTGAGAGCCGCCCGTTGTGACGCTGTCACGTTGAGGCCAAGTTTTTCCGTTTTCTCTGCTCTAAACGATAACGAGGGTTTTGACTCGTCTTACAAATCCGAAAGGCAACGATCAGCGTAAAATCAACTGATAGACCCGGGTAGGCGGTCTACCATCTGGTCATTGTCAATGTTGCGCTCTCTACAGCGTGCTCTGTAGATTCTCTATTACTGAGTTGGCGAGTCATCGGCAGTAGACTGCACAGGAACTTCCAAATTTGTCTTCAGAGCCGCTTCTTGCTCGTGTAACTCGCTTCTTTCCCTGCTTGAACACCATGTCCCATCTCGTTTTTGCAAGACACTTGCAGCCGGGAATTATTTGTCAATCGTCATCAACGCCCTACACATTTGGAAAGCAGAAATGCGACATACTACACCATCCATGCATATACATAGAGCTCAACCTGGGCAGCCAGCCACGGAGCGCAGAGTTTTTCTGGAAGGTGGGAGCGCGTCGGGATCACCAAGTCCAATCGCTTCCATCGCAGATCCATTCGCGCAGGCCTGCGATCGACTCCCATGGCTCGGATAGAGCTTGCCCGCCCCAGAGCTCACTGCACCTCCATGTCTATAGTTGCATTTAAGCTACACGGCCTCCCCTTCGATGCAACGAGTATCGGTTCAACTCTGATTCCATTCACAGCTCCGAGCTACCGGGCAGCCGAGAGACAACGCCTAGCGAGCCGAGTCGATCTCGGTCGACGGCCGATCGTCCGAAGCCTCGAAAGCATCCTTCCGGGCCACCACAATGCTAACGGATCCGGTGGAGAGCGCCCCGTCATCGGACATGAAGCCCGGGGCTATTGTGGGCTGCGGAATGTTCTTGACACTTGCATGCGCAGAAAAAACAAAGAAAATCCCCGCATTCCCAAGTTCATTCCAAGTTTGGTCCGGCTCATGACCGACCGGGACGGTTCCGGTTTCCTCCGCCGTAGGATACAAATGAGGCAAGTCGACGGCGGAGGACCATCACGAAAAAGAAAGGTCTAATCTCGTGAGATGCCAAGCGGTCTGGATTAAGGACGTGAGAGCCAACCATGGGCGCGGACAGAGGGGGGCAAGGATCGAGTCCACACTAATGAAACCCGCGCAGGGAGCTACATATTGATCTACAAATCTAGGCCAGGCACCCGACCGTCCAGCCCACTCGCGTACCAAGAATCAAGGATTTACAGGTGGGTGGTCCAAAATTTAGGTGTGAGGAGAACTGCACTCAGCACCTTCCAGAAGGTTAAATCCGCCCTGTGATATAACTGCAACTCCGTCCCCTGAGGCCTCTTTTTTGGTGGTAGCAATGACACTCTGCAATCGTCCTTGCGCAGGTTTCATCACCCCCACGGCATCCACGACTTGGCAAAATGAACCGGTAGGCAGGCATGCGTCACAGATTGAATTTCCCTCTCTCAGCTCAATGGTTGTCGCTATTCCGGGTGAGCGAGGGCACGTTTGAGCTGTTGGTGCGAAAGTTTGCTCTATTTAAAAACTGGACAGCAGCCATTTATTTCGAGACGTTGATGCGAATCGAGAATGCGTGAGGCCTGTAATTCCCTGATTATGACGTTTTTAGGCCTGTAGAGAGTTGTCCAAACTGTGGTTGTACCGCGGAATGCGAAAATTATCGAATGTCGAGGAATCGCGGGTCCGACAACACCGACCCGCGTATTCATACAAAGGGTCACTGGGACCCGTCGGCCAAGAGTCCTTCATCATTGCACATGCGACAATGTTGTCAAAAGTGATGGTGGCTGTCTGGGGGCGGACGTTCCCGTTGTTAACACCTCCTTCGTTCGTAGAAAACCGAGTAATTCACAGACGGAGTAGGAGTACTCCGGGCACGAGCGACACGATTGTGCATCTCCGAAGAGGTACCGATAGTCCTCAACTTTCAAGCAGAGAACGACCCAATTGGTCAACTACATGAATCCTAGTCAGATATCCTCTTGCTCCAGGCGAAGACACGCTTCTTGGACCTCGTATTGGGACTATCGCAACTGTCGTGGCCCCTGGGACCGATACGACTGATTCTCGAGCACCTGCTTGTTCAAAACAGCTCGTCATGCCTGTGAACATTTCAGGAATCTCAACCCCTTTTTTTCCACGACCAGAATCCACAATATCACCAATAACGCCGAGAAGTTGCGCCCGCTTAGCTTCCTATCGCAAAAGCTCTTTCCTATTTCGAACATGCCTTCGGCTCTTGCCCGAGCCTAAGTTGACATCATTATTTCAGCCGCAATCGTGATGTAAGATAGGACTTCTCCGATGCATATGATCTGTCTCTCCATGAATACTATATTCGGAATCTGTTTCTCGATGACGGGAGATGGAAGGTCTCACTGGTGAGCCTCAATTCAGTCTTTCTTGGCTGCAGGAGCCTGGGCTTGAAAGTTGGGTCTCTTCTCCACCAAGCGGATCCCGCAGGCTCTATCAGTTGCCAAGAGCTGCCATGAATGCTTGTGTCAGAACTCACTTCTTTTCTTCTCAGGGGCACGACATGTCTTCAAGATTGCCGCTGTAGTGACAGCTTACAAATCTCACATGCGACTTGGTCCATATTTTATGCTCCTCGTATTTCACCATCTCCCTGAAACTTACACATCATGTCAGGTGGGAGCATTAGAAATGATGTCGCTGCTTCTCGTGCTGCTTCAATATTTCCAGGTCTTTTTCTTTACTGAGCAGACATCATCTCTGGAGGAAAGACGCGATGGTGTGACGACTGTCCAGAACGCAGCTTGCCCACATGCATGTTTGACACACGGGAGAGGTGATATGTACCATCAAATACGTGATTCAGTATAGAAATGGATCATGCCAGGCACGGCCGTGAAGGATAGATGTAAGCAATGTGTTCAAATAGTCCCAAATCGCAGCATGGGCTTTTAGGGGAGTGTATTCTCACCGCATTCGCAAACAAATGAACTAAAGCTCCTCCGTATCATGTAACAGCCTCTTAGAATGAAAGAATGATTGTTGACTGATTCATCCCTCACACTGTCATCTTAATGAAAGCAACAGCTCAAGGGTCCCTAGGTCCCCAATTAAATATAAAGAACACAGATGAGATTTTGAACGTTCCCGGAACCCAATGACTCCTAAACCTGGTCCTTATGAGCCATTCCAACTGATCCCACCTCCTTCAAGTAAGCCAATCGTTTCAGTCGGCATTATTACCACGTTGAAAGTCACTGAAAGCAGTTCGCAGGAATCTTATAGTGAGACACCCCTGTAACAGTCGACTTGACTACAAGAGCTTTAGTAAGCCTTTCTCTCGGTGCATCCAATAGTATGAAGCAGTTCACGCACTAACTTGACATCATGCTTTGACAGCGTCAGTGGGCTCTTGAGGGAGTCTGAAGGCCTCCTTGTGTCCTTGAGGGACCGGTGACGCTGAGGCAACACAGGCGAGGGAGAGGGCAATAATTGAAGTGAAATGCATGATGAGAGGATTTGAAATACACTTGGTTGGATAAAAATATCGTATGCAGGTAAGTCTCCTGACTGTGACTGGTCGGTATTCCTTCGTGGTAGGAGGGATTCTGAGAACTTGATCAGGATGACCAGCAGTATTTATGCTTTTCGTCAACCCAGCCGACAGATTGACCACACGATTTTCTGCTAGGATGTATGCACTCTCACACCCTGCACTAGGATCAAATTACAGGCAAGGGGTGAAGATGATCGTCCAATATCACCGAAGTTCGCTCCGTTCCAGCTCAAGGTTGGGTTGCACATACACAGCCGTGACTGCAGCTCAATGAATGAACTTACGTTTCACAGTTATTCTTTTCAGAGGTGAGGATGACAATCACGGTTTTCAACACACCACAGATGTAAGGCGTGACTAACGGGCCGAGCTGGCTGCTGCATAAGGCTTTCACTTGTGAAGAGTGCTTTCATGGAACATTGCGTCCACTTCGGCGACAACGTCTGGCCAGATCGCAATGCCTTCCGACTTTCCAACATCGTCGCCTAATGAGAGTTAGACAACATATCGAGTCTCTGAAATCCACCCCCCTTTTCGCGTCCCCTATTCAGCAGCTGTCGCAACTAAAACTGTAGATGAAGATAATCATCAAGCGAATGTTTGCTGCAAGCAAACATCATTAACGATAATTAAATTGTTTCACGGGCGCGCGTGAGCGTCTCGCAGAGATTTCTTTCCCCGCGTTGGTGTTGGGATATGTTTGCTAGATTAAAGGACCACAATGTGAACAATGCTGTTGGAACTTTTCGTGGGGGTGGCAAGCAAGTGATCATTGACACCATGAGCTCCAAGTTGTGCAACCACTGTAATTGAAGGTGTGCTTTTCCATACTTACCGAACAGGCTTTTCACGTTTTCAAGAATAAGTTCCTCGAGATATCGAAGTCAAACCATTTCAATTTGCTTTATTATCACCAATGATAAGGTTCTCCAGTAGGCAACGGAAGTTACAGACGAAGAGGATTGGAAAATGTCTCGGTTCGCGCCTTTTCAACTACAATATCCAGACTCGTTCTCTAGCTCTTACAGTTGTTATCCCAAATTACGATCAGCAAGAGATGATACGCTAGCAATATCATGCGTCTACGATTTGTATTTTCAACCGAACAATCAGGCAGACGCTCTGATCATAATGGGAACCTGAAGGTAGGTAATGTGACAGAACCTTACCATTGGTAGGAGGCTCATTCGAAACAGCACTCCTATGGCGAATGGTTGATATCGGACGATTTACACACAGCGCCTGCCTAGCGCGGCCTTCACATAGAGGGTGCTTGGTGGAGATCAGTGGCTGAAGGATTGAGCTAAATCGCAGCTGCTGCCTCGAAGGAATGCGGGGCAGCCCAGAACGTCACCGCCGCATTGACATTTACTCTCAACTACAAAACATCTTCGGTGTCCATGTGAACTTGGCTGGAACAATTATTTCGAAAAATCGAAGCCAGTATATTGAACTTCATTCTGCTACCAATAAAGATGGCGTTATTAGGACTCCCACTCGAGCTGCTTCAACGCATCATCAAAGAGACCATCCCCGAGTCCATCGAGAATGTCGCCGTCACATGCTCCACTTTGCATAATGCAAGCAAGATCTATCTAGACGATCATAACTGCCTTCGGAAGAGATACAAAAACTTTTCTTACTCAAAATACACTGCGTTAAAACAAAGGGGGTATGTCAAGGTCCCAGTTATGTTCAGTAGCCGCTGCTCACCAGGTGATAGGAGGCCGAGGCACACCTGGAAGGGGCATTGGGACCCTGTTACGCAGGAGACTGGCATTGAACTTCAGGGTGCTATCGAACTCATCACGGAAATCGTCCGCAACCCAGTGATTCCTCGATACATCGAAACGGCCGACCTAAAGGGCAATGTGGGGATGACGGATGCCCCTGGTGATATGGTTGATGAACACCCGGCGCTCCATCCGCTTTTCCCGCGCATCAAAGACGAAGCTGTCATCGACAAACTTCGGAATCTTCTGAATGACTCGCCTTATCTTGCGGAAGCTGGTATAGATTCGGAGGCTTGGCTTTCGGGGATGCTCGACGACACGTCCGGGCATGCCGAGGTGTTGCTGTTAACGCTTCTCACCAATGTGCGTGAGCTTGCGCTGCCACAAAGTTGGGACCAGATCCCCGGCAGAAATTCAGGACACCTGCGCTACGGAGAAGAGACACCGCGATCCGATAGGAAGATCATCTGGCCCGTCTTGGATGCCCTTGTGCGGCGTGCGAACGATCCGAAGATTGCAGAAGCTGGTCTATCCAAGTTGGAAGTTTACAGACCGTTTACGGGAACTGGGTACGAATGCAGGAACGCGATGACGGTCAACACCCCTTTCCTAGCTATCAAATCTGTTCGCGAGGCCTACATTGGCGGCTGCATCGCACTCGATGACGGATACACCGGAATGCCATTCGATCCCGAATACCCAAAGTACAGTCCACGTCTCGAGAGACTGGACCTCGTGGGGTGCACCTTCGGGCCAGAAGAGATGCGCGAATTGCTTTCACGCCTGCCGAACCTGAAGTGCTTGCACTTTGCATACGAGACGAAGTGGCACGGGTGTGGCCACAACCTTGACGCTGGCGCGATGATGAACGCCATCATGGAATCCGCTGGTGAGACCTTGGTGGAGCTCTCAATGTGGATGATGGTTCATTATGGCACCGCCGGCCGAACACTCGTCGATATGAAAGGCTTCAAGCAACTCAAGTCCCTACACATTGACGGTCTCACCTTACTAGGACCAAAGTTCGAAAAGGCCGACGAAGAGTACGAAATTGCCGATGCCCCTGACGTTTGCCCATTGGAAAAGATGGCGGCGCCGCGAGCTCTCGACTTACTGCCGCCATCACTTGAGAAGTTCCATTTCCAGACCGAACCGGTGGGAGATCGTCGCAGAGATTCCTCCGACCAGCTGAAGAAATGCCTGGCAGCCCTGTTCGACGGCCTTGCCGAAGGGAGGGGCGAGAGACTGCCAAACTTGCAAGAAATTGTTGTTGAAGTCGTTAAAGATGACGTGAATCAGAATATGAAAGAGCAATTAGAAGATAGAGGAGCTCGGGTGGTACTCAGTCCTTCAAAGGCGGATCCCAACTTCGTGACAGACTTTTACCGCCGGTTTGGGGTCGGGATCGTGCATTGAAAACCTGGCAGCTAACCTGGAGGAGCGCATATATGTGTGTTTGGTAATTAGATGTGTGTCATGCAATGTCAAATTTTTAGCCATGTTTGATTTGCTTCTCATTCCCGATGGCCACATCGGGAAAGATTTCTAAGAACCATCTTTGAGGAAAACGTACAACGAAGTGGTGACCCGAGTATATTGACAGGCAGTAACGAGCGGTCCCGGGGGAGTGGATACCGAGGGAATGTTAGGGTAGCTCTCGGGGAATTCCATGATGTTGCCTTTCCCCGTCGAATATCGTGGGGAAATGTCGATATCGCGTTAGTCTTGAGGTGGATGATGGCGGCGGTCTATTACGAAGGAGGGTCACACGAGCAACATGACCGGCATACGCAGCTGAACAGGGGTACCCACGTGTACGAGGAGTCGCTGGAGATCGGAATACCCCTCAGCCATGGGAAATTCCGGCGATGCTCTATTGGCTGTGCCCTCGTTTAGAGTCAGGTGGCATTTTGGATAATAATACGATATACGCGTATTCGCAGGAATATGCAAGTTCTGCCCTCTCTCGTTTGGTATTGGATCTGAACTTGAGGTGACACCGCCCTCTACAATGATGTCAATTTCGCACGTATCTGGGCCGAATACGCGAAGCGAAAGACAAGCAATGAATGTCGATGAGTAGAAGTCGGTCGTAATTGCGTTGAATATCTCGACGAGGCATTGGTATATAGATCTGGCCGTTACCAGCCACCTCAATGTAGAAATATGCATATTGCAGACGAAAGCGCTAGAACTATTTTGCATAATGAAACTCATCTCGTGTGTCCAAGCTTTTGCCGGTCTTCTGCTGTCATGCTATTGCCAGGCCGCCCGACAGGACAGCGGCAACGACTTCCTTGACCCTCCTGCTGTCCAACGCCCTAGATTCAGATATTGGCTCCCCGATGGCACTGTTGATCCCGAAAAGGTCAAGTCAGACATCCAGTCTGCTAGCAAAATCGGGGCGGGAGGAGTCGAGTTCTTGCCCTTCTACAACTATGGCGGTCAACTAGGACCGCCGCCTGTGGGGGTCGACTGGTCAACTTCTGGTTTCGGAACCCCAGACTTCATCAAGACTCTCATCGCAGCCCTTGAGGCTCACAATGAATCTGGTCTGTCCATGGACTTTGCGATTGGTCCGAACCAGGGCCAGGGCGTGCCTGCTGATGCCAGCAATGAAGGTCTTCAATGGGATTTGGTAAGTTAATTTGTCAACGGGAGGTTCTCGAAGTTCACTAAGCATTCAAAGTTCGCCGAGACACAGGCCGTCACCGCCAGTGGGCACTTCAACGGCACCATACCGGGATGGGGAACCGGGCAGCTCGTCTCCGCCGTGTCAGCAATAGTCACATCTAGAACAAATGTGACAATCAACACAACGTCAATCATCGGAACAGCAGAAATTTGGTGGGAGGAGCTGGTCTTGCGGAATGGCTCCTTGAAAGATATCACTTCCATGATCTCATCTACCGGCGAACTTTCAATCGATCTATCCAACAGCTCCTCCAACGCCTCTGACTACGAACTATTTTTCTTCTATCAAATTTTGTCTGGACACAAGAACCTCGTCTTTGCATCCAACAGAACCGAGACAATCTGGGACAACGGGTCCTACGTTGTTGACCACTTCAGCAGCAAAGGCGCCGAGGTTGTTCGTGACTTTTGGGAGCAGTATATTTTCGTCGACAATGTCAAAGAGCTTCTCATGGAGGTTGGAAACTATGGTAAGTTCAAGCGAACAACATCTCGTCAGGGTGTCTGACTAACATGCGATTCAGGCTGGGAAGACAGTATGGAAATTCTATCTAATACATCGTGGACAAGGACCCTTCCCGAGAGATTCGAAAAGCTGTTTGGCTACGACTTGCGCCCGTATCTCCCTCTCATAATCTTCAACAACAACAATATCAACCTTCAGAATGATGCACCAGGTCATACACGGTGCTTTCTAGACACTCATGACAAAGGCCAGGGCTACATCAACGACTATCGTGCTGCGCTTGCCGATGGCTACCAGGAGTACCTGACCACGCTTGCGAATTGGACACACTCTCTTGGGCTGGGCCTGTCTGCGCAAGTTTCATACAACTTACCTATGGACATGGAGGCATCCATCCCATTTGTTGATGCCCCTGAGTGCGAAAGCCTGCAATTCCATGACAACCTTGATGGGTACAGGCAGTTCTCGGGACCAGCCAATCTGGCAAAGAAGACTGTCATCTCCAATGAGCTTGGTGCGGTGTTTGGAAGTGCATACCGCTTCACTATCCCAGACCTGCTTTTCGCCATGAACCGCGCTGTCGCGGGAGGGGTCAACCAGTTCGTCATCCATGGGCAATCGTACTCGGGCAACTACCCTCAAACAACTTGGCCTGGATACACGGCATTCAGATACTACGTTTCCGATTTATACTCTCCAAAACGCCCCGACTGGGACCATGGCCTTCAAGCTGGGTTGAACCACATGGGCAGAGTTCAGCACATCCAGCAGACCGGTATTCCGAGAACCGACATTGCTTTCTACAACAAACAGACAGCAACGGATCCTAATATGGGTACACTGTATACATCCGATGATCTTATCTTAAAAGGTATGCTGGAACATGTCGTAGGAGTCATGTTGCGATTGCTAACTACGCCCAGGGTGGTCCTACAACTACTTGTCTCCTGATAACTTTGCCCTCCCCCAGGCATACGTAAGGAATAACTTGCTCGCACCCGAGGATGCGAGATACCAGGCGCTTGTTGTGCTTGGATCACAGAATCTCACCTCACCGGGTCTCCTGAAGCTTATTGAGTTTGCGGAAGCTGGGCTGCCCATCATAATTGCTGGCGGCTCCCCCGGCGAGTATCCGACCGAGAATAAAGCATCCAACGTCAGCTTTTCTTTCGACACCAGCCTGCAGCAGCTTCTTAGTATCAGCACTGTCTACCGAGTTGCAGAGGGCGAAATCGCGGAGAAGCTGGAAGGACTCGGTCTCAAACCAAGAGTTGGCGTCAAGACGAACGGAACATGGCATACCACCTGGCGCCAGGACTCCGACAAGAACATCAGCTATGCATACGTTTTCAGCGACGCTGAGTCCGCAAATGGAGAGCTCATTGTGCAATCTCCAGGAATACCTTACTTCTTTGATGCGTGGACGGGAGCTAGAGAGCCGGTGTTGCACTACACGACGGAAGGCTCGACGACGACTATCCCTCTCACTCTTGCTGGAAACCAAACCAAGCTCATCGGCTTCGCCGCTTCTTGCCTCGAAGACATTGCGATACCCGAATTTCACTTTACGGAGCTCTCTGACAATGTTCTGGGCTATCGCGCAGATGACCAGGGGATCGTCGTCTACGCTGCTGCGTCCGCAGATCCCGCAACTCTTATATTATCAACGGGCGGCAAGGTCTGCTACGCAACAAATGTGGCGTCTTCATTCGAACTTGCATCTTGGGATCTCATACTGGAGCATTGGGAAGCCCCAGAAGATATGTACGATGCAGCAGTGGTAGCAGTTAAGCGAAACACCACGCACCATCTTGATAGTCTCGTCTCTTGGACGGAAATTCCAGCAGCCACAAACACGTCTGGTATTGGTTACTATTTCGCCAACTTTACCTGGCCACCCGCCTCATCCGCGGAAACGAATGCATCGGTCGGTGCCTATATTCAGTTCTCTCCGGCTCTCAATACGATCACTTTGGAAGTCAATGGTGCTCGCGTGCATCCGCTCGACCCGAGTAATCCTGTCGCCGATATCTCGACCTACCTTGTTGAAGGAGACAATCATGTTCTTGCGATAGTTCCTAGCACGATGTGGAACTATCTCCGCAGCATTCTGGAGGATATCAAAAATTTGGGCGCAACACCGTTTGGGCCTGGAGAAACCCTTTCTGTTGATATGATTCCTCAAACAGAGAACGGGTTGGTCGGCGCTGTTCACATTGTTCCCTACGAAGCTCTGCGGGTGGGTGAGTCAGATGGCCAGCAGGAATGTTAGGCACCCTACAGGGCGGAGTTTGGCCTTAGCTTGGATAGTACAACGTGAAATTCTGAGCTGCCAAGTAATCTAGGCCTTGGCGGTAGATGACTATGAAAACCAACTCATTCACTGGCCTGTGTGTAATGTTCGATGCAGTGGCGATTATGAAGCCTATTTGCCGTGCACACCGAAACTTGGAGAGCAAAAACAAGCTGCCCAGTGTTGTGTTCTAAGAAATCGGGCAATAGAAATGAAAAAAAAAAACAGGGCGAGCAAATCTGCCTTGTGTTGTTGTGTCTACGGAAGGACACCAAGCTCAATCAGGGGCAAGAATGACGCTGAACAGCCTTAATCGGGCGTTAGAGACCAGGGTCTGACACGCTAAACCCATTCTTCCATGTGAGTTGCAGTGCAAGCGATCAGCTGAATGCGGGATTAACGTGCGACGTCCGCTAGGCTCTCCAGCGCGGAGGCGCGGAGGCGCGGAATGTCCGCCGCTGTTTAACGACTTGGCGGTCGTTCATTGACTCAAAGGCTCGTATCTGTCCAACATTAAAGAGATCGTGTGTAGACGCCCATCATATGATACTTGATTTGAGCTTCTGCAAGTCTTTGCGTTTCTTCTAGTTGAAGATGACCCCAATCACTGTTTTTGAAGATCCTTGGCCAAAGGATAAGGCCAAAATTCCGCTCGAGACCGTGTCCCTAGTGAGTAATACAGGAGCATTGCCGTCACAGGGGACTAGACGCTAACTGAAGATAGAAACACTTCGAACTCATTGAGATATTCCTGAAACTTATCCCCCACTTCCAGACAGATGAAGAGGGCCATATTTTGCAAGAAGCTCTGGTCTACTCAGAATGGCGTTACATCAATTACATACGATTCCTGCACCTGAAGGGGGTTTCAGCCTACGACTGCCCACCGCCCTGGTCCGTCTCTCGCAGAGTGCCCAGACACATTTGATGGGCCAATGAAGTAGACTAACAAGGAGTCTAGGGACGTTGCAATGATCTGGTACTGCCACCTGCTATCTCCCTTCCATTTCCACCGGCATCTCTGGGACAACGATCACATATCCTACGGCCTTAACCACCACCAGTTTCCGGTCACAAAACTGGTGCGACTCTATGAGTCTGGCAAATGGTCACACAGTAAAAGTCAGAAAGAATGGGATCGTTGGCACAGGAAGCCAGCATGCCCACGGCTTCCATTCCAGCTGTGGCCATCGCCGCCTTGGGAGAGCAAGCGGAAGTCCCGGCTATCGACCCTGTTTTCCAAGAAAGACACACCGACGGAGAGTCCTGACGTGGAAGATATTCTCCAAAAAGAGTTGTGTTTCTACGGAAGACTGTGCCGGATTCCACTCATAAAACCATGTTTAGTGAGGGATTACACGTCGTTGAAGCGAAAAGAATGCAAGATGCCATGTATCAAATCCTCGCAGCATAGTCTTTCCGGACATCGGTGTGAGTTGACGCCATGGCCAGGCGTGGAGGATCTTGCAGAGGTTTTCAACCGTCAAGTCACCTTTTGGAAGGCTGTAGTCAAGGCGCGCGACTCAGATCCGGATTTCGCCTCGCGACAACACCTGGCGGCATCCTCAGGGGATTACGAACGATTCATCAAGCTCCATGGAATACCTCCGACGATGAAAAAGGCACCTTACAAGGACATATGGAAGCTCGATATGGATGCGCTCCCGGTACGTGGTGCGATCATGTCGGGGCCCAGGAACCGCGAGTTCGTGCCCCCAAACCTGACGGTGGATTTCCTCTGGCATACGCATCGCCTCTACCCAGCCAACTACTGGGTTTGGAGTTTCACTACGGCCGGGAGACTGATAGACTATGAGCCGATGCCTTCGGTCGAGGCAGCTAAGCGGACTTTGGGGGAGACTGATCTAGAGTGGAAGAAGAGGAACGGGATCTGGTATGACGAGAAACACTCTTTGCACCGAGGTGACATGGAGGGGTATTTCCCAGACGCTGCTATTGTTCCACCGGGACACCCCGCCAGAGCTAAAGTCCAATGGACTCTAGGTGGAATGAATCCTGTGAAAGAGAGAAGAGTAGGAACCAGAGGAAGGTACTATGTGTTTGAGGGGCTTGATATACCATTTGACGGGGGCACTTGGGACTTCGGCGGCAGCGGTGATGGAGGAGGTGGAGGAGACGGCGGGGGTGGCGGTGACGGTGGAGGTGGAGGCGGGGGTGGTGATGGTGGTAGCTGATGCTCACTTGCGAATGCATAAATATTGTGGCAGTTTCATTATCATGAAATGTCTAGTCAGAGTATATACTTGTGAAATTAGATCCACCTCCGCCGTAGACTCAATTGAGAGGGTGCTTCGAGAAGAAGTCCATGATGTACGACGAGGCGTTGTATGACGCCGGACCGTCCCCGTGGGCCTTGTTGTCGTCATTGACTCCGGTGTAAGGCCAGCTGTGGTCGACATCTTTCTCAAACACATGAGTCACCAATCCTTTCTTATCTCCTAAACCCCATTGATACCTCTGTGCTCTAGAGGTGATGTTGCACTCAGTAGGCTTCTCTCCAAGGCCGTCACGGACTGCCCACTCCGTGACCCAGTGGAAGATGCCTGGCAAGCACGCTCCTCGTCGACTATCGCTGCCGTTATACGGAATAGTGCCGTCGATGCCGCCGTGAAACTCAATCATTGGAATGTTTGTCCTGCCAGCGTCGCAAGGGATTTTCACGGTCTTTGGGTCGCAGTCCGTCACATTTTCGATATAGTATGATCCAGACACAGGAGCGAAAGCAGCAAAACGCGTCGAAAGATGTTTGTTGCATGCAGCAAAGTTGGTGAAACCGCCTCCGTTGGACTTTCCGGTCATGAATACGCGAGTCTTATCGATGCAATATGTCGACTCCAGATCGTCGAGCACCGTATTAGTGTAGAGGACGTCATTTCGCGGTGTAATATTGGGCACGCCCTCCCATCGCCCCTGGCTTGGTCAATTATCGTTGTCCGCGATTTCGCACGCAAAGGTTCTTACCTCGTAACCGCGAAGATACACAACAATATGATCCTTGTTGAAATAAGGCGTTTCTAGACGGTCCAGATCTCGTTGTTCCTCTGGACTCTTAGTCCCGCCATGGTACGAAAAGATTATGGGGTTGGGACTCGTTTTGGAGTATTTTGGCGGGATGAAGAGCAGATAGTCTCGATCATGGCCTTGATCATCCTTGTAGGGTATCAAATACTCGTGCCCAGCTGATCGGTTACTCGGGAGTCCCTTTTTACACCCATCGGAGGAGACCTCTCTTTTGACCGCATCTTGAATCGCAGTTGAGGCGCAAAGTCCTGCAAGCAGCGTAACGAAGTTGAAGTTGACCATGATGGATGTTGTTGTCTGTAAATGCACATACTAACCGTCCAAAGTTTTGAACTTAAGTTGCGCAGCCACGGCCTTTTAACATTGGACGAAGCATGACCTTGAGGGGCCGTGACGCGACATCAAAGGCTTGGACGGAACCTAGTGTGTTAGTGCCTCCCCCAATCTTACGGTCCGTCGGCGTGCTAATTCGAGTCAACGGGCGGCGATCCAGACTAAATCCCGTCGGGCGTCAGCCCAGGCACCAGCACACGCAGTTGGTCAGCAGTCTAAATCCCCGTATTTCTGAAAGTCGATGCCGCGTTGAGACGAGGCTTACGGCACCAGCACTACCAGTTCGGGACCGGATGCCACCGAATCCCTCCGAAGAAAGCTTAGTTTCCGGCAGAGGGCGCCACGCTCTGGCGCATCATTTCCTGAACTGGCGCCAGGATCGGGATCCCGGCATGGGAATTGTCAGCACGGCATTCTCGGGATTTTGACCTCATTGTTTCCATTACAGCTGAGCTTTACCTGTTGATTGAGCCGGCTGTGGGGAAAAGGTTGTTGGTCGAGTTGAAAGTGCTCAGTGCTAAAAGAGACACCTAGTCAAACTTGCCTTTGTTTCGATATTCACTGTTTCGATATTCACTGTGAAGATGGGGGCATTTCACATCGAGATGATACGGGATTGATTCAGATTACTCAAGATTGAATTCAAGCATGATTTTCTTATGAGACTACTATTGAATCGACAACGGTCTAAAGGTGGTAAGGAGGCTCTGCGCCTTCCACTTTAGAGTAGACAGCAGTAGTAGCAGCCGCCAGATCCTCGGGAAGAGGACCAGCCTCAAGCGCATCAAGTGTCGAATGGAGTTGCTCTACCTTGGAAACGCCAAAGATAATCGCATCGCCGTGTGCCACATCCAAGTTGCTGTGGAATGCCGTCCATCGCATAGCAGCTGCGTGTCCGCTGATGCCATGTTTCTCGGCAAGCTTGAGGATCGTAGAGACCGCGAGACGAACTGGAGGTTTACGGTACATGTAAGTGTAAACCTTGCCAATAAAGTTCTGTTCTTGCGTTAGAGTAAGTGAGACTACAGTGACATTCGGAACCTACGTCGCTCTTCCACCGGCCTGACGAAGCCTTGTGCCCTGAGAAAAGGCCGCCAGCTGCGGGACTGATGGATTGTCAGACTGGGTTCTCCCATAAAATGCTCGATGACATACCTGTACGCATAGAATGCCATGTTGTGCTTGCGCAATAGAGGAAACAGCTCCTTCTCGCCTCCTCTCACAATAGCATTGTAGTGCCCCTCGTACACACTGGGCTTAGTGTAGCCATTTTGCTCGCAGATCTCCAGAACCCTCTGCACCTCAGCGGCAGAGTAGTTCGACAGGCCGTAGTTTTTGAACTTCCCTTGCTTCAGAGCAGCGTCCATGGCTTTTACCGTATCCTCGAAGGGGGTCTGGCGATCCGGAAAATGCAGGAACATCGTCTCGACGGTGGATGTTTGAAGATCGCTCAACGACTTGCCAATGCTGACTTCAAGGTTTGCAGGCTGATGATCACCGGGGTCTGCGCTGTGGACTTTGGTGTGAATGGTGAATCGGGAGGCGGCGTTGGCCCGGCCAAGGCGTGATTCGGAAGCGCCCTGGACGCTTGGAGAGTAGTCACGAGCTGTGTCCAAATTGTTGTATCCGCGGGCGTGAAACGCATCCAAAAGCGCTTGGACATCTTGCTCGCTGTCAAAGTGAGAGGATCCAGGGTCGACAACGGAATCGCCGACCTGTTATGACTTCAGTAACATTCACTTGGTGTCTCATTCGAATACTCACGCTGTGCGTTCCGAGAATGATTTTGAGGGGCGTTTGGGAAGCCATAATGGAGACGAGCGTAAGGATGGATACCTATGAAAGAGTTGAATTTGTGACGATGAAATCACTTTCTGATGAGCTTAGACAGGCGGTATGCGGTCTTTATATGTGCAATTCCTACATGACAACGTGGTATAGTACTTTCTCTGACCCAATTTTCAATATATCGGGTCGATCACCGCTTGTTGCTACGCGATGGCCAGGGGAACAACCGCAAGCTCCGCAGTATCGTCCCCTGGTTTGCACTGTGTTTTGTCTGCATAACGGCCAATTGAAACAGGCATGGTAGTGTCGGTATTTGGGTCAATGGCGCTCTGTCATGACTCTGCATCCACTATTGTCCAGGGTCACCCTACCTGTGAGGGGTTTGTCAAACTCACGCTTATTGCAACACGTCAAAGCGAATCCACACTGTGGAGCATAGAAATGACACTGACGCGAGGCAAAGGCCAGCCTCTTGCGTGATATCGGAGAAAAGCGATCAAGTACGTACAGGTGTCATGGGTTGATAATGCCACGTTTCGAGGGGACAGTCTATCATATTTGAGAGAAATGCACTAATGGCGGCAAGATGGCCTCAGACGGACAAAGAGGCGTCGGCGAAGAGGGCCGCATGAGCATGCTTGCTGAGATATGAACATCACCATGGGGGAACCTCCTTCATCTGGAGGGTTAACGGAGAGAGCGCGAACTATTATTACTTCTTATAAGGCAATCGAAAGAGCTAAGTAAAGCTTGGGGACATTTGAACTACGTTTGATGCCTCCGGCTGACGAGTAAACGTGACATGATAATCTACCAACAACGAATTCCAATCTTTCTATCATTCGCTCTCTGTCTCCCCTCTCGTGGTATCTAAAACAACTGAAACAACACTTTACTCCGCCTTCGCGGCCGGGCGGAATCTTGACGTAGAAGCCGCCTTTCCGGCAAGTTGCTTGATGCGCTGGCCGCTGGTGATCTCGAAGACCGAGATGTCGGCTCCAATCTCCTTGGTCATCCACACGCGAAGCTCGACAGCCACCAGCGAGTCGACGCCGTAGGCATTCAAGGGCCTGGAGGGGTCCAGGTCAGCCAACTCGTAGCTGAGAATCTTGGAAAGCTGCGCCAGTAAGGCGTCAAGGACGATCTGCTCGGCATCCTCCAGTGTCTCGGCTGCCGCGATCAGGTCGCCGACTGAGCGCTTGGATGAGCCCTGCTTTCCGGGCAGCGAGCTGCCGTTTCCAGCGCCCTGGAGAATCAGGTGGTTGTACATAGGTTCGGTCTGCCAGGTAGGTTGCTCAGCGCCCTCGTCTGCGGAGTACTTGGGGAGCCAGAGTCTGGGAACGACCTGGGCCTCCTTGACCTTCTCCTCCGCGCTCTGCGAGTTGGGGCGGCAGTAGTAGTCCAACGCGTTGATGAGCTCTTCGACGGACATGGAAGCCCAACCGATGGAGAGCAGGTACGTCCTCAAATGGGGTCTGGCAGCAACCATACCGGCATCGGTCAAGACGGGCGCGTCGAGGGCGGCGACGTTGTGGCCTTGAGCCGAGAGGAACTTGGCGAAGGCATCCTGGAACGAGTTGCCGGCACTGTAGTTGGCCTGGCCCTGGTTGCCGGTGACGCTGGTCAGGGATGATAGCATGACGAAGAAGTCAAGCGCAGAAGCGCCGGAAAGCACCTCCCACAGGTTCTTGGTTCCCGTCACCTTGACGTTGACGGCGGTGTTCCATTGGTCAAGAGTCATCTCGCCGAAAGCATTGTCCTGAAAAGGTGTCAGTTGGATTCTTGGAAAACGGGGATTCGTGAAGGCTTACGTTAAGGACTGTCGAGGCTTGGATGCATCCACGGACTGGAGGCAAGGAGGCAAGAGCAGAAGACATCGCGCTCTCCAGTGCCTTCTTGTCAGTGATGTCGCAGTGAGGAGTGACAATCTTGACGCCGTTGCCTTGCAGCTCGCTGACGAGACCCTTGGAGGCCTCATCACTGGGTCCCTTCCTCGATGTGACAATCAGGTTGCGCGCGCCTTGGCTGACCA